TTATTGGTTTCTCCACCTGGGTCCAAAACCTTGACATCGGTTCTTGGGCTAGATCGTATGCATTCATTAGCAAACCAATGAATTTGTGTTCATAAATTATGGATCTGCTGTGCTACGCTTTGTAGATAATGCATTATTCACGCCTTACCAGTTATCCGTGTTGTGTGCCCAGGGGTTGGAGAATGCCTCTGGTTTTATAGATTTAGAAACCGGTTTTGTTTCCAAGATCCGATACATGGATTCGTGCTCAGATCTTGCTATCTTCGCGTCCGTCCTACACGGGGGTGAACTCATAAATGAGTTGCGGAAAACGAGAATGCCTCTAGGGTAGTTATAATTATGAACAAACCCACAATTTATCATGTGTCCAAATCTATTGCTAGGCTGTGTCCAAACTAAATTGAGCTGAGTTAATGATGCTGTATTGTCCTTAATCTTCATGAGTTCATTGGGCATATTATCTTGAGTTGAGCTGAAATTGGGCAATATACATTGAGTTGTTGTGACTACTACTTGATATAAATATAGTTCGTATGGATTAGCATTAACTACAAACAAAATTTATACCGTATTGTGAACTTCTGCTGGGTGACTATGATTAGTGACTTCACAAAAGTATTTAGAACCAAAATTCAACAACGCTTTGACATAAGTTTCGAAATATTGGAAATCATGGAAAAATTGTATTTTGTCTAGTTTAATTCTTCTGGAACTAACTCATCACCATGGTGCATAATTAATTAATTGTGTCTGAAAATTCCTTATCCTGGCCACATAACCTAGAATTTTGTTGAAACAGAGAATGATCTTGAGTCCGCAAAAACTTGAGTGATGGTTGAGTTATAGTTGAACAAGACTTGAGAAAAAAATATTGAAAAGAATGCATGGGAATGAGGGTCCGAAATGGGGATCTAGAATGAATTTAAAAAATGAATAATAGAAGGAACTACAATAGAATAAGAATAAAAGGAAAGCATAAGGGAATGAAAAATCCTAAAATAGAAGGAAGGATTTAGAAAGAGAATACAATAAGGATAAAAATAGTAAGAACTAAAAACAGAAAATGGTAAGATTACCAAAAGAAAATATGAAAGAGGAATAAATATCGAATCTCTACATGAATCCTAAAATTCCTAATGCTGAATTTCCTACCTGAGCTGGTCCAACACATCACTTTCACCTGGTCTATTCTGCCTACTTGCAAACCTTATTGGGCTGCATTAAAACCTTACACTTCTTGGCTAGAGTATGCATTTAGCAAACCAATGAATTTGTGTTCATAAATTATGGATCTCACCTACGCTTTGTAGATAATGTATTTCACGGTTACCAGTTATCTTTGTGCGCCAAATGGAAAGCCTCTGTTTTATGATTTAGAAACCTGGCCCTGAGCATGCCCACTATTGCTATCTTGGCCCTATTGGGGTGAACTCATAAATGAGTTGCGGAAAACGAGAATGCCTCTATGGGTAGTTATAACTAACTTACATGCGGAATCGAGATTCTGACACATTTAACATGTGTCCAAATCTATTGCTAGGCTGTGTCCAAACTAAATTTGATTTAAAAATTCAATGCTTGAAATTTATTTACTTGAATTTAAATTCATTTGCATCTTGGAGCCCAAATGAAGACTTTGAATTTAAAGGCACCGGAGTTGAGCGATGGAAGCCTACTACTTGTAGTCTTATTGGGCTATACATCATTCGTAATTTTATCGACGCATATAACCTGAACAAACAAAACATATTTGCATACCGTATTTGAACCCCTTGACTTAAGTTTCGAAATATTAGAAATCATGAGAAAAATTGTATTTTGTCTACTTAATTCTTCTTAAACTAACTCATCACACATGGTGCATAATTATTACCGTGTTCTGCTGTACCTAAATGCTAGGAATTATGGTTATCCTAACGATAGATGGAAACATTATTAGGATTATAGTTAAAATTTCTAGATTCAGCAACTTTGGTTTCTATTTATCATCCAAAGGTGGTTGAGATCTAACATTTATCGTCCTAATGGAGTGTAGGAATCTTAAAACAGTTTTCAAATATATAAAACTAGAGGCATTCTCCAACCCTTGAATGTTTTTAAAGATAATGGTAAGGCCTTTAGGACACAAATATTTATGACCATTTTGTTTTTGTGGAAGACATTTTGTTAGGAATTAACTATCAATTGGAGAATATTTAGGGGTGAATATTTACACAGATCAACTTCACTAAGTAAATAATTTTAGAAAAGGAATGCCATCAATCAATTACATGATAATGACTCTTTTAATATAAACATTGTACATGGATGGTCTTCGTGCAGCTTTTGTGAAATAGAGAGTCAATTCAATTTCTACTTAATAGTATAGTAGTTGTTTAGCTTTATGACAAGTTCTAGAAAATTGAGTGTGCTTAAAGTATTGAACTCAAAAATTGATGCAGCCCAAACCCTAAAGCCCATTATTGAAGAAGCCTAAAGCCCAATATTGAAGCTTGAAGCTCATTACTATTGCAGCTTGAAGCCCACTTTACTTTATGCACCTTGAAGCTCACTTTACTAGCCCAATTATGAAATTAGGCCCATATATCTATTTATATTATTTTTAATTTCATTTGAAATTTAAATTTTTATTTGAAATTCAAATTTCATCCAAAAACCAATTTTCATTTGACATTCAAATTTCATCTGAAATTTAAATTTCAGCCAAAATTGATTTCAAATTTAAATTTCATTTGAAATTCAAATCTTGACACCTAAATCAAGACTCTTTAGCCTATTTAAAGGCACCCCATGGCCCCAAAGGTATATTACCTTTTTTAATAAAATTTCCTGAGTTTTATTCGCTTAAAATTCTCTGCTTCTACTAGTGGACTCTAACACCCTTGTGGACTCAAAGAACTTGTTCTTAATTCTATGGATTCAGAATCACCCCTTGTGGACTCAAGGGACTTGTCCTCTTCACCTTATGGATTCAGAGCAAAGGGACCCTTGTGGACTCAAGGAGCATGTTTTTCAAAGATTCAAGATGTGTCTTCAACCCCACAACATCATAGTTGATCACAACTTGTTCAAGTCATGTCCTCAAGTTTTGCTGCGTCAAAAACTTTCTAAGAATAACATTTTTAATGGCCTTTTTACTCACAGACACCCTTAAAACACTTTAATAGAATATGACCAATGATGTGAATACAAAGATGGCCTGAAAAATCAATAGTCATCCTCCGACCACATGATACTTTTTCTTTTGCGGTTTGAGATATATATATATATATATATGTATATATATGCGGCGTCCAAATTTTATTGATCTTCTAGATACTATACTTGGGGACCATCGAGTTGGAAAGACCTTCATTAGGCACCTCCTGAAAGACTGGTGGAAGCCTTGAATGATGCAAGGACGATGTTTACTGCAACCTAACTCCAACGGCTCGGATTTTTCCCTCCCATCACTCGGATTTTCTTTTTCATCAAATTTCGTGCGCCCTTAGAAACCTGCCGGCTTGGGAAATTGGTTAGTGTAGATATTCTACACTTTGAGTGACCAAACACTGTTCAGAGCAGCAGCCGTCTTCCACGAGAGACCGCCTTTGTGGAGGGCACACCCGTTTCAGCCATCTCATAAACTATGGCGCCGGTGGGCATCTCAAGAGAAGACCCTACTAAACTTATTTCTAAGTGTGTTCTTCATTTTGGGCGGCCATTTTATGCTTTCTCGGACCTGAGCTTGGTGGTGTGCTCAGGGTATTACAGCTATCTGTATGCAAAGTGCTTGGCCTCCAGCATCTGGAAGGACGTTTGCTGTGAGGATCCGCTCTCTACGGAGGCGGGATCTCTCATTAGAGCCAAGTTTCTGAAGCACAGCGGAACCACCTCGGAATTGTTGAAGGATCTGGGCGGGGAGGGCGTCATGAGACGCTATGCAGTGGGGATTATCCCGGATGTGAGTAGCCTCCGTGAAGAGATGAACTTGTGAAGGAGGGCCTTTCCTTGCCACCTGCACCCACCCAATCCTTTTCATTATTTAGGGTTTCTCCACTTCTAGAACTTCCTCCAAGCGAGCGAATTTGGGCAAGGGTATTCCATCCATTCGTTTCTTTATTTAGAGGTTTCCAACAATAGGGTTTCTCACTTATGTACCTGATTTAATCCAGTATCCCACCAGATCTTATGAGACACCTCATATGACCGATGGCCATCTCGGGGAGTAGAAATCATCTTGTATCCATCAAAATCCATCCTAGGTTAAAACTTTCCAATTCCAAGACAGTCGTCTGATGTGGCATCGTAAGCAAGGAACTTGCTTCATAACTCTATCATTTGACCCCGTTATTCAACATAACGTGACAAATTGAGCACGTAAGGCAGCTTGAAGACGTGCTTCACATTTTTCTAAGAATATGTAAGAAAATATTTATGAGTCAGCTAGGTACGAAGAACTGTCAAAGTCCACGACTTCCATCCTCACCCATCTCTTTTCTACCTTGCAGAGGCCATCGCTCTCTGCCCTCCTCCTAGTTCCCAATTTATCCTTGAAGCAGACTGCACTACGAGGATACCATCCTAAAAATCCTGGTTTTCATCCTTTCACATGGGCCATGCAACCCGGCTGACACCAGAGAGATGGCAACAATTTTACTTTGAGGATCAAATATTTCCACAACAAACAACGAAAGAGTGCCGATGAAACCTGTTTACCTTCCAAGGGAAGAAAGACTCTGAGAAAGAGGAATCACGATGAAGAAAATTTCAATGGGGAAACTAGCGCAGTGCATGGAAAACGCAGTGGCCCAGTAGATCGCAAACCCAAGATTAAATGCCTCGTGGAGTGAGGAACACGAGCAACTCCATGCCAAGAAATATCGCACTAGTTTACGATGAAGTACTGCTTTATACAAACACAGATAACAGAAGACAGAAATGGTAGGCAGAGAAACTGGCAAGTGCTGCCTTTCCTCATCGTCGCCTCCTTCCATGGGAAAATTGCTTTCTCAATGAGTCTACTTGAAATCAAAGGTTGGTACCGGAGTGCTGGGCGCGTCGAAGCTCTCTAGAACCTTAGTCCTGCTATCCTCCCGGAGAGCGGTCTCCCCTTTTTCTTCTCTCGCCCGAAAAACCCTCCGAGCCATGGGGAAGAAGAGGAAGACTCGCCAGAATCCGGCATAGCCACGCCCGCGGGCGGCGATTGGGAGGAGTTGTTAGGCAAATAGCCGGCGGAAGCATAGCCTCCACCAGGTCCGCCGAAACCGGCCACATTGGGTGGCAAGCCGGCCATCGGATCCTCTATTGGGGAGGTTCTGGGAGCACTCAGAAACCGATTGAGCATTATACCAGCGCCTTCAATCAGTGCCAAGAGGACTCCCCAAACAGAGCCGACCTGGAGGCCGCGGCGGCGCCCTGTCGCATCCGCAGGAACCCACTGGTGACTGCGCCGGCGGTGATCGAGTTCCAGGGATCCTCCTTCTGGCGTACGTAGACCATGGTACAGTCAAAGGCAGAGAAGAGGCCTCCCCACACCGCAAAGCTCCCGCCGACCCGCGGAGCATTCATGCGCACTGCCTGGGCGCCCCCGCCAGCCGCTCCCCATTGGGGAGTTGTAAATACCCTTGATGAAGTGGAAGGCCGAACCGCCGACCGCCCCCATGCCGAAGGCGCCCCGATGTCGTCCAGGATACGGTCAGGGCACGGCTCCCGCGAGGTCTCCGGCGTCCCCATAGCGGTCGCGCCGCCGACGATCGGCCCCTACCAAACAGGGAGGGGTGGGTTGGGGAATCAGACGCCGGCGGGAACGGTAGAAAAACCCTAACCCTCGTCTCCAGAAGAAGAAGAAGAAGAGCCCTAACCCCAATCCAAAGGGAGCTCATTCGCATTCCAAAAAATTAAAATTCCCAGGAATTTCTATAAATAAATCCCCGTTGACTCGTGGACTTTATTTATTAATGAATTAAGTATGCAGATAATCCGTACTTCTCAGGGGTTAAAGCAGATTCGGATATAACGGGTACCAGAGACAAACGGTTTATCGGATTCTAGCATGGACTGGGCTGCAACCGATACTTCCCACACGCCGAGCAAACCGTATCCGTTAGCCGTTGGCAGGTATTCGTCCGGGTCGGGGTCCCCTTCCTCCCCTCTGTCCCTCACATCTATCTCCATTGGCAACTCCTGGTCGAGCTGTCAGAGAGCGGAAAATGGAAGGCGCGTCGGCGGTGGCCTCCCGGCAACCTCCCCAAGGTGGCGTCGTTCCCCGCGAAAGGTCCCTCCTCTGGCAACTGCCTCTCTGTCGCTTCCCAAGGTAACCCCTCCGCCGCGACCGGAAGGGTACTCCCCGTTTCTGTGAGGGCGGAGCCGCTGGAAGGTGGAAACTCTCTGGGTAGCGCGGAGGGCCCCTCCGAAACCGAAGTCCCGCTGCCTTTACCCTCTTCCCTCCAGAGAAACCGGCAGCCAAGGGGCGGGGGCTGGATTCGGCGGCATCTCCAGCCCGAAGAACAAGAGAGGCAAACAGAAGGGTTCGGTGATCCGGCGGGATCCCATCCTGAAGCCCTCCTCGCTCTACTCCAGGCGCGGAGATAGCGGAGGAGTCCTACGGTGGATCAGGGGCAGCAGACGGTTAACGAAAGCGCCTTCCTACTGACTTGGCTCGGCCTCGGTCTCCTCATTCTCATCGAGGGTATTGCGTTGGCGGCCTCTGGTAAGTTCTTCCTCCTAACTCCCTCATACACTTCTCTCGGAAAAAATAGAATAGCCTAGATGATATCGTGAAGAAAGTATGATCAAGTGATCTTTTGATAGAAGATTATTAGCGTAAATGTTGCTGAAAGAACTATATCATAAGATACAAATGAAAAGGGGTTGGCAAGAATTTTTTAAAATTGGGAAAAATAAATGCTTGCTAATTTTTGTTGACACTCATCTCAATGAAGCCAACCTTCACGTGATATCCTGGAAATTTGCAGAACATTTCACAAAGGTAGCATGAAAGAGCATTCTGAAAATGGCCCAAAGAACAATGTTGCTAAATTTTCAGCATCTGAGATCCAAATATGTTGCAAGAGGCCAGGATGAGGACAGGCAAATCAGCTTCCTTGGTTTGCCAAAGGCAATGATTTAAAATGCATGCTTGAAATTTATAGAAGGGCGAACCGGAATAGGTTTATTACTGAATGAAACATTCAAACGCTCTTTCAAGGAGTCCTCAAGAATACTAGTGATCGTCTCACCTTCATGACCACTGGGTCCTAATTTTTTCAAAGAGAGTTCATAGATATGGATGAATGAAGGAGAGGGACTGGGGAAAATCTATATCCATGAAACTAAAAATTTGATACAAATCTAGGTTCGACCAAAGATGATTGTGAATCTCTTCTCTACTTAAGGAAACAGCATCTAGGATTCGTGGGAATACAGAGAAAAAGACCCAATATTTATCCTCTAGTCTTTGAAATAGAGCCGCCACCTTGGAAGATTTCCAACACCAAGGAAAATGATTGCCGAGACAAAGGCACCATAGTTGAAAAAGAGGGAAGAAGTCCTTCCAATGAATTTTCAGGTTATTCACTACCAAGAATGCTATGACTTATATCAATGACTTAGAAGTGATTGCAAGGAATGTATTGCCGAAAAAATGAGCCTAGACCTCATCGGATATTCCCAACATATACACAATGTCTCTAAAGCCTCTCACCATCCTGGCCTATCATGGAGATGATCCTTCGAGACTTCGAACTCATGCAAAGTGCAAAAGATTGAGATAAACTTCGTCATCTAAAGATACATAGATAGAAGTGACCTGGAGATTCTTTTTTAAAAAGCTTAGAAACTGATGAAGGCATGATAAGTTATCCAAAGATTGATTAGTTTCTTAAAATTTTTAGGTGCTATTTGCCTCTCCCAAATATGCATACGCATCCTGATATGAACGGCTTCTGTTTGTGTTCAGTATCTCGTAGTATAAGGGGAAGAGTATGTACTATAGCGAGTGGGGACAAAACAGAAAGTAACTAAATAATTCTAGGTCCTAATCCAGGAATATACAGCTAGTCATGAGAAAGAAATAAGTAAAAATACCAGGAGAGGATCAGAAGATATTAAACATTCTCACTGAACGGATCTCAACAATAACTTTCCTTCTGTGAGAATGCCGACATTGTCAAGCCTTAGCATGTTGGATACTTTTAAGCACAAGATTTGAAAATGTATGAGCTTGTGTCTTCTCATCAAATCTATTCCGTGTCTATTTTATATCTTTTTCTGACATTGTAATGCATGCTTGTGTCCCAGAGATCACAAATACCAGAGGATGTCTAATGAACCTATTCATCTTCTGATGAGAAAATTTTCCATCGCATCTTATTTAAACTTTGAATAAAATAACTCATTGTGAATAGAAAATCGCTTTTCCTATATTAATATAGAAATTTAAAGGTAAGATTCGTTAGGGATGACACAGCTTTGTCCAATCCTAAGCTCTATGGATTAGAAAATAAGAAAGAAATATTTATTAGAATAGACTGTAACTATTCTTTGGTAATATCATTGGAGTTGCAGTCGATTTATACCAACAAGGTGGGTTTGAGTGAATCAGGACCGGGGAACAAGACATTCCTAAGGGGATAAGAAAATCCTAGGCCAAAACCATCTATTTTGTTTGCCTTCCTCAGAGCAGGGATGTAGTAAGTTGGCTTACCCTTCTTTGACCACACTCCAAGCATGATCTTACAGAGAACCCAAGCAAAACCACTCCCATTCCTATTTAGAGAGAATGTTCTTCTTTACAATCATTTCCAGCTCTATGTACTGAGGAAAAATATCTGTAAACTTACGGATCACGAGCATTGCTTTTTCCCTCTAAGGATAGTTATCATTGGTTCATTACAGTCTGAAACTCCAACTTAGAGTATCATAATCTTTCATTATACGAGAAAAAATTGTCTTAAGAATAGACATATACAGGTGCATAATCTCCTGTAGTATTTCTCTTTAATTCTCATTAGAATTTTCTTATTTAATTAATTCCTGCCTGGTGCTGTTATAAGGTGCAAGAAACCCGGTTACTATTTCTAAAGGATAATAATGTCAGAAGGAAGCCTGAGCACTAGACCTAATGAAGTTTTGGTCACTCAATATCAGCGAAGAAAAGGGTTCTTGCAGATTTTTTCTGATTCTTCATTTGGGAAACTTCTACTCAAATTTTTATCCATTTTATGTTATCTTGGTCTCTACGATTTTAGATTAACGCTTAATTATTCTCTACTTGCTGTTATTTACCTTTAATTCATTTCCCTTGCAGGGTTCCTGCCAGAAGGATTGGATAACCTTTTACAAAATATGTGTACCCAGCGTTTACTCCAACGGTAATCTTGTTTGTGGGTGGCACTGTAGCATATGGTGCCGTAAAGTATCTCCAGGGGAAAAACAGAAGAGCTGACCATGAGAGGTGAATGGAAAGTCAAAGTCGAAATGATATCGAATTGTCTTCAATCGTCTTTCCTCTTCACCGTTTTCTTCTTCTTCTTTTCTGTGCCTTGCGAAATCTGGTGACCCATCAGCTGGGGCAGCCGGTTCAGATCCTCTCTCATTGTTCCAAAGAGCCAGAAAAGCTCATCTTGTCGAGGATGCTGATGCAAATATAATTTTGGTGATGTTAGTTGTGCATTTCCATATCATCAAGGTTCCAAAGTAAAGAACCGGTGCTTCTTTGGGGTCAACCTGGCTCGTGTTGACCTTCCCCCCCCTCTCCCGACCAGCCCGCTCCTTCGGACCAATTTTCGGGCTTTTCAAATAGCCCGATGTTGAAATTGTGACCCATTCTCTCTCTCTCTCTCTCCTCTCTGTCTCTGTAAGATTAGCAGCTCGTTTTCAGTCCGGGTCTTTTGGGCGAAGCTTGAACTCTGGCCCGAGCCCGCCTCGGTCTGTTAGAAACGGCCTTCCCGCCGGCCGGAGACGCGTGGCATTTGAAAACCCATAACTACGCTTATCAAGGTCAACATGCATATAAGGAACATCCGTACTGACAAGGGTCATAAGGTAATATACATGTACCGTCGATGTTGGAAGCTAACCAATTAGAGGAAAACGACGAAGGGGAGGTGATTTGATCTTGTGAGGTCAAGCAGGAAGCAGACGTTTCCTAGCATTGATAGACGGCTGGGATGAGAGTGGTTTGATCCAACGGCCAGAAGATCGTCTCCTTCCTTCTCGCTCGGCCTAGAAAGGGCAGGTCCCTACTCCTGGGGTCGTCTTCTTGGGCTCTCCTCAGTAGCGTCGCCACCATCAGACATCAGCCGAGAGAGAGAGAGAGAGAGAGAGAGAGAGAGAGAGAGAGAGAGAGAGAGAGAGGTGGGGATCCCGGAGCCATGGCCGCCGCCTCGTCGTCTCTCATAGCTCAGACCGTGGCTTCCCGAGCGCTCGCCGCCGGGCATGGATCGCCCTCCCTTCCCAAACTGATCGCCTCGCGGTACCTTCGGGCTTGTGTCTTAGTTCTCTGGCCGGGAATGGAGTCAAGGCTTCGTCGGCCCTGGCCTTGCCGCTGCTTCATCCCAGATGGGGAAGCGGTTGGGCCCAGGCGGTTGGCGATCACCCCGGTGAGGGCTGCGGCGTTGGAGACCGTAGAGAAGACGGGGACAACGGCGCTGGTGGAGAAGTCCATCAACACCATCAGGTGTTGACGCCGTTTCTGGCTATTGACGGCGTCGAGAAGGCCAACTCAGGGCACCCGGGGCTCCCCATGGGCTGTGCCCCGATGGGGCAGATTCTCTACGACGAGGTGATGCGGTACAATCCGAAGAACCCCTACTGGTTCAACCGAGATAGGTTTGTACTCTCAACCGGGCATGGTTGCATGCTCCAGTACGCTCTGCTTCACCTTGCCGGCTATGACAGCGTCAAGGTGAGAAGAGATCTAGCCGTCGTTTTGCATGTGCTTCCGAAAACCACGGATCTGACTTTTATCATTCCTTCAAATCGATTCGTCCGAACTTCTTTGTCCTGTGAGCTCCGGTTGCAAGTGAACAGAACATATCTCTAGTTTTATAATAAAGAGGGTGCTAGGTGCCCTTTCATCGGAAATCGATAAGAACAGAGTCACCTGGATTTTTTATGGCTGGGAGTTCGACCTTTCTCCAAGAGCTAACTGCAAGATGAGATTAGATCGGTAAACTTCTGGTCGGACTTGTTTCTCTAGAAACTACTGGTCTTAGATTTATAGATATCAGCTCTCGCGCCGAGAGAGAAGATGTAGAATATAAGATTATTGTATCATAAATCTTTTGATGAGCGATTACACTTCAGGTATGTTTCCCAACAAAGATAGCCATCCCCTTCATTTTTGAAGCCTTCAGATAGTGAATTCGATCGATCTCTCTGACATTTTTATCGCTGATAATCATCATTCCTCTGAAATCCATCTTTCAGGAAGAACACCTGAAATCTTTCCGGCAGTGGGGAAGCAGAACCCCGGACACCCAGAGAATTTTGAAACTCCTGGCGTTGAAGTAACGACAGGTTCGTTTCGTCAACTGATCCCCGCAAACCTCTTGCCTTCTGACGCCAAAATAGGCGCCGCGCCGCTGATCGAAGATTTCTGTTCATCTATTCTTCCGCAATTTCCTTGTCCCCATGGTCATTCTCTCTCTCTCTCTCTCTCTCTCTCAGGTCCTCTGGGCCAGGGCATTGCCAACGCCGTCGGATTAGCCCTTGCCGAGAAGCACCTCGCAGCCCGTTTCAACAAGCCCGACGATGAAATCGTAAACCATTACACGTACTCTCTCTCTCTCTCTCTCTCTCTCTCCTCCTTCCCTCCCTCCCTCCCTCTCTCGCTTTCTCTCTCTCTCTATCCCTCGCTAGCCCCTGTCATTGACCTCGACGTAGATGTGTGCTTATGATAGGTATGTGATCCTTGGGGACGGTTGCCAGATTGAGGGAATATCAAATGAAGCCTGCTCTCTGGCGGGGCACTGGGGCCTCGGAAAGCTGATTGCTTTCTACGATGACAGCCACATCTCGATTGACGGCGACACGGAGATTGCCTTCACCGAGGACGTCAGCGCCCGCTTCAAGGCCCTCGGCTGGCACACCATCTGGATCAAGAACGGCAACACTGGCTACGACGAGATCCGCGCTGCCATTGCGGAAGCGAAGGCCGTCACGGACAAGCCCACCCTGATAAAGGCATGTCCCTACCTCCTAGCCGGCGCCTCTTGTCGCCGGTTAATTACATTTGTGGTTATGAAGTGATGTTGCTGTTTCTGTGGCGACCCTGTAGTTGACTACCACCATTGGCTTCGGGTCGCCGAACAAGGCCAACTCCTACGCCGTCCATGGAAGCGCTCTCGGAGCGAAGGAAGTTGACGCGACCAGGCAGAATCTTGGGTGGCCCTACGAGCCCTTCCACGTGCCCGAGGACGTCCAGAGGTACCTGCCCGTCGTGGAGATGGATCTCCTGTTTCTTCACCCCTCATTAATGGAGCCAGCCCGGGCGTTGTTTCCTGGCGACTGGAGTTTCTGGGCGGCGCTATGACAGCCACTGGAGCCGTCATGTCCCCGAAGGCGCCGCCCTGGAGGCCGAGTGGAACGCCAAGTTCGCGGAGTACGAGAACAAGTACGAGGAGGAGACGGAGACCCTGAAGGGGATAATCAGCGGGAGTTGCCCCGTGGATGGGAGAAGGTCCTCCCGGTGAGCTTGAATAATCTTTCGGCACTGGGATTTCCTCCGTTTCTTTCTGTGGCTATATATGTATATATGGTAGGGGCTCTTTCTGAAGTCGCCTGGCGTCCTCCGATTGTTGTGCAGACTTACAACCCCGAGAGCATTTGCGATGCGACGAGGAACCTGTCGCAGCAGTGTCTCATCGCCTTGGCGAAGGTGCTGCCAGGGCTCCTCGGCGGCAGCGCCGACCTCGCGTCCTCCAACATGACACTGCTGAAGATGTTCGGTGACTTCCAGAAGGACACGCCGGAGGAGAGGAACGTCCGGTTCGGGGTGAGGGAGCACGGGATGGGCGCCATTTGCAATGGTATCGGCCTCCACAGCCCTGGGCTCATCCCCTACTGCGCCACGTTCTTTGTCTTCACCGACTACATGCGCGCGGCCATGAGGATCTCCGCCCTGTGCGAGGCGGGGTTATCTACGTCATGATGACCCACGACTCCATCGGGCTGGGGAGGACGGACCGACGCACCAGCCGATCGAGCATCTGGTGAGCTTCCGGGCGATGCCCAACATCCTGATGCTCCGCCCGGCGGACGGCACCGAGACTGCCGGCGCCTACAAAGTGGCCATCCTCAACAGGAAGCGGCCCTCCGTGCTCGCTCTCTCCCGGCAGAAGCTCTCCCACCTCCCGGGGACCTCAGTTGAAGGAGTCGAGAAGGGAGGGTACACCGTTTCCGACAACTCCGGCGACGGCAAGCCCGACCTCATCCTCCTCGGCACCGGCTCGGAGCTGGAGATCGCCACCAAGGCAGCGGAGGAGCTGAGGAAGGAGGGAAGAAGGTCCGCGTGGTGTCGCTCGTCAGCTGGGAGCTGTTCGACGAGCAGACCGAGGAATACAAGGAAAGCGTCCTCCCCGGCGTCGTCACCGCCAGGGTCAGCGTCGAGGCCGACGCCACGCTCGGGTAGCACAAGTACGTCGGCAGCAAGGGCAAGGCCGTCGGCATCGACCATTTCGGCTCCAGCGCGCCGGCGGGCACCATCTACAAGGAATTCGGCATCTCCACCGCCAAGTCGCTGTGAGTTCCGCCCGCGCCTAGACACCCCTCCCTTCATGCGCAGTTCTCGGATTTAGGCCCTCTCTTTCCCTCCCTGCGAAGAGTCTCGGACTGATGCCCTCGGAGCCACCGATGGACATCGATCGTCCCACCGATTGACCTGCTGCAATAAAAACCACCTTCCACTCATCTTCTTCTCTTTTATTTTCCGTCATCTTTCTCGTCGTCATCCATGCAATGTAGACGGAACCCTAAGATCATGAATCTTTACTCCTCGTGTTCTCCGCTGGTGTTCTCAGTTGAAAACTCTCTGTTTCTACGGGGAAAATAAATCAAGAAATTGCTCTATTTATGTGCTCCATCGTCGCATGGGTCTGTCGGAGAGAATAATCGATCGTGATCTTGTGGGCAGTGGACTTCGTCTGGTTTTATCGCAGGCTGTGGATGAGTTGAGAGCTGCGAAGCTGTTTTCTTGTCGCCTCCTCTCTCTCTCTCGCTCGCTCACTGTGCCCGGTCAGCCCTTCGGAGCTCTCTGTGTGGGGCTATGTTTTCATACATCTATTTTTGCAGGGAGGGGTATAAATGGTATAACTGTTATGATCAGGGTTATTAGATAAACGCGTCGTTGCAGGTGGGGGTTGAAATTTGATATGAGAAAGACACGCGGCGCCTTCACAGTGGTTGCACTCTATCCTCTCGGAATGAGTCAACCCTGGTCGCCATCGCCTCACGTGGATTTGAGAGAACGCGGAGGGCTGGAGAATTCCCGCAGGAGGTTTTGAAGAAGAGGGAGCCTCCGCTGGCGGCAGCCCGATCTCCTCCCTCAGCCCTTCGTCGCTGCCGCGGGGCTTCAGCAACGACGACGTCCGTTCGTCGAGGGGCTCCGCCTCTCGCCGGCGATATCACCTTTCTGATCCATGCTCACTAAGGGATCGACGTGATGGTCGTCGATCAGAAACCGGGGAAAGAAGTCGGAGGTCTTCTAGTTCCCGGTCCGTCTCTTGTCGCTGGCCTCTAAGTCGTCCTTGTCCTCGTCGCTGCTTGCCGGTGTACCGCTCGGCATTTCGTCACCTTCTTCGTGGTCTCCGTGCCACCGGCGTCCTGTGGCTTCGGCCCGCATTTTTTCAAAAGGGGCGGAAGAGAAGAAACCAGATCGTGAGACAGCGGAGGGGAAGAAATCCCCGGTCCCGCCACACGAAAGTCGATCAGTCGGAAAAGGAGAAGGGAGATTGAGCCCCACCACCGTTTCTTCACTTTCGCTCACCTCCGGATTGATTGGAATCCTACACTGCTCCCACTGCCGATTCAAGATTCCCGTAAACCCTGACTTTGTAGGTCGGGGAACGAAGAGGACGACGGCGCTCGCTAGGGCTGAATGAATCTTCGGAGAAGGGATTAATTGATCGGTATTGGCTTCTTCGCTCGGGTAGTTGACGTGGTCGCACGTCGCCTTCGTGGCCTCCGGCGGAATTCCTCCTCGTCGGAACTGCGCGGCGGCGCTCGGCGCGAGGAAGATGGAGAAGTCCGCCTTTCACCACCACCAGCGCCACCTCCGCCTCCCCTCCAGAAGCTCATCATCCTCTCCTTCATCGCAGCGGTCGTCGGCCTCCTCTTCTTCCTCCACCTCTTCTCACTCTCTCCCTCCTCTGCCACCGCCGACAGCCGGTACGTCGGCACCTCCTCCTGGGGCGGGCCTGCCTGGGAGAAGCGCGTGCGCTCGTCCGCCCGCGTCCGCCGGATCCCGCACAGCGCCGCCGGCCGCCGCCCCATCGCCGTCCTCGTCACCGGCGCCGCCGGGTTCATCGGCACGCACGCCTCCATCGCTCTCAAGCGCCGCGGCGACGGCGTCATCGGCCTGGACAACTTCAACGACTACTACGAGCCCTCCCTGAAGCGCGGCCGCCAGCTGCAGCTGGACCGACACGGCGTCTTTGTCGTGGAGGGCGACATCAACGACGGCCCCTCCTCCGCAGGCTTTTCGACGTCGTCCTCTTCACGCACGTGCTGCACCTCGCCGCCCAGGCAGGCGTCCGCTATGCCCTGCGCAACCCTCCTCCTACGTCCACTCCAACGTCGCTGGCTTCGTCTCTGTCCTCGAGGCCGCCAAGTCGGCCTCCCGCAGCCTGCCGTCGTCTGGGCCTCCTCCTCCTCCGTCTACGGCCTAAACGCCAAGGTACCCTTCTCCGAGGCCGACCGCACCGACCGCCCTGCCAGCCTCTACGCTGCCACCAAGAAGGTCGGCGAGGAGCTCACCCACGTCTACAACCACATCTACGGCCTCTCCATCACCGGCCTCCGCTTCTTCACCGTCTACGGCCCCTGGGGCCGCCCCGACATGGCCTACTTCTTCTTCACCCGCGACATCCTCCGCGGCCGGACCATCTCCATCTTTGAAGGCCCCGACCACGCCGCCGTTGCCCGCGACTTCACCTACATCGACGACGTTGTCGGCGGGTGCCTGGCGGCGCTCGACACGGCCCGCCGGAGCACCGGCACCGGCGGGAAGAAGAAGGGCCCCGCCCAGCTCCGGGTCTACAACCTTGGAAACACATCGCCCGTGCCCGTGTCGCAGCTCGTGGACGTGCTCGAGGGGCTTCTGAGGAAGAAGGCCTCGAGGAAGATGGTGAAGATGCCGAGAAATGGGGACGTCCTCTTCACGCACGCTAACATCAGCTTGGCGCAGCTGGAGCTCGGGTACCGGCCGACCACAAACCTCAAGGCCGGCCTGAAGAAGTTCGTGAAGTGGTACCTCGAATACTACCACCACCAATCTCCCTCAGCAGGACGGAGCAGCAAGCAGTGGCTGGGGTGATATTCTTGCAGTCTCTCTCTCTCTCTGTTGTTTGAATATCGATAAACCTCAATGGCGGAGCACGTTCTACCAAAGCACATGTGAGACGATGAATGCAAGATCAAAGCAGCCCCATCATGTTCTTCCGTCAAATCTCTCTCTCTCTCTCTCTCTCCCTCTAAATTCGGTGAAACATCGATCACCAAAAACACATGGAGGTCTTGTGGGCATGAGCGATCACCGAAAAACAAGTCTCACAAAAGAAATAACATTAAAAATCCAGGTTTCATCGCGGAACAAAACTCAACTACCCGTTCTATAACTCTGAGAAGAATTAAAAGCAAAAGAACAACTCCCATGCTCAGCAACGTACGACATCGATCGAAGCAGTAGCCGCAGCCGCCCATCATCATCAAGCTCGCTCCTTGAGTTTCCATGGAAAAAGAACGGGCCTCTTCCCCACAAGAGGGAAGGGAAGGTGGCGAGATCAGACGTCCGCGATCGTCACCTCGACTTCTACACCCGGCTCGATCGTGATGGAGGTGATCTGCTTCACCACCTCCGGCGAGCTAACGAGGTCAATCACGCGCTTGTGAACACGGAGCTCAAACCGGTCCCACGTGTTCGTTCCTGAAAAATAGAGATGATTGGAAGGATGACCGATGCTAGAAGCCCTGGAATGCTTCAGAGATTCAAGAAATGAAAATTTACAAAAATAATTATGACAGAATTCCTTCTTTGAGAATAATTATGGCGACCAGGGTTTTACTAGGGTTCTAGGCTTTTACTGTTTTTTCACTTACAACTGGGTGCTAACTCAGAAACTCTTCAACTGAACACCAATGACTGGCTCCTAATATTAAAACGAAGTCAAGTTTGACAGCAATAGATTCAAAAGATGATGATAAAATTGAAGGACGAGAATTAAGAAATGAATAAAAATCCCACCAGAGCAGATTGTTGGCTCCATTGGAGCACAGTTTCCTTCAGAGGAAATCAATTTCTTTGGAGATGCAACATAATGCGAGGTCAATATATTACCAAGCTGAACTTTATTTTCTTTCAACCTTTAGATTTGCATGATGACGAGTGAAGCTTATATCACGTCACCGAAGCAAATTGGACACTGAGCACCTCAGCAATCATATATTAATCTGATTGTTGAATTATAGAAAAACCAACAAATTGTGTCATCACAAATATAATTTACTGCATGTTCCCGGGCAGAAATCGGATTCAATTGATACCCTCCTGCGGGTCCACAGTAACGAGTCCCGTAAAGGTGCCGAGGCCACATCGAGATGTAAAAATATTTCCCGTCTATTGCTTATTCCCTGAAAAATTAGAAGTCAATTAATATTGTGTAAATATTTAAAGTATTTCCCAAAGAATGCTGATTTGATAATTCCTAGAAATCGACCTAGAAGCTTTAAACTATTTGAGACTCTACCACAGGATTGATATTCTCCTCTCTTGAGTACACTACGATGCTGATTATCCCTTCCTTCCTGCCTATTCTTTCTCCTTCAGGAATAGGAGGATGCCTGAATAGTCCTAAAGCAGTCCAAGAATTCGAACATAAATGGCTCATTTTAGGAGTATTCCAAAATGGTGGCGCTGTTTCATCTCTCATTCTAGTTTAGCTAGCAGTTGCTTTCAGAAGAATTGATGTTGTCCTCTGTCACACAAAGAGAGACAGCAGACCAGAGCGGGCGATATCCAACAACCAGAATGTGAAAGAGCATCATGGGCGAAGACACTAACCTTCCCACAGGGGACTTCCTGGTGGTGATGTGGAGGACCTTGGTCGGCATCCTCACGGGTCCCTTCACCCTCAACAGCTTGTCTTTCGCCCCTTCACAAGATCCGCGCAAACTGGAGACAGCGATGAAGGCAGAACGGAGAAGAATTAGGGTAAATTACAGGAGCGTAGTGGACGTCATACCAAGCAGAACGGAGAGAGGAGACGACCACTACCTTTCTCGAGGTTCTTCACGTTCTTGGAGGAGAGCGTGATCCGGATACGGTGAACCTGTTCTTGAGGCTGGTCCTCCAGACCCTGCTTCATGGGCTTCACCGCCGCGTACGCCATCCTTCTTCGATCTCCTCCGGCACCGTCGGCGTCACAAGGAGAATCAGACAACCCAAGACTCTACCAGCGCCGCTGCCTTCACTTTTCCAAGGCTAGGGTTTTCTCCGCGGCACAGCCGTCAAATATACCACACGACCCCTTTTATAATAAATTCCTAAAGTACCCTCGAGTTCGATAACCAACCCTAATCCCCGTCTCGGTCTTCAGTCACGAGGGGGACAAGCTCTCTCTGAACCGGGCCTATCATGACGCAAAACCTTAGTCACAAATCACCAGAAGATTCAGGACGAGCTTCGAACGAGCTTTTCTGTGCGGGGCATTTCGTCGAACAGATAGGGCGTGGGGCCGTTGTTGCAGAGTCCATGGAAGGAAGAACAATGGAATCTGAGGGATTTTCTCCAGGTTTAGGGTAAGGAAAGGTACCGGCCAAAGGCGCGCTAGGGGTTCATTTCCTCCAGCAATTCCCGCTCTGCAGTGTCCAATTCCCACTAGTTCGCCGCTACTATCCTCCCTGCTTACGCCGTCGCCTCTCCGCGTCTGCCTTCCCGTCCTCGAGTTCATCCCCGCCGTCGTCAGTCATCCGTTTCGGGAGGTCTCCTCCTTCTTCTTCTCTTCTTCTTCTTCTTCTTCTTCTTCTTCTTCTTCTTCTTGCGGCCTGTACGTCCACTCCAGTCTGCTCAGAAGATCCCGGTCCTTCCACCGCCCGATCACCGCCGCCGCCTCCTTCCCCGCCTTACCCGACGCCACCTCCCGCCACGAGAACCCCGCGTCGGCGATCCTCTTGAGCGCGCCCTCACCTCCCTCGTCCCCACCACGACCGTCTTCAGGCCCTCGTCCTCGCCTCCGTCAGGACTCCGGCGATCCCAGAGTCGTCCGACACCAGCACCAGGCACCCCAGCGCCGCCCGCTGCTCCATAGCTGCCAGCATGTTAGCCGTAAGAGCTCCTCTGTTGGCTGCCTCCTCTCGGTCTGGCATCCGCCGGACGCACACCCCGCGCGCCGCAGCTCCTCCGTAAGGCCGCCGCCCCGAGCTTCATCTTGGGAACGAGCACCTCCGCGCGGCGCGCTGAAATTTCTCCATTTTCACCGTCAGCTTGGCGGCCAGCCGGACCCGCCGGCTGCCCTTGGCGGAGTCGAGCTGGACCAGCCACTTTGCGTGCTCGCGCTCGTGGATCTGCGTGAAGTGGTCGATGAGCTTGGTGCGGTTGTAGAATCGCCGACCACAGACGCCGCAGAGGTGGGGCTCTGCGGGGACGACCGCGCCGGAGGCCTCGCCGCCACGCGGAGCACCGGCGGCGGGCGGGGAGGCAGAAGGCGTGGTGATCGGCATAGGCGACGGCCAGCCTCACCGGCCCGAACCGGGAGGCGACGAGCTTCAGGCGGACGGCGGCGTCGTACGGTGGGATCGCCTTGGGGGCTTGTTGTCCAGGTCCCAGAAGACAGCCACCGGAGGTAGACTGGCGCGAGCGACGGAGCACGAGCCCCAGTGCCCGTCGCTCCCAGGTGGCGCCGACGCGACAAGAGATGACGACGGGCGGCCGAGAGACCAACGACGATAGCCATCTTCACCTCCGCAGACTGAACGGTGGGGAAGGTCGAAGATGGAGCATAGCCTCCCACAGACTTGACTCCATAGCTACAGTCCAGAATTCTGCTTTGGGCGGCCCAACCTCGAGGCCCATTAGTTCCTAGGGAGAATGATTGAAGACCCTCAATCCCTCAAGAAGCATAATCCACTGACCCCATATGAACCATATGTCTATAGTACACGGCACTGTGCCTCCTACAGAAGACAAGTCCTCGGCCTAAAAACACCACATGAACATACTCTGAGAGAGAGACAGACAGAGAGAAGGCCCATTTCACTGCGGGAAGGTCATTCTGTATGCCTGCGTGCTTGTTGTTCGGCTTCCTCGGCATCCTCAAACCTCTGGTCGTTGATCTGAAGCTGCAAACAGAACAAAATATCAAAGATAAATGCATTTTCTCTCTCTCCCGATATTTCTTTCTAGTTTAGGCAAAGAATGAAGAGATAATTGACCTCGAGAACCGAGTGGGCCAGGTCTTCATGCCCATTTGCGTGGCCAATGGGATTGGCGAGATCCTCAGAAAGATGCCATTCGGAATCATCCCCTGTGAGCGCACGCAGAGAAGCCAAGATTAATGAGGATCAACAGCAAGTTGGGTTCAAACGAGATCCATACCATTATCACCCATACCAACACCATCGACAGCAATTTGCTCATCTCCAAAAACCCACTCATTTTCCTCCCTTGCTCTGCACGAGATATATATATATATATATATATATATATATATATATATAGAGAGAGAGAGAGAGAGAGAGAGAGAGAGAGAGATTAGCCATTTCCTCTTTATCTTGAATGAACTACAAGCTTCATCAAATATAGCGCATAGGAGAGTAGCACCAACCTTCAGTAGGATCAGGGTTTAGCTCAGCACCCTCACAGAAAATATCAAATAGAGCATCCACTGCCGCCAGCAAAGTTAAGGATAGGAGGAAGAAACCCATTCCTATGCTCATGGGACGGAAACTCATCATACAGCAAACGGCTCCAGCTTTAAATTACTTGCCAAGGAATCAGTGGAGATGAAGGTGTTCTATATAGATTTTTCTCTAATCCATAACTGGTAATTAATGAACTTCCTTTAGATCTGATTCAGCAGTCTAGGAGTCATTAACTCTTGTTTCATGGGGATAATGACAGGATTGCAGGGTTCTTTCCTCAGGAAAACATGCACCAATACAATCATCACAGAATAATGAGCAACAAAGGATACAATGGCTGGGTTCTGATGGCACGAGCCTCATCTCAGTGACTTTTGAGGGATCTAGTTCCTCAATGCATTCAGAATCTGAATCCTCCGATCTTTCATCCTCACCAGCATCCGTTTCAATCTTCACATGCAACACAAATTCAAGCAACACACAAAGAACGTAATTTTATGACAGGTCTCTTTTAAAATAATTCGTGAGCCAATGGTAAAATACTTGGTCTTACACACAATATGATATCACGTATATTACTGACTACAAAATCCCAAATCCAAATATATCAACCAAAGTTTCCATTGACGACTCTGAATGTAGTCCTGATGAAGGAGTGCACGTATAGATTATAGCTTTTGGTATTTAAACACGAAGATCAAAACAACGCAATATAATTGAATACCATGATTTTGAACAGGAGGTGCAACTTGCTCTATTGTTAATGTGGACAGGGAATGAATGCATATAATCTAAATAAATTTTTAACAACAGTGTCATGCCACATTTGTATTCCACAAGCCTCTATATTTTTAGTGTAAAGTATTTACAATGACATATTGCGCTCCCATCTTTAGATAAGAGGATGTTTCTAAAGAAAAATTGCATGATTACTCAGAGGAAAATAAGACGAAAAAGATTTATTCTCTTAAACATCTCAGAGACTAATGAGAAGCCAGGAGAAAAACTTCATAAAGATTTAAGAAGCATATAAAATCGATCTCAACTAAGGGAAAAAATATAAAAAATATTGATTATGGAGAGGAACAATAATAAGAGATCAAAAGATAATTCCTATCAAATCTCTCGTTTTCTCTTCTTCAATCAGATAGTATCACTTAGCTTTCTTTTTGTTGCTTTCTTATGTTTTCATATGCCTCATATGTTATCCATTTGTGCACCTATGTGTATTTATAGAAAGATATCTAATTGCTACTAGGAGAGTTTCACCCTGTGCCTTTACTTAAACATGTTGCAACCTGTATTCAATACGCAAGCTTCCACTTGAGGCCCTAATTTATGAAAGGAGTGCATCCAGTAAAACAACAACTTCTGCAGAGCAAATGACCACGAATATTCGTTATAACTGGAGAAGGAAACGAGATAAATGATCTTCAAATGTTTTTAATAACTTATAAATGAACCATTGGTTCCTTAATGATATATTTATGGACTTTTTAGCCATTGGTTTAATTGTCTCGTTCTTCACAATCACATATAGCTGCATCTACTTTCTTTTCGCAATTTTTTCGTTAAGAGGACCCATATCTGTATAATCAAAGGAATTCTAATAATTTTAATCATCAATTCCAATGGCAAACTTCTTAGAAATATTCTATAATCAGTTTCGAATTACTTATTCTGAATACGATCCGGGATCTACCATGATACGCGAAAAAGTGATCATAGATGATAAGATGTCAGCGGCTGACAAGGGTCAAGAACAAGTAGGCTTTGCCAAAAAATCTTCACAAAATTCTAGCCGACGTGGTGCAAATACCGAAACGAACTTCATAATTTTGATCACCGTAGTAAATGGAAACATCGAACCTGAGCGTAGATGCAGGGAAAAGCATAAGCGTCAGGGTCCCTGGAAACAGCATGGAGTGAAATCGCCAAGAAATCCACAGCATAGCCTCTTGTGTGGTCCGTGTCGCTCAGCCATATCACCCTCCTTGACCACGCCCAACCAGAAAACCGAGGAGAAAAAATAAGCAACGTAATATATGATCAGGCGTACAGGCCCCCAGCAAACGAGCAACGGCTGGCAAGAGAGACAGAAAGGAGTGGCAACAGCCGCCGGAGAGATGAAAACAAGCATACAGGTAGAGAACGAGTACTTGCTAGTTATATAGAGCGTCCCAGGGAACTCCTGCGGTCGGTTCCCGAGGGCAATGCCCACACCAGGCTGTACGTGCATCAGCTCTTCACCATCCTCGTCCACGCGTGGCTGCCCTACTCCGTCACCCACCCGCTCCGCAAATCGCCGAAAACCTGAAGCCACCATTGCCCCTGCCACCCCAAGCACCACCACAGTGAGGAGCTAGCGCCGAGGTTGGTTCCTCTCTCTCTCTCTCAACCCTTCCCGCCCGGCTCTTCCAGCTCTCCCCTAGGGCGGCAAGCCTCCACGGGAGAGTGCCGGATCAATTCCTCAAATCCGGATCCTTATCGGATCTTAATATTAAAACTCTATATACTGATCTCTTATCGGGTCTGATTTGGATATCCGTTTCCGACAGATCAAAGACGTGTCAAAAGGGCTTTCTAGAAACGTCAACTCCTTTTTGACACGCACCGAGAGAGGGCAGGGGGAGGGGAAGGGAAGGGAGGGAGAGAGAGAGGGTTGCAATGGGGAAGGATCTGACAGAGGAGCAGGTGGCGTCGATGAGGGAGGCGTTCTCGCTGTTCGACACGGACGGCGACGGGCGGATCGCCGTGGTGGAACTGGGAATCCTGATGCGGTCGCTCGGCGGCAACCCGTCCCAGGCACAGCTCAAGGAGATCGTGGCGGAGGAGAATCTGACCGCCCCTTCGATCTCCCTCGCTTCATGGAGCTGATGCGGAAGCACCTGAAGCCCGAGCCCTTCGATCGCCAGCTCCGTGACGCCTTCCGAGTTCTCGACAAAGGCGGCACGGGCTACGTCTCTGCGTCCGATCTCCGTCACATCCTCACAAGCATCGGCGAGAAGCTGGAGCCCGCAGAGTTTGACGAGTGGATCCAGGATGTCGACGTCGGCCTAGATGGAAAAATCCGTTACGAAGATTTCATTCTCCGCATGGTAGCCAAGTGATGCCCGTTTGGGACACTAGAAAAATGTTGTGATGTACGGCGCAATCTCTAATGTTCGTCTCCGGTGCGTATTTCAGATCCTCTTGATTCCTTATCTCTTCTCCTCGATTAAGTTTGCTTATCAGGGCCTCGGATCAAGCGTTTCGCCTGAGATTTGTGGCATTTCAGCCGGGGGCTATTGTTGATTCACTTTAATTTGTTCCTTTATATTCAGAAATCGGTTGTGTGGTCTGCAAGTAGTTTAAATTTACCTCCAAAAGTAATCGCTACGCTGTTTTTGGGATATGGACTCCGTCTTTGTCATGATTAAAGCCTGCGAGGCTATTCTGGTTGTTGTTGATTGATTTTCAGTCAGTTATTTGCCAAGAACAATAATACTTTATTCGTATGAACCCGAGAGAAAATGGAGGAAAAGCCTCAGCGAGAAGATTTTCTTCGTCTGAAATCATGCGAGGACTTAGTTATTAAGTTAGACATGAGTAGCTTAGGTATATTCAATAAAGATGAGTTAAGGGAGATTTTATGTTGTTAAGGGAAGAAACATGAGTTGATTGATGGGATCAATCCATTAGCTTTCGTGTCTCCCATGGATCTGTTTATTATATGGCAAGCTTAGGTATATTCAATAAAGATGGAGGTGGCTGAAATGTTAGTACTTAAATATGATTATATTTTGTTATTTCACATTACTTTTGCCCGGTATTTGTTTTATTAAAACTACTAAAAATCGTTCTTTGGAGATTGTGTTCGAACTTGGGCCAGACGGTTGTTTGATCCTGCTAATCGAAATCCAGTAGTAATCATAATTATTGTCATTTCTCTTAAATCCTTTAATTTATTTTTAATAATAATAATCGATGGCTTAAAAGGGAAAAAATGCCAGACTACATTATTATATAGTTAAACTGATTACAAAGCCATATTTTTTGAAATTCGGATCCGATTTGGTGGAGAAACGGGCCATATTGGCGAGTTATCGGTTCCACCCCAGTACACGTGGCTCGAGCTGTCAATTCATTGGGCGTGGGGTAGAAATGTGAAAATCAATTCGAAGAGGGTAGAGATGTAAAATCCGTTGCCATCTTTCCCGTCCCGGGAGAAGGAACGCATAGGTGCCGGCCACGATCGAGAAGCCCAGCGAGAGAGGAGAGAGAGGGAGGAGGAATGGGGAGAGAGGTGGAGGACGAGCAGGTGGCGTCAATGAGAGGCGTTCTCGCTCTTCGACACGGACGGGGACGGGCGGATCGCGGTGTCGGAGCTGGGGATCCTGATGAGGTCGCTGGGGAACCCCACGCAGGCGCAGCTCAGGGGATCGTCGCAGAGGAGAATCTGACCGCCCCTTCGACTTCCCCGCTTCATGGAGCTGATGCGGAAGCACATGAAGCCGGAGACCTTCGACCGCCAGCTACACGACGCCTTCCGAGTCCTCGACAAGGACGGCACGGGTTACGTCGCGGTGTCCGACCTCCGCCACGTCCTCACGAGCATCGGCGAGAAGCTGGAGCCTGCAGAGTTTGACGAGTGGATCCGGGAGGTGGACGTGGGATCCGATGGCAACATTCGCTATGATGATTTCATCCGTCGCATGATCGCCAAATGATGGCCTCGATTTGTTGACGTATTGTGTGAAAGGATCTCTCGCCATGTTCGATTCCTGTACGTACGCCTGATTCTCTTAAACTTCTCTCTTCATGGTTCTCTTCACGTTTTCGCGTCCGGGGAGTATTGGCCTTTGCGTCTTCCATTTCCGCGTATTTGTCTTAACTTGTCATGCAGAAGCCGTTTCTCTCTTAAGATGGGATCGTTTTTGTGCATTGGCATTGTTAGTTGACGGATTCGCGGAGGTTTCTGTCCGCGCGGTCCTTCAAACAGCGGATTAGGAACTGTCTTTGTGCGACTCCGAATGCTCTGTGGGATGCATCTGCTCAAGTCTTCCTAGTTACTATAACAATACGTTTGAACTGGATTCTCCTGTCTCTTTGATTCTATCCTGAAAATGACGGGAAAATGTGGAGAACAGAATACTCGCTGTTCTTTGTGATTTGTTTGCATCTGTAACATCAACTGATCGACTTCAGTTTAAGGTCCTTATCCTTTGTTCTGAATTTCTGCACGACTTTCCACTGCCATCCAGACCACCGATCTCTCTTGGTTGGTTCCGTTTCACCTCGGCCAATCCATCACAAAACCTGTAAAATTCTGATATATCCCAATTCTCCCAGCATGTGAACTCCCCTGTTCACCCCATTTATGATCTTCATTCCGGTCGGTTATTTTCTCCTCACGCATGCACATTGAATGTATCCACTGTTCCCTTCAGAAAATAGTGGGGGTATTAAAGGTTGTGACAGTTCACAAAACCCTAAGTTGGTGTAGCATTTTCAGATAATATGTGAACTCTCTGCTGCCTGCGCTGGTGTAGGCGGAGTTCTTGAGAGTAAGTAAGCAATTATAAATGCGTTCAAGAATGCATTCCTGAAAAACTAAGGTTGGTATAGGAACTTTGGGCGTGGAAGTGGCTGGTGGAAGAAAATTGTACGGTGGAGATGTTGCAACAATACTCCATTTGATGGATAAAGCAGGAGAGAAAGAGCACAGTAAAGACATGATTGTGTATATTTCTACCTCTTAGATTCCCATATGGTCAGAATTAGCTCGGCCTCTGATCGTGCTATGTAGATATCCCCTTATGATTTATATGTCCGTAATAGAACAGATTATTTTTGCATATTTTCGACGCAGGATAAAATCGATATTTTTCTATAGTCAGCAGAATTAATGCCCTCAATAATTCTAGTTTGGCTGATTCTGCTCAATAATGTATAGATTATTAAAGAAATTCTTGTCATGTCCAAATCCTTTCACCTGGAAAGGGCATATGATTGAATTATACTTGCGAGAAAAGTAAGACTATCTGGTAATTATAAGTTAGGCAAAAGGATTTGGTCTTGGCCCTAACGGTTGATCAGTGTGTAGGTCCATCAGTCTCTCTTCCCAAGTGTCCTAGCGTGGCTTCTAGTATGCTCTGAGAGAGAGAGATTTTCTCAACAACGACGACCCCCAGGAGTTAGCGAAAAGACTAATGACCTAGAGCGCAGCCTTCAGACGAGGGACACAAGGGCACTCATTTCTGTTCCTTTTGTTTCCTCTTTTCTTTTTTTCCAATAAGAAATTTGGAAATAAAAACTAGGTCACTCCCACAGGGCGATTAATTTGGAGAGAGAAAATGGATGCGTACGATAGGGTACTCCTTGCCGGCCACCCACACCCCCGTCTTCGACCACTGTACGTCCTCCCACTCCAGATTCTCCTCCAGCACCTGTGCACAGAAGGTGATGGAACTTGACCAAACCCTTCTCTGTTCAAGAACATCACAACAATAAATATGCATAGATTCAAAAAAAAAAACCCTCTGTTTATCCTTTGAAACTCACTTTCAAACATCTCAATAAATATGTATTGCATGTCCCTTCGATTTTTTCTGAGAAGACCAAATATCTATTAAAACACCATTTTTGATCACACCGTTTATGCATTTTTATGTCTGGGGAGAACTTTTATATCTAAAGGGATGAGGGTAGCACGGTGTAGTGTGCTTTTGTTTTGTCTCCTGGCAATCTTAATCCTTCCCACCCCACCAGATAGAAGAAAATCGAGAGATAATATGCATACCCACCTCCACATGTTCCACTGGTAAAGGAACCCCAATAGAGAGCATCAGTTTCTGAGGAAGGGCTTCCTGCAGCGCGACCATCGGAAAACATCTGTGATGTGATCTCGGTCAGAGCTGTGATTCTGAGTGTTCCCGTGCTCAGGTTCCAAGGGCCGAGAGGAAGTTGTAGCGCCGTTCTCAGTAGGCTTCTCCCCACCGAAGCACAACTCGTACCTGCAAGAGGTTTCGGTTGGGGAAGAAGATCATAATATTTCTGAAAAATACTAAGAATTCCCTAGAGTGGCTTTGATTCTTTCACATCTGTTCGGCACCTTCAAATACATTTAGCAATCACACCAGGCATATGAGGATGAATGGGAAAGGAATGTGTGAGAAAGAAGACGAATTCAGAGGTCTTCAACGAAGAACCAAGGGTGGAATCTGCACCAGAGGATTTTTATACAAGGTAAGCTGAAACCATATCATACACAAAAATGAGATAGATCTTCGTCATTCCAGTACATTCAGGCTCATTTATATGGCTCTACAACCAGTATATCCAACTGTATGAACAGGCATATGAACCCTGTCCTGTGGGAAGAACAGGAACTGTAAGGTCTTATCATAGATTTTAAACTGAAGGTCAATCAGAGCATTATAATCACAGGTCCAGTCTATGAATACAAGTCAGGCCCAAAATACGCACTACTGTCTTTTTCTTTTTTCCCTTTTTCACTCTACCTGACAAAGCAAGGTAATCCCTATTCCACCAAGAACGTTTTAATCCTGGGTCGATTTAACTAGGGAGCATTAAAACAAGTTTCTAGTGTTGAGAGATTCATCTGGGCTAAGATCTGTCAGAAATTTAGACGCAGAACATAAAAATCAAAACTAACCCAGAAACATGGAATACGCGATCCGGGATGAAGATTATGCAATGAAAAGATCCCGGATCTTTAGGAAACATGGAGAGCATGTGATGAGAAGACAATAAAAGATGGGCTCAGAGTCAACACGTAAGGCTTAGTATTTCATCTGCACGAGGTGGGGCTACTACTTGGTTTATTGACTGGGTATACGGCTGAATAGGAGAAATATAGAGCTGAAATTATTCAAAGCATAGAAATTATGGATGCTGAACGAAGAGTTGCTCAAACCTATAAAGTAGAAATTGACTAATGAAAATTTGGGCGCCTTAATTTGATGAACAGAGAGAATAATTGATTAGGTTAAAGATATGAAAGGAGCACATAACTTTTGAAAACGAAAGCACTGCTCAAATTGGAAAAATGCTTAGAGCTGGTACCTGTTAACATGGGTTTCCACATACAAAACTTCTCCTTTCTTCAAGCGTGCAGATGTGTAGAGGGGCTTCTTAGGTCCCTTATCAGAAACAGCATTCACACTATATTTTACCCTGAGAAGATATTCCACGCATAATGGAAATTCATTTCATCAAACATGATGGACAGCGGTGAAAAGGATGTCATGGTGCAACGAATGAGTACCTAAAGTGATTATGTGGGCGTGTATGGGAGTAAATGACATTATCCGCTAGATAGAAATACATCGATGAAACAAAGGAATAGAGAAAGAACAATACCATGGTTCATTGCACAAGTTATACTGTATTGCAACTTCCTGCACAAACCTTTGCTGCCTTAAGGCATTCTGCAGGCAAAAGCATTTAAAATATTGATGATCAATACTTGAAAGCACAGTAATAAATGATTTCTATATAAATTCTTTCATGAATGAACAACATGGAAACAAAAAAACGACAAGGATTTTTTGTTTATAAGTGCAACGTGGAAATGTTAAGCAAAATTCAGCAGGCATTTCCACAGCAGCCAGCCCTATGAATCCCCGCAAACAAGCTCACTAATGCACAACTTTCACAAACAATTAATAACTCCCCAAAGGTAAGAAAAATTAGGAGATCAGATGAGAGGCACTTTTATAGGGCTATAGACAGTCAATTTCTCATTAAAGAATGAAATTCAGTCGTTCATATTAATAAGAAAGATGGCACTACATAACGTAAAAAAGGGCGGAAGACTGTTTGGTTCAAATCCACTTCCTTCCAATGACAAAAATTGGGATCCCAAATATTATTTTTATCAAAATTGGCAAATCCAGGCAAAAGCAGCCAGTTTTCCATGCTCACACTTTCCATCTACACTAAAATAGATGTGATTCCTAGACCGTATCACTAAAATAGATGACATGAGAAACTAGACCGTATATAAAACAGATCGGGCCAATGTGTTAAAAGGCTTGGATGGTCACGCCCATTTTAACACGTGACCCTGGTTTGTTGCTTCTTTTAGATCTGTATGTGGCTTCCACCTCCTTCTGTACTCCTCCAAACACAATCTTCCCGAAGTCCCATTTTCTTTTGGGTTCAGCCATTTGACCATCCTTCTCCTATATATCCTCAATTACTAGATCTTCAACTCTCGAATACTGTTTTAGACTCCACAGCAGAGACAGGTCAGGGTAGAGTTTGAACTTAAAAAGGATCTTGATAATGACATATTGACAATGACAGAGAAGACAAGAAACATAAAGTGATCACCAGTCCGAAATATGCTCTTCTTGGAAGGTGGCTAGAAATCCTGATCTCGTGTATTATTATCCAGTTTCCCCATTCAGTTGGAGGAGAGCAAAACCTTAAAATAACACACTGGAAGCCACTGTACTAGAAGAATCACGATCGAATTCGACTAGATGAACAAAAAAGAGAAAATGACTAAAAGCTCTTCCATTAAGTGACTCAGAGTTCCTGTATGAATTACAGAATGCGTCATTCTGGTCAATGATCGCATGAGTGGTGTTTTACAGTCATAGGAATGTCCCCCGTCTCAGGTACAATTTTCACCCAAATGGTGATCGTTAAGAAACAAGGATTATACATGGAAGAAATGGATTCAAAGTTTAAGTGGGGAAACTGAAGAAAATTGCGAAGTTGAGAGTGGAACAGGAAAATAATGGTGTTTCATGAAATATTACCGATGCTGCAGCTCTTGTGTTCATTGTGCGCTCCAGCGACAAAGGAACAAGAGTTGGCTCCACGAAAGATATCAGTCTAAGCTGAGGCTCAAGATTGACAATACCACCACCTTTCTGTAAAGTGGTTCATTGAAAAGGAAAAACGTTAAAAAAAATCCTGGAGAATCACTGGAGACTTAGCCAAACTTTAACATGAAGTTCAAAACATGGATATACAAATGACCAGAAAAGAGTGACTTACAGATAAAAATCAGCCAATCTTCTGTGACATATTATAAAATAGTGTATAACAGAAAAGTATACGAGTTGAGATATCTCTCACCTTTACCACGCAGCACCTCTCTACACGAAAGCTACAGTCAGTTCCAGAACCCCATGGACGGGAATGAATGCTGTTCCTCAACGTAGAGTAGTAGCCTATAATAACAGGAAAAAAAGATCAATAGCATAACCAGGAATCATCAACCATGCCAAACGGTGTAGACCTGATGAAGTTTTGGTTTGGATGAACACCCTTTCTTTCTCTATCAACAATTTCTCATGTACAAAAGGACGTGGTGAGAAGAGAAACTTAAAACAAGCAAATAGTGATCTTGATCTGTAAATTTTGGGCACGATTTAATGCTCGGTACTACCATATGCAACAAAAGGAATAGATCTAGAGAACTGAAGACCTGCTTCCTTTTTCTGCTCTCATTTCCCGATATTTTAATATCATTATTCCGGTATTTTTACATATTTCTGTTGGGAATATATCAGAGCCATCCAAAGTCAAAAGTGCCAGTAATGAACTGATTCTGGTATAAATTTATCGACGAACAGAAGTACAATTGACTTTCAATTACAAACAAAGTATGAATATCTCTATCCAACAAACTCAAGACATAAAACAAACAAAACTACAGTTTTATTTAATACATATAGGATATATTGAAGTTAAACTTACACAAAAGTACTGCAGTTCAAGATGTTGAATGGAACCAAGGTGATTAACCATCCAAGAAATAGTGGATTGTACATCACAAAAATGTTTTCACTATATTAACGACATGAAAACCAAGAAACCAGTACCTTGTCGCTGCATTCTATAAGAGGGTTGTAAATAAGAACTCATTTACATTTTACTGCTGACATTTTCCCCACTGCGGACAACTCAATTCCCATTAGCCACTTTTGAAACACAGTTTGAAAGACTAGGTCTAATTTGGATCTAGTCAAGAGGTCTGGCAAATTTTTCCCACTTAGTGAGTCATGATGTGCAATGGAATTGTCCAAGCAAATCCTTCTACATAAGGATCAAGACAAAGGGGCAACCTAAATTGGGAACCAGGCAAATTCATACATAGCCCGTATAGATATAGATCAAATTATATCACGAGAGTCTTGGTGGTATAATCTAAGCAAATTATCAGCTTCGTTAAGCCAACTTGAGTCCAGTGATGTTCTACTATGATGGAGAGGAATGAGAGGAAAAGAATGAGGAAAACGAGAAAAGGAACATAACCATCGTCCCCTATTGCTTGCCACTGCACTAGTAGTCACTGCTTGGGCTATTGTTGCCACTCCAAGTCATCACCCACCATCCACCACATTAACCACTGCTGCCTGAACCAGACAACTTGCTCTGTTTATAAGATCAAGGAGATGACAGAATGGGCCAACCAAAAAGAACTGAGAGGATTTAGATAGAGAACTTTATTAAAATTCCTTATGATACTTTCTAACATTTGAACCCCTTCTAATTAGAAACTAAATAAATACACAAATAAAATATCGCATCATCAATCATAATAAGTTGCACTTGAACCAAATAATTGAGGAATAAACAGATGGTCGAATCAAAAATTTGTATACAATCAGACGACATGCAGGCTTTGCATCAGTAGAAACCATTCATAGAAACCACCAACAATCACCAAATAAGACAGCACACTTGTCTTGTAAGATGAATGAGTTTTCTAAACTTTAATTCATCGTATTTTGATTCGAGAGCAATTTTTTCTTCATCGTTAGAAAACGCAGGTGCAGGCTAACTGAAACATAATGAAGCAGATAAATATAAGAAAAATGGAACCCAAGGAATTTAAAGTTTCAACTCACAATGTTGAGGTGGCAATACTCGAATGGTAGCACGCAGTTCCTGGATGGGAGGAGGAAGGGATGTTGTTTGTTTGCAGTAACCAGTGTGCATGAGAACTGAAAGAATAAGCCATATAAATTCGACAAGAAGTGGGTCAATCAGGCAAATGGACACCTGATAGTGACACGAAAGGACAACATATAACGTTAATACCAGCAACAAGATCTGAATCATTTGTGTAGATATCAGTTCCCCATAACTGAGCTCCTTTAACCTGCAGATGACAGAATTATGTCATCATTAACTGTATGTGCTTCAATCACATGTTCAAGACGGTAATTTTGATAACCACTAACAGAGAAAACGTCAATTAGGTCTAAAAAGATATTGATAAATAAAAAACTGACCACGTAAGACCCTCAGTGTAAGAAACTAAAACAAAAGGAAGCAAACAATTATAATAGTGATACTGTCGAGAACATAAAATGTTTCTAAAGAATAGCCGTTATGATTTGTAGCATGACCTTCTCTAAAGGAGGTTTAAAGTCAATAATCTCAAGAATGAAAGCACTGCCCACGTTTTTGTTGAAACTAAATTTATAGAATACTAAAATGGTTAAGGGCAAAATGGGCACCGTCAACTTAGTATGTACATCAACTAGAAGGTAGATATCAGAAAATGATTACACACCGCGACACAAATATTCAAATCATCATGTAGAAATGAGCGCATGTAAATGAATATATTCTAATATAGACATGGAAACACATATAACGAAGAATAGATAGTCTCTATCAAGAAGTAATGAAGCAGTTGGGGAGACAGGATCCGTTTTCAGTTTATTTTTCTTGAATGGCAATATGAGGCATTTAAGAAAGAAACGTAATGATAAAATGAAAAACATTGATTCTAATTTTTTAAAAATTCAATGTCCGAAAAATGGATGAATGATAGATGGAAGGATGTTGCTTCTGTTAGTGTCTGTTAAATCATTAAGGCGGATCGATCATTATGCAGTTGGGTCTTATGTAAAACACTCATATAGGAAATAAATATTACCACAGAATAAAAATTCTTATAAATGTTTGAGAGGAAAATGTGTTTTAAGCTGAGAAATAGATGTTTATTCGGCAATCAACTAAGTTATGATTTTCATAGTATAGAAAGCGGCATCGGTATAAGTTTCTATTTCTAAAAGATGGGTGGTACCCTATCTTCCTTGTGAGTTATGAGCAGCCTGGTGAGAAACATTTTAAGAAATGCCTACATCTTCATGATTGCACGATTTTTTCTCGTAAATATTAGGGTTCTGGACAAACCAAGTTCAACTGTCCACTGCGAACATGATATACAGGAAAAATTCTGGAGACACAAAATACGTTTCTCCTCATAGGACTGCAATTTAAACTTCAAGGATGTGTTCTTCGTGTTTGCGGCATTGCCCCAAAAACTTTTTCTCCACTTCACTAGTTTAATTAGGAAATCTCATGCATTTCGCCCGATTTTAGCCTCAATTTACTTTGAAAAGTTATTTAGACAGGAAATGGTAACATGAAAAGTTGCATTTCCCCAGAAAGTACTCCCACAGATATCATGATGGTAACATTTTTACGAGTAGAGAGATCTGAGACCAAGAGCTCCTGCTTTTGGTAGCCTCAGAGAAACTTGAAGCAACATTTACACTATGAGGATTCTCAGCCAGCAGAGCCTCATCATTTACATAGACTATAATATTAAGCACCCTTGTTAAAAGGCTTGAGGAGAAGCTAACTACAAGCACGAGTAAGAAAACTCAAGGATGTTAATCAAACATTGACGCCAAATTAACAACTGAAAATATTACATTACAATCACTTTAACTTTCAAGTTAATGAGAGATTGAAGTTATGCCTTACTTGCCGGTTAGATCTGGTAACATGCTCAGTTGGTATTCGGATTTCCAAGGTTGGACAATTTTGAAACGCTTCATCTATTTTACCATTTACTAATGCTTCATATTCTTTCCATGACTTCAGGATTTCTTGCATGCATTCACCAACTTTATATGTGATCAAGGAGACTTCATCATTACCTGTTAAATGGACACCCAATTCACCAATTTAAAACAATGGAAACAGATATACCATCAAATATTGCCGAAAATTGAGCATACGTATTTTGAACAGTAAGTTAGGCATAGAATGTTGAAATAGTGATCGGAAAAACAGATGCAGAAGATTAAAGTAAAATTTGCAACAAAATGGCTTTGTCTGAACAAAATTAACCAAAAGGGTAGCACTTTCTTAAATGAAGGAAACTGTCCAGGTGACAACTAATCTATCTGCCTAGCAAAAGGTTGCCATTGTGCAACTTCCCTGAACAGCGGTCAATCATTTTTAAAGACCAAATATAAATATAGTTCGCATGCCAATGAAAACTGAGGAAATTTCAAAGAGGACACCATAAATCAGGAATCAAACCATAAACCTGAAGGTAAGGCACATCTCTGCTGTGTACAAAAACGGATATCGGTTCAAGATCATCACCACAGCTCGGAATTAATCGGTGAAGGTGGTCATCCGAAAGGAAATCTAATGTAGTGCGTGTGGGTGAAAAAGTTGGGACAGAATAATAGCAAGGATTTCCAAATTAAAAATAAAAAAATTAACAACATTACAATCACACTATTTTCTGTTACCAGCAAAAAATAAAAAATTAAGCCTGAAGCTTTCAGAAAACATTTCTGTCAACGATACAGGGCCTTCATGTATGCACCAGACAATTAATGGCAATCAATGGATTCGGCAAAAATGAGAGAAAGGAAGTACAAGACGTCGTATTTATCAAAGATACAGTTCAATCATAATTCCCACTACAGTGAAGCATCTAATTAGAAAATAAAGCCAAGGAAAGGGAAGAGAGATCAGCTTTGCATTGTGAGTTCACAGATTATCATCATAGAATTAAAGCTTTTCAAACAGACAAGAAGATCAATAACGATTGTATATAAAGCTGCCAAAGAAGCAATCAATGGAGCAGTGTCATGCATGCGCTGTCATTTGGATGAATCCCCAACTTCTCATATCTATGGAGGACTGTATTGGAATGACCTGCCAAGAGAATAAGCTTATAGGTAGGGCAAGAGAAGGAAGTTCATGCCATAAAACACACTTATCTACCACAGCGCATTTGGCATGGACAAAAATCAAGAATGCATCTGACTACCCCCATACTAACAATCAAAACAATGATTCCAACCATCAGGTTATGCTTAAGATTATTTTTGGCAACAAGAAAAAATCCGCATCAAGACTACCCACATCCACCCGGTAGCGAATCTTCTTGAAACATGTGTAAGTGCCACCATATCCTTATGGTTAAATCATGAAAGAGTAAAATATGAACCTTAATCCAGATGTGTTAAAATGCAAATTATTAGCTTAACATAGAAAGAAAAAGAAATGAAATTGGCAAACTCCACATGATTCCGAATTGCAATCGCTTAATGTCATCACCGAAAAATGTCAGCAAAAATAGATGTTGTCCAACCTTGAGATCTGCATGTGAGAAAACAAAGGATACAAATTAGAGAAAATAAAAATGAGAAGAGGCACAAGATAATTGCTGCAAAGAAAGAATTTTCTAAAAAATAATGGCACAGAAGAATAATATTATCACAGAAGGAATTGTTTTTTAAGACTCGTTGGTCATGATATACACAAAAATTAGGAAAAAAATTAAGCTGTCTCATGCAAGAAAAGTTTAAATAAATTTATGTGGTGCTAGAAATAATCTCAGCCAATTTGCATACTATATGCTAAAATGTCTCAAGATCTACAAGGCCATTAATCAAATAGACCGACCTCCACCCAGCGAGACATCCCAGAACCAAATTGTCAACATTTCTCACTGCCACCAACCTCCCTCCCTGGTTCCCCGTTCTTTTCCCTTCTCCAGCCTTAACCCATCTGTGCACCCCACATTCTTCTTACACACACTGGGCTATGGCAGACAGAGACTCGAACGCTTTTTAGTCAGGTTGACAGTTGTTCACATTGGATGTCAATCCAATTCACAAATGCAAATCATCTCTCAGAAACGTTGTCATATGTGCAATTATTAATTTTTGCCCTGTTTCTATCAATCATTTTCGAGCTGTGTTTAAGGAAGACATGGCAGAGCAAGAGAAATGTGAGACATGATTTACAGCTTTAAACACTCTACTTTCCCTCATAATGAATAGATACCCCATGTTAGTCCATGGAATGCGCCAACCAAGTCAGGTTCATGAAAGCCCTGATAGAAAATGTTTAGGCAGTCTGCCTAGGCAACATGCACAAACTTGCAAATATTGCACACAAACGATTGGCAAGTCTGTCAGTCAGCACACAAGATGATATGAATTAAAAGATTTTACAAAAGAGAACATAAGAATGCAATAAATAAATGCCAAGTAGATGGAATATTGCTCTATAAACCTGTTAGACCCTCTATTTGAACCCAAGGCAAATATGTTTGGTCATCTAGCAGGCTGATTTAGGACTTCCGTTATCTGTGTGTGTGTGTGTGTGTGTGTGTGTGTGTGTGTGTATATTCCCGGTTTGGATCAAAGTTGCCCCGGAACCAGATAAGAAAGTGCTGACCCGAAACACCATTGTTCAAAAATTAAAACCCACTTAAGAGGGTTGTCTTCTTAAGAACATATTGCTGAAAGGTCAATACCGTGTTCCAGTCTGATCCTATAAAGGGGTAAATAATCAAATAAAAGTCGAATGTTAACGTATCTTGGCAATCCAATTGGTTTCAGAATGAAAACTTCTGAAAAAAGTAAAACGTAGGATAATGACCGCAAACCAAAATTCCTAATTATCAAAACAAATAACGGTTAGCTTACCCTTCATCCTCCCTAGGTTGAGATTGAAGACGAGGCTCCCGACTATAAGATTGAGGTGTTCCTCTTGGTCTCAGCATCCTCTTCCGCTGCTGGATGCCATACCCAAAGGTTTCCTTGTCACTCTCTTTTACTCCTGCAGATATGGCTTCTGATTCCTTCTCATGACATCCATTATGTTTTTCTTGTTTATCTGCATCTGGCTCTTTTTCTCTCTTTTTCACTTTATTGTTGCCCTCACAAGCTTTCCAACTATCAAACCCTTTATGCCTCCAAGGTTCCAAGCTAGAACCTCCTTTCACAGGGGTCCCAACAGATCCTTCTGGAGTATCTGTGTCATTAGCATTTGGTAAACCTCTCTTAGCATGAAGCTTCACCTCTCTTTCTGTTCCTTGTCATTTTGAGAAACCTTTTTTCACTCTCCCTTTTCTCAATTTCCCTTTCTTTAATATGCTCCTTGCATTCATGACTACTCTTACCCAGCTTCAAATTGTCATGATGTTCACTTCTTTCCTTATCTGCTTTCCCTAGATCTCCGTGATTCTCGTCCTTTCTTTTTCTATCTTTTTCCTTGGTTTTCCCTCCCTTTCAAATCCAATCTGCTCTTCCCAGAAGTCTCATGTGCTTTCAAGACCTCTCTCTCTTCACATGTCAGGACATCCTTTCCAGTTTCATCAGTAGTCCGCGACCCATGCTGCAATGTACGCCATGATTCTAGACCATCCTTAATTGACTCGTTGCATCTCTTACTTTTATGACGCTCTTTAGAATCATTCAAAGGTGTGAGCCCATCTCTTGTCGCTCTTGTATCACTCTTAGAATCTGAGTGACACTCCCAATCAGATCTTAGTCTTTTTCATCCTTGTTTGATCTCTTTACATCAGTCTCGGACTTGTTTCCTTGACCATCTGTCCTCATCTCAGGGTATAAGTCCTTCACTTCTGACTTTGTTTCTCTAGTGCTAGAATTGAAATATTTTCTTTCCTGCAAATCCTTCAGTTCTGTCCCGTTAATTGCTGCAACAGGATGATCTATGCAAGAATCATCAGGAGAGGAAGATATATGATTCTTTGGATGAAGAGATAGTTGTTTATTGGCATCATGTTGTTCTAGACGAAGTATTTTCGCAGCTCTTCCATCATGTCCTGACTCAAGGGATGAGTGGCATCCACTGATAGATGGCTGCATCAGCTTTTCATTGCTACTCGAAAACAAAACTCCATCTTCAGCAGACCTCTTCAAAGGTGTAGCATGACATCCTTCATCAGGCAATCTTTTTGGAGTACCACTCATGATTTCTCAGATGAAATAAGTGAGACGGCGAAATAAATCTCTGATTACAGTGGGCCTGATAAGCATAATCTGAGAAACTCAAGTAACACAAATTCTGAGTCCACAATAAAATCGACAACATTGTAAACTGTTAGAAGCAAATTGAAATGATAAAAGAAATGCAATGTAAAATGTATGATAAGTCACGAAAATGTTATAAAAAGGACAGATGTGTGACGAGATAAACAACTAATTTCAGGAAGACAGGTCTACGATACAGCTTAGCACTAATTTCAAGATGGCGAGATGAGAATTCTAAATTTTGAAGTCCCGTGTAAATGATATCCCATTTAAAATATGCATAGGTTATTTAGTACATTTGAGGAGATAAACCATGAAACTTATGAAACAATCTTCACTATTCAACACTCTTGAAGAGTAAACGAATATTTGAAACATTTCTCAACATTATTCGGTGGAAAATAAAGGTATATGCCACTGACACTAATCAAGGCATGCTTATCGATGCAGTTTTCAGCAATTTGTCAAGGAAACCAGCAGAGGTTCCAAAGAAGAATAAAGAACCAAAGTCTCAAGTTTTTCTTCAAAATAAGTGAAGGATGACCGAATGCTGACACTGGAAAAATCCTACTGCAGTGTGTACATAAAACTAGCCAGACGTTAGAAACGTGTAGTCTGGAATCCCTAAGGAATGGCACTTCAACAGGCACAAGAGGACAGTCAGAGATGAAGACTAACAACACGATGTTGGTGTCTCTGTTCATTTAAGGTAGCTTGAATAGTTGTATCCATAAGTAGATGTTATCTGGCTACATTGGCATGGTGAATTTAATTTCCTGCTTACATTAACAAGGCCAATTTTCTTTTTCTGGAAACGTTTCTTAGTCTTTACATTTCATCTCTTGCTACGCCCCTTGTCTCTGGGTATGAGTGACTAGAAACGTTCCTTAGCTTCAAAGGAATTTCTAAAATACAAATATTGACACAATTAAATGTCTAAGGGAACTGAGATGAGAAGCATGGCTCTGATTACAATCGAATAGCTTCACTATGGTAACTAAAGAAGGTTCTGAGACATCAGAATAGGAAGTTGCACACTTAGGAACTTTCCAAATGAAGACACTGGCGTTCATCAAAATCGACCCATTTTTCCCTAAAGAACTCTGTAAGCTTATTTCCCATCATCCACTCCCCAAATGGCATCATTCGAGACCCACAGTACAAATAGGACAGCAATGTACTCAACCAGACACTATGTCAGATCCTTCGTAACCTTTTTGCTAGTTCACATTCCAAAAAGACTTATGACGGTTAAATCCTGAAAAATATATTTTCTTGGCTGCATGGGACCAGTTGTGTCGAAAAAGATAGTGGACTCTCACACCGTCCAAATGTCTTCCCATCCCACATAAATTAGCTGTTCACTCCTGCAACTCGCTGTCTCCTAGTTCTAAAGAAACGTTGATCATCAAGTCTACCTCAGTCTCCAGAATTCCACAGAAGTATGCATTATTCCTGTTGATCCACCCCTATGTAAACTTATTGTATTTCAAGAAATTACAATAATGCCTGCTCATTATCATATCTTCTCCATCAATATACTATTTTTGAAAATAATAAATCTTTAAAAATACATCACTGTTTTACGACTATTCCCCAGAGCAGAATCTCCTAGCACGTATCATTTGTTAGACTTAGCAATTTTCTTTTCCTCCATACTTCTTCCTATTGCCTCCCCAACTATGGTTGTTTTTCAATGTTCCATGCCTCTTCCCTGAATTCTTCAATGTTCCATTCAGGACCTATCCTCTTCCTCCCAAATTCTCTAAATTTTCATTTCTTTGCCAATAGAAAATAAGACTTTACACCTTAACTCTAACTTCTTCTTAATACTTCCAAACTTTTGACACAGAGAGGACAATGCACACAAGAAACATCAGCCCTAATCTTGTTTAACTGCAACAATCATTTCTTCTCGAGGCAGGTATCACATCGCCTAAGTTATGACAGGTACAGTTGTGGATTCTCTCTTGGAATGCACAACTCTGAAAAATTACCTTGCACAATCCAAGTCATAACTATTTTTACAGAGATGGATCTAATTATCCTCTTTAAATCTATCGCACAAGAGCTACAGAAACCTTTCAAACAAGGAAAAGCCATTTTTTCGGATTTAAAATGTCAAACATATCATCATCTAGTTCGCATAATGCAGCATTTCCTGTTAGAGAAATCATATCCATATTTGCGTTCAACAAGTAAGAACGACAAGGATTAAGTATGCCCGACAATAGGGACTTCTCAAGATAAATCTTTGAAATTTCGAAATTGAGAACTGAGAAAGGGCAATAAAGTAGGGAGTTTGAGATGGCATTTTCCTACCATGTTTGGTAACTTGTCATTATAAAACCTGCCCTAAGAACTTCTTAATGGACCTTGTTTGCGCAATAAACAATTTTCAATCGCACATTTTAGGCTATTTAACTCGTGAGCTCTACTTTGTCGCCAAAAGAACATTTTTACGGCCAAACACAATCAGATAAACTTTTATCACTCCATCACTTCAAAAAGAGGAAGCCGATCTTAAAATGGAGGCGCTGTCATTAGAACGGCGTACCATGATAAACAGAAACCCTAAGGCACTGCATACTTTACTGTTAATCAACCAAATGACTTTTAGGAGAAATAAATAGAAAGAAGAAATAGAAATTTTGATTTCCCGCAGAAAGAAAGTTACACTACAAATATAACTAACGGAGACCGACGCGAGCGACAAATGTGAACGATAAATGGAAGTATGAAAATCTTGAATTAAGTAATTCAAGACTGTTGAAGCCTCCACGAATCATCACCGAATTTCGTCCCCAGTTACAACCAGTGAGCCAGATAAAAGAATCCCTCGTTTCATCTCTCAAGAGTCTTTTCCCGCCCTGAAGAGTGTATAAGGAAAAAACGCTTGAACACCGGATCCCTACCTTCACACAGCAACTCAGCAACAGCCTACCCATCTCAGTGTATCATTCACCACTACTCTCAAAAGGCCGAAATCGTCAACTCCAGGAACAATAGAATACAATATTATTCTCCTCGCTGAAACATGAACATTTGACCAAGACTATAAAATGATCATTGGTCTCCCAATTCAAAGAGAATCTCGATTGAGGTGGGAAAACAATTTCAGGGAAACGAGACCACTGCGCACAAGTTGAATGCCTACGCACCAATTACAGGGACGATGGCCCCGGCGGACTCTTCACTGAACGAGGCGGCTGGAGAACAATGTATAGTTCCTGCTCCCGATGGCGGCGCGCGGTTGCCCACTCCGGATCGCCGGGGAGGAAGGGAAGGACAGGGAGGGAATCGAACAATGAGACGTCTAGTTGGCTTGACGAAAGGCCGCCTACGTCTTATAGAACAGGCAACGGGTCACTCGGCCCCGTGTGACCCGAAACCGAATCCAGGCTTGTGTTTCCGAGGAGTCAACCGTCCGGTCCGGTCTGGCCAGGCCCGGCCCGATATTTTATCGTCCATTAATCTTTCATGATTAATGGGCCCGGAATATGTATCCCAGTTCTTACTAATGGCCCTGGATATTGAGCTGCCACCCGGGCTTTTCATGCCACTTGCCCAGCCCGGGCTCATTTGGTAACTTCTCTCTCTCTCGCTCCAACAAAGGTCCAACAGGCAGGGGTGGCCTCGTAAGCCGAACCGAGTGTCAAGGCATTGTTGAACAATCTCGACGTTATTATGATATCTTCCATGTCAACAAAAGGAGTGCAATGTGAAGGGAGATCCGGCCATTCCGAGCACGACCAACTAGACGAAGGACACGGAGATGGGGCTCCTCACGACGCGTTTCGGGAGACCCACATTAGGTGCCCTTCGGCGAAGCGGCCGGCGGCGCCGCCGGTGCTGCTGAAGGTCACCGTGAAGCTCACCTTCTCGTTCACCTCCGAGAAGCGGAGAGTCTCCGGGCTCACCGCCACCGCCACCCCCGCCGGTTCCTCCACCTTGATGGAGTAAACGGAGTTCGCCTCCCCACGTTGGTCGCCGTCCGCCACGTCATCATCGTTCTGTTTCCGCTGTGCAGGGACACCGAGAAGGAAGGGTAGTTCAGATTGGCGGCGCCGCCGTGCTTCCAGTCCGAGCAGCGGATGCGCCGGCCGACAATGGCCCCCATCTTGCGGTCAGGATACCCCAGACTGCAGAGATAGGGAATGTAGTCATCGGCCTGGATGTCGTAAACCAAACCAGGATCGGTAGCTCTCGATGGGTTTACGTGCCCGGCGCCGGTGGCGAAGAGGCTTGCCAGCTGGAGTTTCTCGTCCCTTATGCCTTCCCCGCTTCGGTCAACCGCGTCGGCCGTGGTCATGATCGCTGATTTTACTGCCGCCGGGGACCAGCTCGGGTGGGCGCTCCGCACCAGCGCGGCGATTCCAGTGAGGTGCGGCGTCGACATGGAGGTGCCGGACATGACGTTGAAGTTGAACTTGGACGACGAGGCGGCGGCGCCGGTGCTCACCTTGAAGGGCCATGCAGCGATGATGTTGACTCCGGGGCCGGTGATGTCTGGTTTGAGGATCCCCGGGCTGGCGTGGCTCGGTCCCCGTGAGGAAAATGAGGCGACCGCCGGCGACGGTGACGTCCCGATGAGTGTCCCCTTGACATAGAAGGATACTGTTGCGTTGTGAGAGTAGTCGGCGTAAGCCCTGACTTTTGATGCGTCGTAGTAAGCTAGGTTTGCGGCGGGGATGGAGTAGACGTCGGCGACGGTGCTGTAATCGTCGGGGAGCTCATTAGCCAGTATCATGCCGACGCCGCCACCCTCCTGGACGACCAGAGCCTTGGCCGTTCTCCCAATGGGTCCGACGCGGTCGCACACCACCACCTTGCCCTTGATATCGACACCAGAGAGGAGCTACTCGTACAATAGCTGGCCCCGTTGCGAGCAGGGTACACCAAGGGAAGCTCTGCGGCGGGGCCGCCGGTGGGCCGGAAGAGGATTCGCCGTCGAACTCCTGCCCTCTCCGAGCCTCACGGTCGTCCTCAAGCTCCTGTCCATCGTGCTGGCGGCGACCGTCGTCACCCAGGGGCCTCGTTGGTGAGAGATCCGGGGTAAGGCCCGTAGTTGCCGGCGGCGCAGGTGACGAGCACCGCCTCTGGGTCGCCCGGTACGCCGCCACTGCGAGACCGTCGTCGTAGAAAGGCAGAGAGCGCCCCCGAGGGAGATGGAGAGAATGTCCACGCCGTCCTCCACGGCGGTGTCCATGGCCTTCACTATGTCGGCTATACTGCAGCCAGACGCCGAGCAGACCTTGTACAACGCGAGGTGGGCCCGAGGAGCCATGCCTACGGCCGTTCCATTGCCGTAGCCGAGGACGTTGACATCCATCACCGGAGCCCCGCGGCCGTGCTGGCGGTGTGGGTCCCGTGCCCCAAGTCGTCCACCACCTGTTCCTTCGACGCGTCGTCGCCGTCGGCGTCAGTGGCGGAGGAGAACACCTTGTACCCGATGAGCTTGTTGTTGCAACTGGCCGCGTTGACTTCGCACTTTCCCTCCACTTGTCTGGCGGAGGCGGCATCCCCTCGCCGCTGAAGGAAGGATGTCCGACGTCAGCCCCGGTGTCGACCATTCCGATGATGACTCCGTCACCAGATGGCGCGTTGCTCCAGAGCCCACCGGCGAGGTTGAGACCGAGGAACCCTGGCGAGTGGGTTGTCTGTGGTTGCAGTATCCTGTTTGGTATGGCAGCGATGAACTCCTCCGTCCCCTGCACGGCCTTCAGCTCGGCAGCGGACAACCTGGCGGCGAAGCCGCCGATAAGATCGCTGTAGGAATGGACCATCCTCGATCCGCCGGAGACAGCTGCAGCCGTCGCCTTGGACAAGAAGGACTCGTACCAGCCCCCTATCCTCAGCGCTCGCAAAACGATCGGCTCGGGCGGTTCAACGAGGACAACGTAAGTCTGCAGCCCTCCGTCCCCTCTTCCTCTCCATTGACGGAGGAGTTGAAGCAGAGGAAGACTGTGAACAGTACGAGGGAGAAGAAGGCAGACCTTAGAGAGAGAGGAGGCATGGCGACGGGAGGAACGAAGCGGGGTGAGAAGGAAGAGGGAGGATGAAGGAGGCTCAACCATATAGAGAAAGGACGTGATATCTCCAAGGACGAGGGGACACTTGTAAAGGCCAGGCCTTAGCCTCTTAATTGCCGCGACGCCGCCAGGGCGATGTGGGTAACGCCTCTTGACCCGGGGCCAAGGAGACGAGGAGCCAACTGGAGTTTCCTTACGGCATCCGACTCCGAAAGTTGGTCACAGTCAACGGCGTCAAATGGCAGATTCCCCGAAACCCTCCCGGCTTTAGTTTACTCAACGAAACCGACGGGTTGACCGATTTATAGAATGGTCGACAGGTTCGGTCAAAATTTCATCAGGTTTCATCTTACTGTTAATAACATTATTATTATAAATAAAATCATTGCCGGCAGGCTCAGAGGTGAATTTCCTGTTCGACCAGGAAATCACTGTTGCCATCCTCCTATTCTCAGCGCGAACGTGAAGAAGCGGAGAAGCACCACTTACACCTGCCGGCAGTCTAAGAAGTCAGCAACTGGAAGGCGGTGAAGAAGCGGAGAAGCACCACTGGGGGTTGCAGGGTCTCAGAGAGCGCTGCATAGATATGCTGCATCTCCTCCAGGGCCTCCTGAGCATGGTTTCTGAAGAACAACGGGGATCCGGAGGAACTGCCGATCGCGGATGTGAGGATGATGCCCCAGAGGTACTGGGGGACGATTCCCGCACTTGCAGAAGATCAAAATGGCCTTTACCTGTTCCTTCATAGAATGGCTCATTGGGGGTGCTCTTTGGAAACGATTTTCATTGCATACGAGAATTCTGAGGCTTCCTGCGTCGGAGGGAGGTGGCCCGGCTGTAGCCTTACCTAGCCTATTAAATATCTATTTTTCTATACGGGCCGAGCCTAGATGTCTTTAGGAGGCGGCCCACTTGGAGTGGGGCCACCGAAGATAAATGAATCCGGTGTAAATTGTGTAATCGACTTTCACTGACGAGATGGACGGTCGAGATTGGCGTTTTCTTGTATTCTCACGAGGAGCGTTGCGTACGTGTTTGAGGGAGAATAGCATGACGTGGAGCATTCTACGCAGGCCACGAGGCATCCTCCTCGCTACTTCCTCGCCCCTTGACAGGAGGCAGAGGATTCTCGTTGGGCCCGACTGCCAGCAACGCGATTTGATTCGTCCGTGGAGCGTATCCGTCCAGAGCGAACCCTGCCAGCCGCCTGGTAGCACGGACAACGGACAAAATTCAAAGGAGGCAACGGTAAAGTATTAAATTATGCGAAAGGCCACACAAGAGGAAGAATTATTAAAAACCCCAGATGTGTCGGCGGATATCAAAACCTTTTTCTTTCCCTCTTCATGTCCGTGGAAAGCGCCGAAGTAAAAATCAGGCAGCCCGCAGTTAATGGACGTAGATATACAGAAACAGAGAAGGAGAGAGAGAGAGAGAGAGAGATCCGCCATCATTTAATTAAAATATTAAATATTTTGAATCCATAAAGTGCACGTGCCGCCAGCTCGCCCTGTGAGCATGAGAGTGAGAGACTATGGGCCCCACACAACAGAGATTGTCAGACAGACATGTGACCTCCCTTCCCCTTTTGACCCCTCCCGCCGGCTCTCGAGGCGCCGCACGGAGAATTCGATAGGAAGGAAAGAACCTGAACGACACCGACACGCCAGCGGGCGGGCCACGCCCAGCTTCCCTCTAGGGGCTCCAATCGGGCTCGGGCCGCGACCCCTGACCCACAAAACCCGGTCTCGTACTTGCCCGCTGCAAGCCAGATCCGACCCCGGCAGGCATCGCCTCCCCAGCCCGACGTTTACTTTCGGGCTAGGTTCTCGAGGCGCGAACCCAGAGAACCGGGTCGGCCCGGTCGGAGCGTCGGGATCACCAGTCCACTCTCTCCCTCCTCTCTCTACCACATGCCTCCGGCAGAGATGCCGCTGCCGCGTCTTCCGAAGCCTGAGGGCGCTGACGCCTGGGGCCACCGGCGGGCCTCGGAGGGTAAAGAAATCCCCACCGGAGTAAGTGCACCTGTGAGATTTCCAGTAAATGGGAGAGATAAAGTGAAGGCAATCCGCCGCAGAAAAGAGGGATCTTGCCGCCGCAGGCTATGATTGACCGGTGTACCAGATTGCCGGCGCCGCGCGCGGCCGCAGGCCGGAGACCTGCCAGCGGTGCGAGAGCTGTCGCCGCCGGCCTTCGCCACCGTTCAGCCCACGAGGGATGATATTTGGAGCGAAAACAACTAAGAATTTGAATACAGGGATTACAGGTCCATCACTGCTCCAGAGGCGACTGATGAATCGAGACGAGGAGATTCATCAGGCCACCTTCTCTCCCATGCAACCGAGCGGAGCAAGTAGAAAACAGAAAGGAAAAAATGACAGGAAGGAGCTACCAAAGAACTCCGCCACTCTCAGGCCGCTCTCGGTTCACGACCACAGCAGGGCGGACGTAAGCGCGGCCGCGACGGTGAACCCGCGGAGAGGGCGAGGGATCCCCGCTGCCGCCGCCTTCTCGGACTTGCTGTCCGCCACTTTCGCTTCCGGGGCGTCGGCCGGCGCCTCCGCCGGAGGGGCGGGCGGAGACAGAGCGCGATCCGGAGCCGGCGCCTTTGCCTCCGGCGCGGGAGCCTCGGCGACGGGTTCCGGGGTGGGGGCGGCCGTCGGGACCAGACCTGGCGCCGGGGCGGGGCCTTGCCGAAGAGCTCCGTGGGGAGGAGCACAGTGTCGACGGTGAGGACGCAGAAGGGGTGTCGTCCACCACGGTGCTGGCGACCCTCGAGGTGCCAACCCCGTGTCCAGAGACACCTCGTCCCCGCTGGTCTTCACCAGGAGTTCGTACTTTCCAGCGCCGCTGCTGGCTAGGGTGCTCACGGGCCCCTTCGAGGTGAGGAGCGACGCCTTAGGGACGTAGGCCGGCACCGCGTGGTACTGCAGCAGGGTGACGAGCTCAGCATTGCTTAGGGTGGTCAGATCCGGGACGCCGTCGGCGGTGAATGCCTCGTCGTTGGGGGCGAAGACGGTGAGTCCTCTGTCCATTGCGGTCTGGTAGATCTTCAGCACACCGGAGGAGGAGATGAGAGAGGCGAAGGTCTTGCACCCGGCCTTCTCGAGGAGACCCGTCAGGTTGGCTGTCCTGGTAGGAGCTTCGAGGAGCCCTGGGAAGATGACGGGGGCGCTGATTTCCAGCACGGAGATACTGTAGGGATCTGCTTGACGGACCTGGTGTAGTGGGAGTCGAGCTTCGACCCCGGCGAGGTGGACCCCATGGCGACCTTCCCCGCGAGATCAGTAATGTTGATGAATCCCAGGTTGCCGGGGGCGGCGCCAGTGGTCTGGAGCAGCGTCGTCGTCAGAACCGAACCCTCCGAGAGGTCGTGGAGCTTCTTGGCGTCGTAGTAGTCGAGGACCGTGAGCAGGCGGAGGGCGGCCTTGACGGCGGCGAGGACCTCTTGCCGGCGAGGGTGGTCATGACGTCGTTGGTGAGGACGAGGACGGTGACCGTCTCCCGGGAGTTAATCTCGTCCGCCACCTTCGTCTGGGAGAGGTACCCATTGTAGACGCTGTACTCCGGGAAGGCTTCGAGGATGGTGGAGATGTTGTGGGCATCCACCGCCGCCCCCGAGAGAAGGGTCGCGGCGAGGAGGAAGGGCAAGAGGAGCTTCACGGCCATGACGGCGGCGTGAGGGAGGGTGGACCGGAGTCCGCAGAGGCCGCGGGAGGAAGGGACGAGGAGCCAGGAGAAGGCGGGGCGACGGGCACCAGGAGGGAATAAAAGTTAGGCTCGAAACCTAACCACGGTTAGGCTGACTCAGACCGCAGTGCCGAGTTATCTGACGTCAGCAGAGAGGTAAAATTCCGATCCGGTCCGATCATCCATCGGGGGTAATTTTGGATGGAAATACTGCAGCTCTCTGAATGGTTCATATTCCAACTGGGCCTTCCCGCGATCATCCTGGGCCTCACGTACGTTGATGACGTCACTAACAGTTGACGTGGACTCCACCAGCTCAACCGCGCATTAACCCTCGAACGATGCAACCGAGGATGGTTACAGCCGTCAGATGCGGATCTGATGGTTCTAAGAACACACGATGTCCACCAATGGAAGGAATCTGGTGGACCAGAGCCGGATCGCCGACGTTGGCGCGCGGGTAGAGAGACAGGGAGGTTAAACGAACGAACTCGGAAGGACGTCTGCTGGTTCTCCTCCCGGCTGGCTGCGTGGGAGGGTAGAGGGAAGGGGCGTGATGACGAGGGCGATGCTCCCGGTTCTCCTGGTGTCCCTCGTGCTTCCCGCCGTCTTGTTCCCGGAGGGCGAGATTGCTGTGAGGGCAAGGCCGGACAAAGAGACGATGGCGAGGTTCTGGGGCAACCTTACTGGGAGCATGCCGCCTCCGGGGTCTGGGGAGGGTAGCATCGCGAATATGTTCGAGCGCGTACTCGAGAGGAGTTCGGAGAGAATGAAACGCCGGAAGGTAGCGTAGTTTGATCCTTCCTTTTCCGACTCTGCTGCGATCATTCTGTACGGGTGGTTTGTCGTTTTCCTGATGGGTTCGGCGCGTGTATCTTGCGGAGTGTGCACGTTACGAACTGATAATCATTAGTATTCTTTTTTTCTTTTCTGGAATAATTTGGGACGATTTACGCCCCCGATCCCCGAAGTGGCGACAATATGAAAAGCGGGCGGGTTATCCAAATCATATGCTTAACTTAGAGCTCGTCTGTCCCGTTTCCGGATATTTTTTTGTGATCGAATCCATAATAACGACTTCAATCCTTATGATTTGGTCGAGAGAACCACAGTTTGGGTTAGAGATAATGTTGTTTCCTCGTAGAAAGCATGTGCGAGAGTGATTATACCTACTAAGTGCATCATCTAAACATCATAATCGGTTTCAGTGAATGCCTGATGGAGGAACGGTGTTCCTAGCGCTTGCTCAAGAACTCCTTTTCGTGAATGACATCTGCATGATTCAGATTAGTCCTTCACACATGTACCTTATAAAGTAGCATGGCAGTTCGAGGGAAGCAGAGCAGCTCTATACTAAGTAGTCTATAAGATGAGTTTTATTGGAGTTTTTTTTTCACCTCGTAATTCATCAAATTGGACACCTTTTCTCCGCTCAATTGCTGAAATCGCTCTTGTGGCATCCAGAGATTTCAATGTAACAAATATAAACTGTTATTATTTTTATGAGCATTCCAAAGCGAAATATGGGATCTTCCCATACAATTTTTTCAAAGGATCATACAAAAAGTAAAGGTTCACTATTTATTTTCTCTAGACTTTCGTTTGCAGTGGCGTTATGCAGGTGTGACTTTAAATACTGTACTACATACTCTGGAAGCGACAATGTAAACTATTGCCAGATAAGAATTTTGAGACAGGACAAGATTGTTACGTTAGATTTATTATAAGTTTTTAACGATAGATGTCGCTGAAACTAGTTAAAGAAAAGGAAAACGTATAAGCGTAGAATGAAAATAATTGATCCCTCAAAATAATCAGCCATAGATTAGTTCCCAATATAAGTTAGAGATGTAACATCGTGAACTTCTCTGCTTTCAGCTCTTTTGCATTATCAGTAAACAGGAAGCTTGAATACTCTTTATGCACTTTCTATCAAGTATCATCAACATCAAAATTGGTTGTCAGCGTGCCAGCCTCATATACTTCCATATTATGGCTTATGCTTTTATTTCTCATAGGACAGGTGGAATTAGTTGTTTTTCTTCTCATCACTCATCGAATGGTTTTAACCGTTCCTCAGGTTCTGACGCAAGTAACTTTAACAGCAGTGTGGCTGATCATCAAGTAGGTGTGATTTTCCTCTGTCTTTTTCTGACAACATGCAAATTAACACCACATCCACTTTCCACAATAAATATTTGCAACAGATTCTTTTTCACCCAGAAATGTTGCCGGGATGAATTAGTACTGATGCAGCTCATGTTGTACCTTTGTTATCCTCTGACTGATTTTCATAGTTAAGGTTCTAAAGAAGAAGAACAAACAATATCTCCTCTCTAACTTATAGGAGAAACAGAACTTGAATAGCATGCTCATATCACAAATACAGTTTATTTTTATTTTCTGGGGTATGGAGGGTCGGAAGTCATAATAGGCTAATTGAAAAGTGAATACAAGGAGGAGAAGGTTTGGCTTAAAAAAGGAATTAGACTAGTTTTTCTGTTCTTTGTCTTGCTCTGTAGTAAGACTAGACAAATATGTAATTGGTGGCGTGCTAGGTTGAGATCTTGTAAATAACCTTGTCTCCGATTTCAGAGATTTGTCGCATTGTGGAAAGAACTGAATGATACATTTCCTGATCAAAGATTTGGGCGCTAATCACTATTGTGTTGATCAATGAAAGCATAATATTTCATTTACAGAAAATGCTTATATTGCTTGTTTTGAAACTGAATTTCCTCCATGTCATGTGGTCCACAAGTGTAGGCGTCCAGAATGCTATCAAGTAGATAGTTCTATCCTGGTGCTTTTGTATCACGCGTTACAATGTCAGATGTGACAGAAGAGTAGCTTATTAGCCACATCGAAGTATGGCTGGTTGTGCTTATGAACCTTTGACTTATTATATGCGACGTTTTTATGAAAAATTATCCTTATGAAAATGTATGATTAGTAGCACTGTTTAAGATACCAAATGGCTTATTTTCATGGAGAGAGGCTTATAGCTCCTTAACTTTTTGACCCTGATTTATTGTAAGATTGACTTATTCTTCAGTTATTAGGCATTTCAGTTGCCTCTTTCCTTGATTTAGTATCAGTTCGATTGCTTATCTTCCTCGATATTTCTTCCAGGCTGTCTTGGAAACCGTGGCAATTATTACTCATGACAAAAATGAGTCATCAGCAGCGAAGTAAGAAAATATACAGACCTGAGCTAATATGGTCATTCTAGTGTCTGTCACGAGATGATACCTTTCTCAACTGTTGTATGATTCTGTTGCAGTGGAAGCAAACCATTTCAGATACAAGATGTTTTTCCCTGGACAATGAAGGCTCAGAGGGTGGGACAACTTTGATAGATAAAGAGGTTATTGACATTATACTTTTTCCTACTCTAGGCAGGAAGGCTCTCTTATTTGAAAGCAGAACAATAAATGTTCCTCTTCCCACCAAAGCATCTCTTATTGACCTGAATTTTTTGTCTTATTCCTGAACTTCAGGACAATGTATTTGTAATGTCAAATCGGAAATCAAAGTATCCAGTGCTTCAAGTGGACTTAAGGTTCTCAAGTTTTTCTCCTTTAGTTATCCCTTTTACTCTATGTTTGATATTGAGTTGCAATATTGCCTCAAACCCCATAAAAAGTTTCACAACAGAGAGGAATAATTATACTGCACGTCATCAGGTTTATTTCAGACTTAGTGGTGGTGATAGTTTCGGCTACCATTGGTGGCATCATATTTTCCTGTTTAGGCCAACCGGTCAGTTGCTCTGCCCTTTGTTATTGAGTTAACTGGTACATGTCTAACTAGTAATGTCTGCTATTATTGTGGTTAACTGTTTCTTTTAATCTATGTTTTAAGGTTATCGTAGGTTATCTTCTTGCGGGGTCTCTTATTGGACCAGGGGTCTAAAGTTTATCAGTGAAATTGTACAAGTAAGAAATTTTAGTAGGATTTTGTTAGGGTTTTGTTAAGCAGTTGAATTTTGATATATTTTTATTCCATGTTTCAGTCTTAAACATCATCTAGGGTTGTCATAAATTATATGGGGACTTAGCTCCACTGATGGAAGAATTGGGAGAGGAGGGAGGAACTTTAGTATACTTGGACATGAGTTTCATGCATGTTTCTTCACTTTTGTTTCTCATTATTATTTGCAGTTTTTGTGCCTGCCATTAATGCTTAATTAGTAGCGAATGCACTAGTTCAAGCCCGTGGGATCTGTACTCTCATTATTATCAAACACGCATCATGATATTGATTGGCTTATTGAACATAATTATCTTATGTCACCGAAAACCTGTTCTATATCAATTAAATTTCAGATGAGGTTTTCGCTGAAATAATTAGAACTGAACAAAATTATTTTTCTTTTCGATTTTGGATTCAGTACTAGATATCTTTTTATGGAACTGTGCCATTTACATACTGCAGGTGGAAAGTTTTTCATATTCTAGCAATGATGCCTCGTGGACAATATTTCTCTCATCACGGGATGCTGGGTGGGGAAGCATAACCGGAACTATTTGAGTCAGATAGGTGACAAAGAAGACATAATACCTGATGTTGGATGGATGACTGAAGTGTTTTGGAGCTTGTTGACTTTGTTACCAAAGTCATGTGGGAGCGAATATCTTTCCATGAGAATGGTGGAGTATTTTTAATTAAGATGAGAAGCCATAAAGAGACCCGTTGGAGTATGGAGGTACACGAAGAAAACAAGAAAAAAAAAAAAGGTTGTTTGCTGATCATTGAAAAAATTGGGATAACGATTTGGATCAAAGAAATGAGAAAAGCCAATAGAAATGGTGTCATTCCCAAATGTGGAGCTTCTGTTGCCTTATGACCCACTCAGTTCATGCTCCATTGTGAAAGCAACAGCAAACTATGCTTTTGATTTTAGATTGGGAAAGAATTGGGTTTGTTGAAAGATGGGGGTGTTATTTTAAGATGATGGCTAAATGAGAAACACTCGAAGGAGACAGGTATTCATTTATATGATTGGTCACAAATGTATTTCTTTGCTGAACAAGAATAAGCAATAGGTTGGAGGCACAAAATTAAAACGAGGAGAGTGAAAGTTGTCTCTAACTGAGTTTCTTGTTGCGAGGTCAGAAGTCACGAGAGGCATGCTATCATGTGGCTAATATTTTCATCAGTGCTCTTTGGAGCAACCAAAGAATAAAAGATGATTGGATAACTAGGTTGGATGGTCCATTAGTTTTTGTGGAAATAAAAGGCTGTTCACATGGGTCGGATTTTAACTCCTTTTGTCAAGTTGACATTGAACCACAAGGAAATTGGCATTCATCTTATTGATCTTGAACTTGCTAGGTTTCACAAAGGCTTAATAAATAGCGTTATAATTTTGCCGATGTAAAACAGGATAAAATTGACGTGGAATTGTTCTTTTTTCTCATTCAGCGAAGCTACTTTTCTGGGTGATTTACCTACCATCTACATGTTTTACACTCTGAAAATGGTTCTTACCTGTTCTCTTATTGGGTTTTATTAGTGGACCATGATGGATTGATGCCTGTTATGTGGCTTATTAATCATTGCAGGTTGAGACTGTAGCCCAGTTTGGCGTAGTTTTCCTTCTCTTTTGCTCTGGGCCTTGAGTTTTCCTTACCAAAGGTATTTACTATTCTAACTAGCAGAGTCCTGTCATCACGTTGATAATTGATTTCTAAATTCTGACTTGGCATATATTAAGAATTTGACTTGTGGATGTCAACGCAGCTAAAAGCTGTTGGCGCTGTTGCTGTTGTTGGAGGTCTCCTTCAAATTGTGATATTCATGTTTCTGTGTGGTGTAGCTGCCATGGTATGACAAAAAATTGCGCTTAACATATTTCAGATTCTAACTCGAAGTCAGTTTTTCTTGTACTTGCGTATGTTTGCAGGTTTTGATTCTACTTTGTCTAACTATGGTTTATTAATTGGCTACAGGTATGTGGTGCAAAGTTGTCGGAAGGAATTTTTGTTGGTTCGTTCTTATCAATGTCATCTACAGCAGTGGTATGGATTCCTGATCCATAAGTGAATGATTTTCTGTTGGCATCATAACATTATGAGTTAAAGGCATGTTTGTTTTCTTCAGGTTTCAAAATTTTAGCTGAAAAGGGTAGTATTAATGGTCTCTACAGTCAAGTGACGATTGGGACACTTATTCTTCAGGTGTGTAGTTGCATGACTTTTTAAAAATTATTCTTGTTTCTATCCCTGCCAAATAAACATCTTTGAGGAATCATTTTAGTGGAATACTGGTTTGGGCAAGTTGTAGACCATAGGGAAACATTTTAGTCTCACAGACAACACTTTTGGATAAAAATATCAACCTGTTAGTATTTTATTGCCAGCTTTAGTTGTGGTATGTGAGTAGTTTTGAGCACAAGAAGAAGAGGACATCAAAGGAGTGATTCATAACCTTGGCTTATGTGCTTATCCTTTAGATATGACATTCAGGACAAGGCTTTGGCTGTCAGCTTCTCTTCTTCTTCCCTTATTTGTCTTCCTTTACTTGCTTCCTGTTACTGACAATTTTAAGTGCTTGGAAATAATGCCTGAAAACATGTCTATGAGGCATTGGTTTGTGTTGGCTTAAAGATTCCGGTATGTCTGATTTGTATTTTATTTTCTTCGTCCATGGAAATGGTCTTGAAGCCTAAAAGGAATTAGAAAAGATAATTTCTCGTAATACTGTCGAATTGATTCTCAGTTTTGACACCATCACAGAAATTCCATGAATTCTTTTAAAACATAAGAACACAGAACATGATGCGAAACCGAGCAAGAATATACTGCATTTTGATTGGGTTCCTAGTAGAACGATTCTTCCAATCGATGTAAATTCCTTGTATCAAATGTTGTTATGCCCCTGAATCTAGTCTGTTGGATATCTCAACTATGTCTGTCCTATGAGTATCTTTGGCCAGATTCTTCTTTATCAGAGGTTCTAAAACGAAGTTTTTGTATCTGTTTTCTTAGGCAGTCACCTAAACTTGTCAGAGAGCGTTGGACATTTATCATAAATTTCGTCTTCTGTTTCAGGATTTTGTTGTCGGCCTTCTTTTTGCTTTACTTCCCATTCTTGGTGGTAGTAGTGGCGTTGTTAGAGGAATTGTGTCCATGGCGAAATTGTAAGTTATGAAGCTAAGCCTTGTTATCTGAAATGCATCTTCAAACATTTTTGTGCTTCTGATTTATTTTATTTTGAAGCTTCTTCTTTCACTGAGCACTTATATGATCCATTGGCAAGTGTGTCTATATGGTTGGCTTTACTTTCGTGGACTCAATTGAAGCATCAGCTGATGAGCCGTCTAATTTGCATTTAATATGCAGGGTCCTGGTCTTGTCCTTATTTCTAATTGCTGCATCAATATTGTCCTGGTCTTTTGTCCCTCGCTATTTCAAGCTAATGATAAAATTATCTTCTCAAGTGAGTATTTACCCATCTTTCAGCAAAAAACTCGTGTGATAATTTCATATTGGTTGAATTTCCTATTGCTCCTCTTTTGTATTTTATATTTGGTTATGTTTTGTTTTTTCGGTGTATCATGTGGTTTTCACAGATAAGCAAGTTGTTATTCAAATGGTCAGATTGCTGTCTTTTAAGTCCTTTTGTGTAGATATTTACTACTCGTTGCTTGCTAGGATAAACAGGATACATTGAAGTCCTTTATTTCAGTTCTCATGGATGAAATGCCTTCCATCTTAATAGGTTTTTGTCCCATCATGATGCACCAAATTGTGGGATATATGATCACTACTTCATTATCTAAATACAGCTTTGCAGGCTGGTCCCAAAGAACCTTCATCCCATCTAGAAGTTCTTTTAACCAAAGTCCACATGTTCCTTGTGATGGCAAATACATTCTTTTTGTTTTCTACTCCCACAAGTTATTAAGTTCCCTGCTGCAGAGGTTTAATATCCAAATGTAGGTTTTCTATCATTCATACCAATGGCCCGCTAAGCATTTATGTATGCTTCAACATATACACTGTCTCTTGAATATCAACTCCTGGAATTCATTTGAGATTTCTGAGAAGTCTTTCGTCTACCTTTAAATGTTCTTTGTTAGCAGAGTGTATAAATTGACGCATGTTCACAGTGAAGGCTATGTCTGGGTGAGTATGCAACAAGTAAATTAATATTTCAAGAAAACATTTGTGGTGTGCCTTGTCCATCTTACTAGTGTTTACACTTGATTGTGGTTTAGATGAATAGGTCTTTCAACTGATTTGTTGCCCAAGGTACCAATTACCTCAGGTAAATCTAATGTGAACTTCCTTTGTCACACTAAGTCACCTCTTTGTTTCTAGCTACTTTCATGCCAAAGAAGTGATTCAAGATTTTTAATTTCGAACTTCTTAATAAGAAAGCTATCCAGTTTGTCTTGCTCAATATGATCGTCACCTATTGAAATAATGTCATCCACAAACACGAGTATTGAGACCTTTCCACAGTCAGCATATTTATAGAGCTTGGTGTGATTTGTCTTTTTCTGAAAAGATCATGTTTTCATGTTTTAGGAGATTTCTTGATTAAATCAAACACTATAAACGGATTAAATCATGTTTTCGGGGATTTTTGAATCCATAAATTGATCTCTTTTGCCTTCAAATTTTGTTAGACCTTATAATTCCTTCAGACCTGGAAAACAGATTCATATAAACCTCATCTTCTAATTCAGTATCAAGGTAGGCATTCTTGTCATCAAAGTTGTACAAAATCTAATCAACGTTGTGGCCATAACAACATAATTTGATCATCATTCCCATCTTCCATCGGTGTAGAGGTCTCTTGATTATGAATTACAAATGTTTGTGTATATCTCTTCACTATCAACCTTTCTAGTGATCTATCACATCTACATTTACTTTCAATATCCATTTGCAATTGACTAGTCTCTATCCTTTAATAAGATTTATTACTTCTCTGGTGTCATTCTCCTCCATTGTCGTCATCTCCTTCTTTCACTTAAGAACAGTTAGTGTCTCGTGTAGAGTTAGGAAATACCATATTTGTCAAGTTAAGAATAGATTCTTCAAAGAGGAAGATAATCAATGGTGTGATACAAAATTTTAAGTTGGAGTCATAGAATATGACTTCATTCTCTTTCTAAGAGCATTGGAAGTGTTAAGATCTTGGAATTTATGAGCTATTATACTCAATGAATAAATTTCGCATACTATTGCGCTCAGGGTTGGCTGTTGCCTAGAGTTTATCGGATGTTGCTCTAAATAGTTTGCTATAGTTTATATTGAGGAAGAGCTATGATTGCTATTTACTAGTCACTGAATCTTCCACTGCGTCAGATTCCTCGTGTTTTGATACAACTGATTGAGGTTATGACCTTGGATTGGTGGTAGAATGTTTTATGGGTCCAGCAATTGTTGAGAAGGCAACTTGTTGTTATAGTCGAGAAGGCAGGTTTGTGACGGAACGGTCTTAGGAGGTGAATTTGTTATGGGTACAGCAATTGTTGCTTCCTAATGCTTTCTCTTCCTGAAGAGATGTTTGAGAGGGATAAACTGATTTTAGAAAGGTTACATCCATACCACATTTTTGCTCTAGGATCACATTTGGTGCTGAGGAAAGTGCATGCTTTGCTCGATCACGTTTGGTGCGGTAAAGACAGAATATCAAGAATGCAGCACAAAAATGCCCTGAGAGGTGAATCATTGAAGGTTCAACTTTTAACTACTTGGGAGAATGGAAGGGGCCCGTTTATTTGCATGACCCTGCTTTCCTACTTACACCCCAAGTCAATCCCTAGTGTTCCTGTTGTGTGTGGATAGGTTTGTAAAGGAATGCTTAGGTTTTTGGAAGTCGATGCACTGGAGTTGGCATCTATTGATTAAATTTGAAGCAGTAAGGATATGTTCTCCTAGAAACATAATTATGACCTTTGGTTGTAAATGTTATGGCTCAGGCAACTTCCATTATTTGTTGATTTTTTCTTTCACAAAATCCATTTTGTTGTTTATGGATACAAGAGATTTGATGGAAAACGCTCTTTCCATTAGGAATTTACAGATGGCGGATTTATACTATTTTCTGTTAGCTATTTTCAAGACCTGTATGTCAGTGTGAAATTGGGTTTTAACCATGGTATAGAAATTTTAGAAAAGCTCTGTAGCCTTGGGTTTTCTTTTAACTATACCCAAAAGTCTCTAGTTTGATAATCAATGAAGCCAATTAACCACTTAGTCCCCAGATGCCGTTGTGGATTATATAAAACGGTCGGGATTGTTAATTTGCCATGAAGAAACGTGACACGGTGGTCTCTTGTAAGTCGACAGAGTTCACATTGAAATTGAGAGAGAAAGGAAGTTGCCCATATTCGAATTGCGTTTCTGATGCCTAGAAAGCCACAAGGATTGTTATGCTGGAAATGAATCATCGTGATTTGAATTTTTGTGTAATGCATAAATCGTCATATTTGATAACTAGCATTTTTATATTCCGTCAAATAAGCTTATATATCCTTTGGTCCCGTATCCCTCAAGAAGCAGAAAATATTTTCTGGACACTTTCTGGCTACTGTTATGGGCTAGTTGAAAGTCATAAATACCCTATATTATAGTGCCCAGCGTTGTCCTTCCCTGTAGCAGTCGGTTGTGATCTCTTCTCTGTAACAAGGTGGTCAATTAAAGAGTGGATGATGTATTTTGACAGAAATGGAGGCAGATGCCCTGCTACCTGTTCACTTTTCTTCTATTGGCATGTTGGCGTCTGCAGGAGTATGTTGCGTTTCAGTTTCTTTAAGAACAGGATGAGATGACGTTTACAGAAGTGGGGATAGATCCATTTTTGTGGTTTTGGTCTAGCAGCTTCTGGAACTTGTTATCATTTTCTCCGGAATATCAATTTAATTAGGTTCATCTTTACACTTCTGGTAAGAATGCTTTTAGAATGACGAATTATTTTCCCTCTTTTCCCTCTTTTTTGAGCTTTCGATTGAAGAAATTATCTCGCCATCCTGGGGTTTCTGATACCGTCTGGGTTTCTCCTCCATACCCACAATTGGTTGTTTGCAATCTTCCTTCGTAATGTGTTGCATTTTTGCCTGACTTTTCAGACCAATGAATTGTATCAACTTGCGTCGGTGGCTTTCTGTTTGCTATTGGCTTGGGTAAGCATCATTAGCTCAAAATTCCTTTTCCCATTGAAGATGCAGTTTTTATCCATGTCTTTCTGTTGGTCACTCATCGTACTCACCATTAGCTTCAGCATGTTTTGTAATGGCCCTAAATTTTCAATATCCTATTTACAGTTAATCTCTTGAAGTCAAACTCCCACCGGTCTGTAAGTTTCTAGGGTTTCTGATGCACAGGCATCTGGTATCCGATTTTACTGGGCATGAAAACTTTATTCTCGTTAGATTCTTGAAATAAATTTAAAAGTGACTTAAGGTCGATTCAAATGCCCTTTATAAAGTTCCCGAGTGGTGCTTGACAACTTATGTAAAGTTGAGTACACTTCACCGCTCATCTTCACCACATACCCTCCCGTACTTCAGTGCAGTGATAAGCTCGGGCTAAGTCTTGAGCTGGGCGCCTTTGTCGCTGGGTTCATGATATCAACCACTGACTTTGCTCAACATACTCTGGACCAGGTACATCCTTCTCACGGGCCTAAGTGCTCTTGCTGAATTCTTATATGACATATGGAGGAAATATTGACCGTGTTGCTTGTTCACTTTTTTTAAAACCTTTTTAACATTTTGTGAATGAATCTGTGCATGGAGCTTAATAATTTTGCTGGGAAAAGCAACCTTGGTTTAAGCCGTTCGTCTCCCCTTCAAAGCCTGATCACTGTCCTTGCAGATCGAAGCGATTCGCAACCTCTTCGCAGCGCTCTTCCTAGCTAGCATTGGGATGCTGATTCACGTACAGTTCTTATGGGCCCACGTGGACATACTGCTTGCGTCGGTCATTTTGGTTATTCTGGTGAAGACCATCGTGACCACTGTGGTAGTAAAGGCATTTGGATATGGTATAAGAACGTCATTCCTTGTGAGTATATCAAGCTGAGCATCGTATCACAATCTTTGCTATGCATGTTCAGACCTGTAGACATTTATCTATTATGCTCGTGCTAATGGTGCAGGTTGCATTGTCGCTGGCCCAGATCGGAGAGCTTGCATTTGTTCTCTTGAGCCGTGCATCAAATCTCCATATTGTCGAGGTGATGATCCAATCGCCTCTAAATCTGTATCTTCTTCTTGCTGTTTGCCATAGGATCATAGAACCTTGTATTTATCTCGATCTGCAAAGATTCTCATTTTGCTATCAGATTATTCATAGTAATAGATAGGGCCCAGCCAGAGTAATAAAATTCTGTACAACACGTCAGATGCCATTTTTTGAGAAATGATACCCTCGTCCATGGAAGCTTTCATTGAATTATTTCTTCATTATATAACCTACTAATCGAGTACTTGTATCCTATTTAGGGCAAAATCTACCTTCTCCTCTGGGAACGACAGCCTTGAGTCTGGTAAGCCTCCTCCTCCTCCTCCTCCTCCCTCCTGCTGCCCACAGCTTCCTCCTCACATCCTTTTTGTGTTTCGCTTCTAAGGTAACGACGCCTCTGATGTTCAAACTGATACCCGGTGTTCTTCACCTGGGCGCTCTCATGCACTGGTTTCCTTCGCAGGGCAGCACGCAGGCCGAGGTTTCTACCTTTTCTCCTTTTCTTATTTATTTATTTACTCACCTTTTCGTACTTCTAGGAGACGCCGCAATTTACGCCGTTTTGACGCTTTGCAGGAGAAGAGCTATGACGCTTGAGACTAGCGAGAGAGAGAGATGATTGGACATCACACTTCATCATAGGGTGCCATAGGTGTTGGGTAACTTCTATCGGATCTAGGGCATAAGTCAGTTTAAGGTTTCCGCGATGAAACTGGGTCCAGAAATTCACATCAAGTGGAGGAGAGAGAGAGATAGATGTACCGAGGACGTCCTCCATCTCCTCTTGCAACAGTTGGCTTCAAGGGCGTCCTTCGTCAAAGTTGACGGTATGTGTTATGACACAAGCATGTGTATATTAATATAATCTGCAAAAATTTGATGCCCAAGTAAAGGTCACCCCTCTATCCACTAATAGTTAGCTTTAATCCTCCATCATTTTACTGTTATACCCAAAGTACACGAACTTAACTGCTGTTGGGTTGTCAAGATTCAACAGACTTGTATGAATTACCATGCTTGAAGTCAAAATGGTAGTAGACGGTGTTCCCGATGTCGGCTCTGGTGAGCCCATGTTTATAATGAGTAATATTTTAACGATACATTATGCATATGATTATGTTTTCTGTCTCTCTCCTCTACTCTTGTCGAAGGGCGAGAGTAATCATAAAGTTAGCTTAGTAAAAGGTTAAATTATGTTAATTAGATTGAGAGGCAGACTAAATAAAGGGCAGGATAATCTGCAGGGATCAGAAAGTTCAATTGAATTTTTTAAAAATAAAATTAAGGAACCTGCTGGGAGCTAAGATCAAATAAAAAATCTTCTGCAGGAAAAGTTATAGTCGTAAATATGCCTGCTATTATCCTACACAGACTGACGTACGTTAAGGAAAGGACGTACACGGCTGTGGAGCAGAGTAAACGTAAGGACGCCATCATTGGTGCCGCTGCCACTGGCGAGCGGGGGCTTGACAGCCAGAGTGACAGTCAGATGCTGTTGTCGTCACCTCCTCGGCCCCGTGACGGCGCAGACACACGAGACATCTTTCTCTCTCTTTATCTCATCTTTGCACGTCGCCCGGCGGCGTTTCACCGAGGATGGTCTGGGCAAACCCAGCGCGGTACGAGAGTTTATTCCGCCAGAAGCGGTCACATGCAAGTCAGCCGCCTCTGGTTATTACAGTCATCTTCCGTCTCGAGTTTCTCCGTCAAAACTGGAGAGAGAAAAAGAGAGAGAGGGAAGGGAGAGAGGTCGACTCTTTTATCCCCGCAGGAAGATTTTGACAGAAGCGACTCGACGATTTCGACAGAAGTGAGGGCGGAGGGATTTGCAGGGTGACCTCTGAAATTGGTGCCCTAACAGGGAGGCGCTGAGGTTTCTGGTCTGCAGAATAGACCTCTCTCTGTCTCCCTCTCTCTCATGGCATGATGGAGTCACGGCGGCAGAGCCCACCACCTTCCAAAGTAGCTCGCTTTTCCGACGCCGGTACTCACCTGGTTTCTTCTTCTTCTTCTTTGCCCTACTCACCCACCCCTCGTTCCTTATCCCCACTGGGTGTGCATGACTATGCCTGCTCACTGGCCCGCTATCCTCTCCTGTGCCGACAGACCTCGGTCTTGGTTTGGCCCTTGGTGGAGGGGAAAGTCGGCCTTCACCTTCTTGCAGCTACAGGAGCTGGAGCACCAAGCGCTTATCTTCCAGCACATGGCGGCTGGAGTGCCCGTCCCTCCAGCTCGTCCTCCCATCTGGAAGAGCGTCGCCAGCTCCTCCCCTTCGCCTCCCATCACTCGCTCCCTCCTGTAAGTCTTACTGGGATCTCCTCACCGCCCTCAGTACTTTGGTTCTTTTCTTTTCTTCTATTCTGCTCATCAGTTCGATCTTCCCCAGTCATGGGCTGCGTCGGCGGCGGCGGCGGCGGCGGCGGCGGCGGCGGGCTCTGCTTCGACTACGGCAGCAGCGTGGACCCCGAGCCGGGGCGCTGCCGGAGGACCGACGGGAAGAAATGGCGGTGCTCCAAGGCCGTCGTCCCCAACCACAAGTACTGCGAGCGGCACATGCACCGCGGCCGCCACCGCTCGAGAAAGCCCGCGGAAGACGGCGCCGCCGCTGCTTCCCCAGCACCAACCCCACCGGTGGCGGAAGTCGTCGCCACCAGCGCCGCCACTCTCTCCATCAGCTTCCCGAGCGAGTTCCACCTTGCCGCCGCCGGCACCAGCATCAGCGGCGGCAGCATTTCTCCCAGGCTAGGATTCTCGCCCATCAGCGTCCTCCCCGACGGCGCAGCTGAAGGCTCTCTAATATCGATGAAACGGGCGTCCTCTTTATAGACAGTGACCTCTGCACGAATATTTCAGTCTCGTTCCAGTTTTCCCTGGTTCACCTCTCCCACGGTGGTATCTTCCTTGCTCCGCCGCCCTCCCCTTCTCCTTGGACCACAATCTCTCGAGGTCGGGCCTTCCTGCACAAATTTGGCCCTACCAGGAAGCATATTCTCACACTCTACTACCAGCCCCAAAGACTTGCCACAATCTCGGCATCATCAAGATCGCAAGAGCCCGATTGACCAGAACCACACGTGGATGATCTAATCGAAGCTAGGGAAAATGGGATTTCCAATGCAGCCCGCTCGATCTCTGTCGGCCGTGCTCCTTCCAACACCAACCAGTCATCATCCTGCTCACGCCATAGAGAGCGAGTATTGTGGAAGGGTCAGGCGTTGGCCGACTTCCTCGCCGCTCATCGGGGGATTTGGTCTTTGAGCATCAGGCATTTGTCTCGAAGGAATTCACCGGGTTTTCTATCTCAGCCTTCATAATCACGCCGGGTTTTGACCATCTAAAAGTCAAGGTTCTCGAATTAGTGAATAGTGGCCAAAAGTGGGCCAGCCTGGTGAAATCTCGTCTGGCCAACCTGGCCCATTGGTACCCATTGTCCATGGGCCATGTATTGGGCCTTGATTTCGTCATTTTTGGGTTTGGACCTGAAAACTTGGCACGTGTGGATAAATTCTACCCCGACTCAACTTGATGCTTAAATGGGTCTCGGGCCCAAACCTTGTTATTCCGGTCATGCCGCTGCCATCGCTCTCTCTGCCTCCCCACTAACTTAGTTCCTCTGATCCCAGCGAGCATAACAGGCAGAAGACAAGGATGAGAATTACAAGTGGGTTGGCAAGAGACCCAAAGTTTTCTCATAAAAGGCAATTAGATAAATTCTTTTGATTCAGACATTCGGCACAAATTCATCCACCAGCCTACGATTCCAGACTGATACCGTGTAGATATTTCTCACGCGCACTCAACTCAACACTTTGTAGCGCCGGCCATTGCCATTAGAGCTTTCTTTCTATCGCAGCCTTGGAGCCGTTGTCTTGAATGCAGGAGAGTGGCTTCAGATTTTGGAACAGCGAAGCCTTTTGCCTCCTTTGATCTCCAATAAACAAATGCTTTAAAGTTCTTGGGAACCAAAGGCTTTCACCGAGTGCCCATATTTTATGCGCGCATTAAAGCCCATTTTCAGGGGCTCTAATGGTCCCCAATCGGTCGGTATGTGCGAACAGCCGGGCGGGCTTCTTGGGCGAGATTGTGAGACTGGTTTTATGACAATCTTGGACGAAGTTTAGGAGCCGATTATTTCTTTCTTGCAGTAGCGAGCGCATCATGCCTTTTCTTCTGTCTCGAATTTAATTACGTCTATTCAAAGAACTTATTAGCGGCATTTATCATCATTTGAATACGAGGATTATTCCTGATAATATTTTGTCGGAATCGAACCAAGCTCAGAGATGGAGAGGTAGATCGAGAGGGACGGAGAGAGAAAGCCAATCAACGCTGGCAACTGACCGATGAAAGCGTCTCTCTCTCTCTCTCTCTCTCTCTCTCTCTCTCTCTCTCTCCTCCCTCCCTGTATCCCAATCTCTCCCGGCCGCCGGCAAGAGAAGAACGTAGTCAGCGGGAATAGAGTGAGTGAGTGAGCGAGCGAGCGAGAGAGAGAGAGAGAGAGATAGTTCCCGGATGCAACTTGAGAAAAACAAAGGCTTTAATTGACAAGTAGTTTAAAAGAAATAACACTTTTAATAATAATATCCATCGGGGGCACTCAGAAAGTAGCCCCTCAGGCCCGCTCATACGGAGTCCGCCCCCGTCCTCTCCGCCGCCGGCATCACACGGAACGGTGGAAAATAGAAGACATGAAGATCTCAATGAAACAGGTTACAAACGTTTAGGGTTTGCTTAGCTTGGCTCTAATGGAGGAAACTCGCTAAGAAAACACTGATTTCGTGAAGGTTATCACGGGTCTCTAGAGAGAGAGAGAGAGACAGACAGACAGACAGACAGACAGAGAGACAGAGACAGGCGGATTCAGTAAGGTCGACCAGCGGCTGGCCAGGAATAAGCCTCCGGCGGAAGATGGACGCTGCTGGGAAGGTTGGGCGGGAGGCAGTGGAGGAGTTGTGAGCTCAACTCCGGCGAGAGCTGCTGCGGTGGCGGCGCCGGTGGCGGGTCTCCTCGTCGTCGAGAGGAGTCTCTCGTAAGCCGCGTTACTGAACGACGCCGCCAACACAATCACCGGGCCAGACGCTATGAGCGCCCCCATCACGCTCCCCACGAGCTGACCCTGCCCGCCGGCCAAGTAAATGGTCAACGCCGTGGTGGCCGGCGGCGCCGGCGGCGGCAGGAAGGAACCCGACAGTGAAAGTATCTCGAAGTGGCCGCGGAGGGCGACGACGGCGCCCGCCGTGGCGGGCTGGCGAAGAGTGACGTTGGTGACGGTTCCGTTTCCACTGAGGACGCAGATCCCCTCTGCCGGCGGCGGGCAAAGTCGCCGACGCTCTCCCAGATGTCACAGCCGTCGGCGATCTCCATCACGTGCGTCCGCAACGCGTTGACGCTGTCACGGTTGATGATGATCGGCAGCTTCGGCTTGTTCTTCGCGCCGGTGGGCCGCCCGCGGGAGGAACGTCTGTCGCCGTCGGCCCCGGAGAATCCGAGGGGCGGGAGCGACCACCCGAGGCCCTCCTTGGCGCCGTCGCCGCAGTCGCCGCTTCCTCACCGCCGGCGGCGCCGCCGCCGCTGCTTGGCTCATCCTGGGAAGTAGGCTGCTGGAGGGGATGGTTATGGTGGTGGTGGTGGTGGTGGTGGAACTCTCTGGGATGGAAGGGCGACGAGAGACGGTGGCTGTTTGTGGCTGCCGCGTTAGCAACTGGATCCATCCCTTCCTTCTCTTCCTTCTACCTCCGCTCTACCTCCTCTCTATCCTCTATCTCGTTGAAAAACACCCAAAAACACGAAGAGAGGGAGAGAGAGACACACACACAAACCAACAACTATTGTGACTAAACCCAGGCCAAGGGACCGGCGGCGAAACGAAGAGCTCAGTTGAAGGTGCCCATTTCCTTCTCTCACTCCCACCTGAGCTCCGGTGACTGGCCTTCTCCCTAGACGACTTCCCTCCTTCCCTTTCCCCACGCAACGATTCTCCTAAGACGGCCATTTTTATTTGGCGGCCAGCTGCCCGTTTCTTTTGACATCCAATGGCTGCTCGAGGGCTGGTTGGACGGGCACGGAAAGCGAGCGATCGGGGAGGTGGAGAATCAAGCGGGCGGCGGAGGAGTTGCAGAGGGAAACAAGCGGCGGAGGAGGAGGTGGGAAGAAAGCGAACGAGCGGCGGAAGAGCTCACAGACGGAGGATGAGGGAAGAGAGAAAACCTACACCTGCAACTCCACCCTGCGTTGACGATGATCTGCGTTCAGATCTCCACCGACATGAAACATTTAATGGGACGAAGGGGGGTTCTGTTTATCAATTTTCTTGAATTTTGGGTTTAGTTTATGTGCCGTAATATATTTTACTCACGTGGCTGGTATCTTAACTACTGGAGTCGACGTAGGTAATTACGCATTAAAAAATATAGACAAATTAATAAATCATAGGTTGAGCTCGGGCCGTTCCGTCCAGCCCGTGATCGATGCCCCGCCTAAATTCCTTTTGGGCCTGTTTTAAAAGAAAAGGCTGGAAAACCACACCGGGCTTCGGGCCTTTGGGCTTAGGGGCCCATCACATCGAACCCTGCACTCTCTGGTGCCGTCTTGGTTTCTGAGCCCGGCGGCGCCCCACGCCACGGGAAGGGCCTCCATACCTCCCCTTCTGGGGCGGCGAGTCTACCCCGCACCTACTACTCTCGCTGCCGCCGCCGCGCTGCTGCTGCCGAGATAAAGAGGCCACTCTCCCCGTCTGAAGCGGAGAATATTTATCATAAACAATCAGAACCTGACTCTCTCTCTGAGGCTCTCTCTCTCTCTCTCTATATATATATATATAAATTTTATCTCTCTCTCTCTCTCTCTCCAGCGTCGACGAGGAGAGCTCGTTGAGAATCTCCGCTCCGGATCGCCGCCGGTCGGCGACAGCGCCACCAGTCCTATCGAACTGGGTATCCTCCGGAGGTGGGTTTGTGGGCCCGAGTGATTAATGGACAAATAAATGGGTCATGCATTTATGGATCTGCTTACACGTGGAGACTAGGTTATTTAAGATCATTGAATCAGGTCTCCCCGGCGCAGGAACTTATCTTCCGCGTGGCGAGCAGGAGCGCATTCGGTAATAGTTATATTACCGACAAAGTAATTGGGCTGGTCTTTCTGGGATTAAGCCTAAAAAGGCCCATCCCATTCTTCATCTGGGCCAGGTCCAAGATTCCATACGTGGCCCAGTTCTTGTCTTTTAAGAGATGCCCATGGGTTCGCTGGGCTTGAAGAGGCCCAAACTCTGGTCCGATACATTGGTCCAACAGCCAGAAGGATATTATATATCATTTAGAATTAATGGCTTTATGACATTTTTATTATTTATCATTATTTAGTTATATTAAAATTTTATTTAAAGATATAATAGAAACTATGGACCCACCCTCCATTATCGTGCATAGTTTAAAATTAATTACTTAATGGAAAATAATAAACTCAGAGAGAGAAAGAGAGAGAAGGGTGAGAGAGAGGAATGTGCACCTGCGCCCCAGTGCCGCCAAAACCTATGGAGCTCAGGAGGACAGACGACACTATAAACTACGCGGCTTTGAGACTTTTCGACGAACCCCGCCGTCCCGCCATTCTCTCTCTCTCTCTCCCCTCCCTCTCTCGGGAGCAGCAGTGTTCATACCCTACCTCACGGAATCGGGAGGATCATTCAAGCGTGAGGTTTGTTTCGATCAGCCTGGGAATTTTATTCTGAAATTGAAAATAGAGCTGTTGTTTTCCTGTCGATTTCTGCTGTTTGTCTTTTTCTTGGAATCGCAATGGATTTCTTCGGTCTCTTTAGGCTTACCTTCCTGAGCCATTCGGAGCCGTTTCCCTCCCTTTGAGCCGATATGGTCCTACAGAGAAATCGAGTTCTTCTCTGGTATGGTGCTCGACGACGGTGATTGTGCCAGAGCATCGAGCATGGTTGGAGCTGGGGTATAGATGGAAAGATAGACATTAGTCGATATCGAAGCAAAATCTGTCTTTTCTGGAATGTTAACAGCAGACGCTCAGCTTCCACAGGCTCTCTCTGAGCATAACTGCTCGGTGGAGGAGAAATTCCTCTCGATCCTGCTAGCGAAGGATAGTATTGGATTGATTGCAATCTGTCCTCGCTATTGTCAATAGGATGAGATACGTCGATACCTGATGATTATTGAAAGCGTAATCATCACCTTTTATGAAATGTTTTGCAAAGATTGCATCAATCTGGTCGTTATATTAGTTGTCTTCTCCTTAATGATGTTCTCGTAGTTGAGGAAGGAACGTAATTCGTTCTTTATCAAGGGAGGTCACCAGGTCATTTAAGCTGTTGATTAGCCTTTTTTTCTGTTTTTCATGCGGCTGAACTAGTTTCCTACCGGAACACGGAAAGAGAAGAGAAAAAATGTAATTACCGAGCGCGTTGTTCTCAGGAACAATTGCCCTGCCTCATCTTTCCATTTGGGTTGTATTTTCTGGGTAGTCCCATTCATCTTTCTGACATTTGACTGCATCACTTCTCTTAACCTAACACCTCCCTGTTTTCTGCTCTTGAGATGATTACTACTCATTCCTTAATTTTTCTTTCTTTTGATTTTGCGATTTGAATATTAAAAGGAAATAGACAGTTGAGGTTTCTTGCACATAGAGAGGTGTCTACTGGCCATCTATCATTGGGTTTTACCTTCCAAACCGTCCTATATCAAATGCTTCTCATAACCGTATTCCAAACAGCTATGCCAGTCGACCTCTAATTATTAATTGCAGGTATTTCTGTCGAAAGCCTTCTCCCAGCCAGTCTCTGGCGATTATTTTCTGCGCTTTTCAATGATTCTTACTAATCTCGAAGGAAAAAACTACTGTCGTACCTTCAAGTTCTAATTTACCCACTGCAGATCCCCGAAGGATGCTATTCGTTGAGTCATTGTGCACCCCAATTCACAGATGCTAACATTGTTTTTCGACGCATGAGAAAACGTTCCTAGTGTAGATCAAGACCTCGGTTATCCATGATTTTTATATTCTTCTCATTGGCTTTGTAATGCTAAAATGTTCTATCACCTGAAGAAATACATCAACCTATACCTGTTTTACAACAGGAGCATGGCATTAGCGTATTGTAGCTGTCCCATCAGTGCCTTGATTATTTGTTTTCCATCTTTTCCTTATTGACAACAGAAGGTCATGGTATCATATTGATGGAGATGATGCTTGGTTATTGAGTCATGCCTACTGTATTTCTCATCTTAAATGTTTTACAGATGTCAGCAGATACATGTGTGTAAGTCAATTCTATTTCAAAATGGTACTCGATAATCTAAGATAATATACATATTTTTAGCTACTGGCGTGAATATCGAAGAAACCATTAATGAAGTTACATGAAATCTTGATGGATGAGATCCTGTAGATTTATAAGCTGGATTTTGTTTCTTACACTTGAATATGAAAAGGATGCAGCAGGCATGAGAATCTAGGGCAGATATCAGCATGTGTGTTGAACTAAGGTTGGTAAATAACGCAACAGGATATGAGAGGAATATGTATCTATTGCCTCTACTACAGCCACACATGCACTCTTTGATGCAAATTTAGACAGCCATGTGAGAGTTTGATGGTTAATGTTGTGACTGACTCATTAATATATTTTTTATTTTATGCTTATGAATATATTCGCAATTTTATTCTTTTTGAGTTCATGCGAATGCTATATTTTGTTCTGCACTTTGAGACAAATGCCGACAAATTTTGACTAGCAGTGCTTATTTAAGTTCTTGAAATATCCCTTGGTTCCTGGATATTTAGGATCTTTGGAAAGTGATGTTGTTCATCTATTTATTTTTATTTTATTTTTTGAAAGTGTATAGTACTGGGTGATTATTGCTTTATACAAAGAAGAATTATACAACATTATATTTTCATCTACCTAGCAAACGAAAAGAAGGCAAGAGTAGGAAGCATATATCGTCAGAACGTATGCAACTCTAATTATCCATAATTCCGTGAATAGGACTCATTCATCCTGATATCACTAAAAGCCATTCCCACTCTTTCACATCACTATTAGTTATTTCATGGAAGCTAAGTACGAGACAGAGTTCTGATTAAGCATGTATATACATGCTTGGAACAACTACAGATGCATGTTGTTCGGAATGGTGGCATCCCACATATGAGGAATATGAACTTGAAGTAAACTTCTTGTAAAGTTCAATAGAAGGAAAGAAATGGTGATGGTTGAGTTAGGTCTTTTATATTCAAAATTAGCCTGTTACGAGCCACATTAATTCAATTTTTATCTTAGATCTGAAGTTGCCATCGTTGCCATCCCATAGTAGTGAGCTTCATGGCCACTTTTGAGCCTTGAAGGCTGTGATCATTATACGTTAGAAGATTACTTATTTAGGTGTTAAATGAAAGTTGCCTCCTTGTGAAGTCAACTTTCTACGTCTCCACTTTATATTGAAGCTAACTGCTTACTAATATGGTGATGGAAGATCCTCGAGACTTCTCTCAAAGAACCTGTCTCTAAGATGGTAATCAGAACACATCACGTGTATGTGAGACTACCCAGTCTCGTTATCTTGTACAGGGTGGGAATACTATTTCCAATAGCACACTAAGAGATAGGGTTTGTGCCACGTCACTCCCCGTGTAGCTGGAGATATTTCTTCTCGTGATTTCTGACATGTTGCATTAAAACCCTCATGGACCGTATTCCTTACGTTATTCGTCATACCGGAAACCCCCACGCTCTTCAACATGTTTAACTTAGCTTGGATCAATTAATGAAACTTGAAATGGTCTCCCCAATTCTGTGTCGAGTCAGATCCATTAGATCAGCAGATGAAGCTCTATACTAAAGGACCTGCAACCGGCGGGCCCAAATAAACCATATTATAATAATCCCTGAAATAATCCCAAATTATGACCTGAGCCCATGTTTGCTAGAACAGCCATGGCTATAATAATCCCTTAAATAAACCATATTATGACCTGAGCCCATGTAGAACTTCCACCTTTGACTGGGGTTCTTTGGCCTCAGGAATCTTCTTGAACTAACTCCCGTTGAAACATCATCCACTAATCCAAACCAAGATCAGTGCACTGTATCTAACTTTTGTTTCTGTCAGCAAGAGTTCATCTGTCCTGGGGACAAGAATTTCGACCAGAAGGACTCTTCCCAACCTTCATCAAAGGAGCAGCACAACATGAATGCATTTTAAATTCATTTAACCAAATCATCGGTCATCGCTTCCCAACTGTCAATATCTGATTCCGCTCGGGTGGTCCAGGCCACTCGATTTTGTTCTTAAACATCAACGCAATTGGTCATCATATGTTGCGTTCTGCTACCCTCTTCACCATACAAAATTAATAACCTTTTCCCATGCTTTCTTTATTGAATCATTCCAGCTGTTGATTAATAATCTCATTTCAAAGTGCATAAGATATATTGCTTATTGAAATTAAGATTACGTGCAATTCAAGTATGCTTCTTTACATGCTTCTAAGATGAAGGAATTTCTTCCATGCAGGGCTCTAGGAAGAAGTCGGTAGCGAGGGCAATATGGCCAAGCACCACCCCGATCTAATCATGTGCCGGAAGCAACCCGGGATCGCGATCGGTCGGCTGTGCGAGAAGTGCGACGGGAAGTGTGTGATCTGCGACTCATATGTGAGGCCGTGCACGCTGGTCCGGGTCTGCGACGAGTGCAACTACGGGTCGTTCCAGGGCCGGTGCGTCATCTGCGGGGGCGTTGGGATCTCTGATGCTTACTACTGCAAGGAGTGCACCCAACAGGAGAAGGACCGGGACGGCTGCCCAAAGATTGTCAATCTGGGCAGCGCGAAGACGGATCTCTTCTATGAACGCAAAAGTATGGGTTCAAGAAGAGATGATGGGCATCCATAATTCGGCGACAATATCTCGGCGAGGTCCCTACCCCCATCCCCACCTGGTAAGTGCCGCTGCTCTCGCTGGATTCATGTGGACTCCCTCCCTTGATATGAGGTCGTGATCTCCCTATGTTATGCCGTTGGTGAGTTTGGATTAACCTTGCGCTTGTTTATGTTCAGCTTGGGTGGAGGTTTCCTTTGTATTTTGTTCTAGGGTTTGACATGATGTTATTCTTGGGGGACCGGGACCTGCCCAAGCTTCTGAGTTCTTGCCTAAGGCCTTCTTCTTCTTCTTCTTCTTCTTCTTCTAGTATACCCTCAGCAGGATCACTCTGCCTTTTGCTCTGGTATGGTCAGGGTGACGGTGAGAGCTGTAGACCTCATCAAAGCGCAGGGGAGAGAGAGAGTGAACCTGTTGTCTTACGGGGGTGTTTGGACTCTCCTGCCTACCGTCTTGGTTTCTGTTTCCTCTGCTTGTCAGAGACATGCAGACGTGCGGTGATGATAGTAATGAGGAGAGGTGCCAGTGACCCAGGCCAGGCCTCGCTAGTTGGTGATCGCAGGCCAGGCTATGCCTCAGTCTCCGTATGCTAGGCGTCCGAAAATGCTAATTTCTTTGAGAGAGAGAGCAGATCAATGACACCAACAACAGCTGATTATCTAATCATCTTCAGATTTGGAGGGATTGGGATATAAACTAGTCGGTCTTATGTGTGTGTGTGTGAGGGAGAGAGTGGAAGAGCAGATCACCAACGTCAACAAGAGCTCATGATCTAATCATCTTTAGATCCGCAGGGGTTGGAATAGAAATTAGTTGGTGTTGAATTTTTGGGTTGAATTTTCTTCGCAGTGGAAACCAGATCCTTTCGGCAAACGAAGGCCCCTCCTGTACATTGCCATTTATCGACTACGAGTTTTCACAGCGGAGAGTGATCTGTTTATTAAATGGGGTTCTCGCAGCTGTATTTTTAAGAGGTAACCTGAGTCGAGTGCGGGGCTTTTAACGGGGACCCCGGCTCAGCCGCCAGATCAAGAGGGATGGGATCGGCCGTGAAGCGTATATTTTCTCCCAAGGAATTTAAACTTAAATTTAAAAGGGTAGGGTAGACGAACACCGTACGTGGGGCGAAAAGTTCCTATTTTTGAAAGAATAATCAAGAACCAGGATACAACAACATCCGTATTCTCCCCCACTCCCTACCACACACCAAGTTCAAGGGCACTGGAAAAGGCACCATCTCTACGCATATCTGAACAACGGTACAAGGAAAAAATTGGGATCTGAAACCGGAGAAGGGAAAATATCATACACATCTGCTCGAGAGATCAACGCTGGCACAGCCACCGACCGAACCGGGTTGAGTTTGATTCAGCAGGACCTGAGCAGGACCGGCCCCACGCACGAGCTGAGCATGTCGGACAGAGCCGCTTGGACTTCACTTGAGCCGTGCTCGCACCTGATCAGGCCAGAGAGCAGGGGAAGAACTTGGCCAGGTTCTTCTCAAATGAGGAGTCCCCAAGCCCGCAGATTGCCTGCAGAGCCGCCACCACAAGCGGCGCCCGCGCCGCCAGCTCCCTCCGCTTAGCCGACCCGAGCGGGATAGCCCACTGAGGCAGCGCCACCGCCTGCCCCCAGCGGCGGCGGCAGCGGCAGCGTTGGAGGGCAGCCCAGACCTGGCGGTGTCGAGGTAAACCTCCAGGACCTCCCTGCAGAGGTTGATCAAGTGGGTCTCAGCCGCAGTGGCATCCTCCGTGGAGCTCTGATCCGATATGAGATTCTGCAGCAAGGTGAGGCAGATCTGGTAGGCCTCGTTCTCGAGCCGGAGCAGCGGGGGTCCTGCATTTGGGTCATGGAGCCCAGATCTTGGAGCTTGGATCTCAGATCGGTGTCGTTGTCTATTTGATGGGCATGCGAGGCCACGGAGTGCAAGGCATCGAAGAGGACTATGGTGTTTCTCTGCGATAGTTGATCTCGGTACATGTTGTAGATCTCCATTCCGGCCTGAGAATTTCAAAGGAAGATGGGAACCAGATGAGTGATTGAGAAAAAGAAAAACAGATACAGTAATACGGCTGTTGATATATATATATATATATATATATAGATTATGTAGCAAGTGTAAGGTTCCAAAATCCTCGACCCAGAGAGAATGAAAACTCAATTTCGGCCCCAGAAGATCTCATCAGATCACATCGAGTCGAGACTCCAGTTCGAGGTTGAAATGGAGATGAGCTCATGCCAAAAAGCAAAACCAGCAATCTAGAAATTCCTCGAGGTTGATTTTATCATATCCTGACAACCACTTTCCTCTGAGAAAATCCAAGTCAAAAAGCAAAAGATTGTAATGCCAGAAGTTCAGCGTCACTCAAAAGTTTGTTCATCTCACAAGTAAACTATTGACCCAGGGAAAGCTTGATCTTCCGTATAAAGTGCTTAATGTTCACATGAATTCGCCAAATGGTCTGAAGTCACTCACGCCTCAAACTTCAGAGCCGTTTCAATCCTGCCAAGCGGAACCACAACTTTTCCTGGAGTTCTCACTCACGCCAAATGGTCTAAGGTAGATGCTTTGCTAATTTCTCTTACATTTCTTCTAATAGCAAGAAGTAGCAAGCAGCAAGATAATAGTTGATTGAAGGGTAAGACACTACTTCTAGATAGTACATCAACAGAAAATCTGATGATATAACACTCACAACTTTGATTTGCAAGGATCACCGAGACACGAGGAGCCTATATACTCACTCAAGAAACCAAAAATAATGGAAGCAAGAAACCTTAGTCCCACAGGGATTTCAAAGGACGGGATAAACGTTCATACCTGAATCAACAAGAGCTGAACAGCAACACGGCACTTGATGTCGGCAATCGTGAACTGTAGATGTCTTAGCCGGCGTCCCTCCAGACCACTGTCTGCCAAATCTTCGGCGTTCGAGTCCTCACTGGACGGGGGCCTGGTCCAGGGCCCACTTCCACCTCGTACATTCCGGATGCTATTGGTGAAAAATCAGGAAGGGTGGATGCCGTCGCGTCTTTCAATGATAGAACCACTTCCGTCCACTTGTCCTCAGAAAAGAGAGCCCCGGCATTACTCATTAAACGAACGAAAGCCGCGATGCCAATGCCAGCAAGGCTCTGGTGGGGCGCTTGATGAAGCTTGTCAGTAGGGAAAGCACCTTCTTCAGTAGTGGGCCGACCGTATCATAAAATTAACAAAAAGATCCACAACTAGTTGGAGAGCCAGGGTGCAGGTTTCATAGAGCCACGCATCCTGATCTAGCTCATCAGCGTCGCATTCAAGCCCCTGGCCTTGGAAAGTTCCCCAGATGGATCGATAGCATGCCGAACATAGTCAAATATTGGGAAAAGGACGAATCAAACACCCTTTCCCACAATAAAAGCGAGAAAAGGTGGCCATGGTTTCGTAAGGTGTCGAAAAGAACTTGCAAGGCGCTCTTTCGGATCTCTGGCCTTAGGTCAAATGTAAGTTCCGACAATCCTGGACAAAGAAAGGGTTAGACGGTTAAAAGATTACACGGTGCTCAAGCTCGAAAGCCCTAAAGATAAAATGGATGGTACAGATGCTTGCATTCATGATCAACACAAAAAGTGGAAACTATCTCATCGCATGGAAACTATATTGTCGACAGAATCAAATGTGGGGTATGCGACGTACCGACTAACAATGGAAACCAAAAATATTGGTTGTCGTCTTTATCGATGAAATGCAGGCCATCTTGCTTTCCATTCTTCGCATTGTGGGGAGATTGCGGCATTGTCTTTCCAGAGCTCTCCTTGTTCTTTGTGCCCATTCCAACCTCCCTTCCGCAAGCTTCGTAGCACACACACGGAGAAAACCAATAGCATTGAGACTGATATCTTTGTTGAACCTGCTGTTAGCAAATGCAATCAAGCAGTTTACGAAATCCGTGAAGGTGGTCGTCTCTGTCTCAGTTATATATGGGAAATACTCCCGTACAATCTTCTCAACGATTTCAAAGGCCAAAAGCACAATGTTTTTGTGTTCATCAAAAGCTGCCGTGGAAAACCTGGAAATTGACAGGAATCACAAGGGGTAACCATATTAAGTGAGTGATAAAAATGGCCTGCAATTGAAGCCTCATCAACACCAAAAGGGGAAAAACAATACCATGAACATGCTCTTCCATCCAGACTTAACGTTATTGACACGTGTTAAGACCATCTGAGAGATACACCTTATGATTAACTCTCTTATTTCAACTGCTCTGCTTTTCCTCATGACAATTACAAAAGGCTTCATAAATTCATTCTGAAAATTGTAGTTTGCCAGTTCTTCGCGCTCTAAAAATTTCATTGAAAGCTGGCGCAAGGAATCCATAGCAAAATTGCAATTGAGAGGTTCTCTGAACAGCCTATGGTGACAAAGAACTCAGAAAGCACTTGCCACATCCTTGACCAGACAAGCCTGATACGATTCATATTATAGTGTCTGTGCAAAGAAACCAAAGACAACATGATTAGAGGACAGGATTGTAAAGAGACGAGAATATTTGGGCTGACACTTACGCGATTTCAACAATCTTTGTGAGACTGAAAACACGTGGATCAGATGTTGATCGCAATTCTTCCATAGAAACCTTACATAGAGCCTTGACAAAATCAACTACAGCCTCACTATTCAGCTTCTGACTTCTTGTGAAAATGCGATTCATTTCAGATTGGCCAACTTGTTCCAACATATTTAAATTAGAAACTAAGTTGCTCATCTGTTCAGTTGTGACTGCCCCAGAAGGATGGCCACCAACACCGGCACTATCATATGAACCCCTTCGGACAGCTGCAGCTGCATATTGAATCCGACCAGGTCCCTTTTTTAAGAACGGGAAGGATTGACGATTTCCCTGTTTAGCTTTATCCATGTCAGTCTGAGGTAGCCCAAAAGGTGGCATCAGGAGGAGCACCCTCTCCTAGGAGATATAGATGTTCAAACCGTGAAACACATGTCAAAATATGTTCCCAAGCATCTTGCAAATAATTACCCTCTTCATCTGCAATAGCAACAATGGCCTGCGGACCAAAGTATAAACCTCTGAAATCAGAATTCATTAACATAGAATCTCAAAAATAAATGTTAGTATATCAGACCAGTCGACCTTACAAATTTAAAAGAGTTAGAACGAGTCATATTTACTTGTTTGAGAATTAGAATATGCTCTTCCCCATAAACTAAAGTGTGAGATATAATAGACATGAGTTTTGGTTTCTCACGTCAAGTTTGGTACCACGTGGAGCATTGCGCTCCAAGGACTTCTTGTAGCTACATATCAATCAGAAAGTAATTTTCTTTTTTGCTTTAGTTGGTGACAAAGGAGAAATCGAAGAGAAACAACAGCCTTCGAGCATGCTCACACTAACTCACAGTGATCATTTTCTAAACGGGAATTGAATTTTGCTCCTATTTGTCAATTGCCTTTGTAGCCAAGCCAATCCAGTGAAGAAAGCTTTTACCCAGACTTGGCTTGGGGACTTGTACATGTTTTCCATCACTTAGCAAAATCTCTGACGATACAGCAACACCAGAGAGACGTTAAAAGATGTCTCTTGCCATGATCGGGTCAGTGAACTACTTTTTATACTTTTTTTAAATGCTTTTAGGATCTAAGTAAAGTAGGTATTAATTTATTTTAAAATTAAAATTTAAAGCATATATTAATTTCTTATTCTGAAATATTAGATTTATTTTATTTTTAGGCTGAACATATATTAATACAATAAACAATGATCCAAGCTTATGGCACATACGCATTATGCTACTACAAGAGTTATTGCATCATTTTTGACATAGATATGGGCAGTGAACCAATGCAATAGGGAAAAAGGAACATAGTTGATGGAAGACTCGTTGTAGATGCAAGAGGGCATGTGACCATTTATGACCCTGCTAGCCAAGAGTTGATAGCAGACAGGTCAAGAATATCAAGGGCAATAGCACTGTCGAAGATGTTGGGATACTACAAGTTAAGCCTATGGGCACGTCTGATGCAAGTAATGGAAGTGTGGAGTCATAAGCATCATCCTTACTAACTGACAATGGCAGGAGACAGATGTGGCGCATGCACTTGTTTGTGTGTGAATATGACAGTCGATCCATAATTATCATTTATAGGAAAAATGACATACTAGAATCATAAATTAAATGTGGATACTTTTCAGCAGTTAACAAATGAAATATACGGACATTCACATATTCCAGAAAGATATGATATGACAGAATCCAAAAACACTTAAATAATACGGATAACTTTGAGTATGAATGATGACGTGAACTCCGAAGCAGATCATGATGCAAATAAAAGGTATGAACTTAAAGCATGGAACCAAGATCAAGTGGACAATATCAAAGAATGGAAATGAATAACCAATCATTAGATAAAAAATAATTAAGGATAATTCCTACTGTCCTTAATGCAGACCTTGATGGCATCGATATTCTTTTGTTTGATGTCTGCAGCTGAATGGAGGGATGTAAACTTTGCTAGTGAAGTGAGGAAAGCATCCCTATGAGTTTTCATGGACATAACAGCAGTGACATGAATCGCGCTGCGGAACCCTTCAAGGCAGTGGGATAATATCACTTCATCATCATTCTGTTCTACTGGAACACTGAAGGCTGCCAGCATTGGAGCCCAGCATACTTCAATCATAAACCTCAGAATGACAACATCCGTTGCAGCATAATAGGCCGATCTAGAATTCACCAAAGAAAACATAATTACGATGAATGATGGTCAAAGTTTGCAAATATTTACAATTTTTGAATGATCTATAGGACTGAAATCCAGACTGTCAGCTGTCCGGTTGGAAAAAGAGTTAATCAGGAAGCCCATTTATAACCAGTCTTCGAGAAGGACATAGGCCTAAATAGCCTGATTTAACTCTTATTAATTCATACTTTGGAAACAAAAACAACCGAAAGGATATACAAATAGTCTCACGGACGAGATAGCATAATTATCTACCCAAATGTAACAACGTTATATTTGAAAATAGTTATTATCAACATCAGCAGGCAATCAGTGACCGACAGTTGAAAACTGTTTCAGAATAATCCTCTTATTATCAGGGTACAAGTTGTCAAACAAGATGAAGGCCATGCGCATTAGATTAAGCAGGAAAAAACACAAAATACTTTGAGTTTACTTCGGAGATCACTAATACCAGAGTCAAATGACTCAAATATTTGCATTCCATTTTAAGAGCATGAAAAAGCACAACCGATTTATGCCTAACATTGGCACATGTTCATGTCCATAAAAGTCAAATTAATTTTTTCCCATCAATCGTCCCAAACATAGGTCTAAAACTTTGTCATACAAAAACCATAAAAGAAAATTTTGGATCAGTTTGCACCCAACAATAGTGATTTTTCATGTCCTTAAAATCAAGATAAAATATGAAATTATTTCAGTTCAGCCCCCAACAATATCAAAAATTATCATTTATAGAATGCTTTCAACAAATTTGTTCACACTATCGGTTTTTCTATGCCCTTAAAAAGTTTTAACATATTTCAGTCAATTAAGTTCCCAACACTGGTCTAATTTTTTCTCATTAACAAAAATTAGTAATTATAACGCTTTTATTTTTTCAAAATTGATTTTGTCATGTCGATAAAAATAAAAGAACATTTCGGTCATTTCAGTCTATAACATTGCTCGATTATTGTTATCAATACCACAAATAATTCAGTCCTTAACATTGGTCTAATTTTTGGTCAATTTAAAAACGTTACTACTTATGGAATTTGAGCACATAAAGCTAGGCTAGAATGCCCGCAGATCTGAGCCCTCCTTTTGATAGCCTATCCTAACAAATTTTAAGACGTCAAAACAAGAAAGTTAGCAACAACGTCTGAGATATCTTAGTTCTCTCACAACCAAATTCCTGTGTAGGATAGCAAATGTGCTCTAAAACAAGACAAACAAGCTTACTCAGATTTTCGAGCCTTTTCCTTGAACTGCTCTTGCATATGCCGGATATAGTCATCACTGGTTTCTGATTTATCTTCTCCTCTTACGTACTACAATATTTAGGATGCTATCCAATCCCAGGATTCGGTTGGAATTTGTAGTTTGTTTGTGTACAGCAGCTAGATCATCTTCTTTCATCTTGATTTCATTCCTTGAAATCCGTTCAAAGAGGGATCTCAAATATTCTTCAGTTAGATCATTACCATCATCAATTCCACGATTGTTCCTTACAAAATCATCTGGAGACATCTGCATCAGCAAATAAAGTTTATACGTAGTATCCAATAGAATTTAAAAGGAAGTTAATGAAAAAGAGCCAACCTTGTTCTTGACCATTGGATTGTGGGCATCAGTGTTGAGCAAAATAACAGAGTACGCAAGGACATATGCTGTGTCTGCACTACGGAAAGCTTTTGGATTACATTTGCAATAACGTTCAGCAAATTTCTCCATAATGCGATCAATCTTCTGCGCTTCCCCAGGCAAACGGAAGTCTTGCAAGAAGGCCCTTATTGCTTCATCAAACTCCTTCCCTTGGAAATCAAATGAATCAACATAGGCATGCATGACCTTCAGGGATAGTTCTTCCCTCTCTCCCAGGTAATCACCAATTAAGGTCTTGTTCAAACCAGATGCATCTTTTAGGAAAGCAGCTATTTCTTCTGGTGTCTCACCAACTTTCCGTGATTTAATTAGAAATTCAATTCCCTTCTTAGGTTTCTGATTAAAGAGTGATATACCTTCCTGTAAAACGAGATTCAATTAAAGTAAATAAGCAAAGTAATATCTAGATATACATCTTCAGCAAGTGATCATTTGCTTATATGAAAAGGTGGAACACAAAGCACCTGAAGCTCAAGCTTGTAAGCCCGACGTTGCTCAAAAGAAACAGATTCGGTGGTTCCATTTCCAGGTTCAGGATGAGAATCGACTGCTTCAGATGGCTCCTCCACTTTGCCATCAGGAATGGGAATATCAATTCCATTCTCAGAATTGTTCTCTGTTGCTTCTGACCTTTAGGAGAGTCAGAATCTGGTATACGTAACTGTTTATTCATCCAATCCCCATTGATCTCAAGATGGCCACCAAACACATCATTGCTTCAAGTTTCATGGTTGCATCCTGAGGAGGCAAAAGTGTAGTGGTGACACCTGGTGGCACACCTTGAGCTGTTTTCAGCAACCCAGTGACCATCCTGATCCAAAGTTGATCAGAAAATTTATTGTGATGTGATGAGGACATATATAATGCATATATGCAGATGACTGCATAAATATTTTAAAAGTTGAAATTGAAATTAGGTAATGAATCGGAGAACAGTACCTCTCGAAAATATTGGATGAATTGACATCACAATCATAGTTGATGAAAATGTCAACCAAAATCTGTGAATCAACGCATAATTTATCCAAAACCGAAGAACAATCATCTTCTGCTGAAAATTAGGCTGAGAAACGTTTTCCAAAACTCTGAGGACGATCATTGGAAGAACACCCCAATCTCAGCTTTGAGTCCAGGTCTAAATCTCGAAACTAGACTCATGAAAATGGAGCAAGAAAGCTGAAAACAATTATAAGAGTGGAAGCACTGTTCTTCAGAAGTGATAAACAAAGATACTGCTTGATGGCACCCAAAACCTGCATAAATGTAAAAACCACAAAACACAGATACATGATCAAAACCAAAGTGAAACATAACAAAAACAAAGTTGATGGAACACGCAATGTAGAAAAGACAAGTTATGCCAAATGCTGAGATAATCTTTGTGTGGATGAATATGAAATGGCAGCAACATTCACAGGAGAGGCTGACAGAAATGCAACTAGAATCCCAGTCTATTCCTTTTGCCCTTTTCATTATCCCAATAATCAATATGAGCCTCTTTGCAAGTCGTTTAAAAACTATTATCCCTATAAATCAGCATTTTAAGCATGCCATCAGCATTTCTCTGTAGGAACTTCGTAATCTAAAAATAAATCTTGAGATAGATCAGAAACGTGCAGTTCACAAATAATGATCAAACTCTCAGTCTGACAGTAGAAAATGCAACAGATACTGAGATTGTGAGGAATTTTGCTGAGTTTATTACAAACTCACAGTCTTTTGTGAACAGTTTCTACCTAAAAAGCAAGACCTGGACAAAGAGGTCCTTCATCTGCACTAAACTTTTCCACTTGACTATGTCCTACATCATTTAAGTCCTTCAAAATGATGCTAACCAAATGCCTTTGAAGTCTAGTTTCCATTTCTGAATGTCCTCTAACTCCATGTTTAACATAATGTCTAACAGCTCCTGCTAACAATAAAACGAATGCTTCATTGTCCTGCAAGCAAGAGATCTTCTAAACCCATGGTATGTAAATAGTCCTGATTTTTTTCCTTCAATCGTGATGTCTAGGAAAGGTCTTGGCAAATATCATACCTCTACTTTCCCAAAACATCAAATGTATGCCCTTGTTTACAAACAAGGAATAATTGTTTCAGAACGTTTCACAAACAGTAACTTTAACTTAAGCGACCAGATATTTAAGGCCGAATACCATTTGTTTCCATTTTTGTGTACATGGCCTTGATATATTTTGTCTGAATCTCTGCCTCCCGCAGCAACCATAACCACATAGCGAGCAGAATTTACCCACCCTCGCAAGAAAGGACCTTCCTCCAGATAGGAGTGCTTTGGTCTTCCATACAACCCTCCGTTCTGGTATCAGACTGACAATCTAAACGGTGTCAAACCTACAGCACCATTTACTTTATTTGAGGTTTGATTTTTAAACCCAAGCAATTAAGCTCCGAATTCCATCCGTCCTAGCAAAAATAAAGAGACATAAATAGGAGGCATCTTTTATGGGCTCCAAGATCTCACAAAACTTGAAGTGGATATGCAATTTATGGCCCAGATGATTTATTTTCATGAAATCCATAGTACTCAAGCATTGATCAATCCCTCCCTAATCATACTTTTGGTACCTAAATCAACTTTTTGCACACAACTTCATAACACTAATTCTGCACGAATCCTAGTCAGAACAAGGCCACCCCTGTACCTGTTTCCACGTTGCGGGTAAGAAACATGGAGTTGAGGTGTTTGACAGAAAGGAGGTCATCAAGAATTTGTAAGACCTAAACAACAAAAATGTCTTTCACCATCTCTATGCTTGCAACCATAAGCTCTTTTATCTATTTAATCGTCAAGTTTATTTTATTAATAATTAAGCCAAGAACTGGCTCATTTTGGGTTAGACTAGTTTTCTTGAAGCCTAGTCCAGGTATACATACCATTAAAAATATTCACCTCCATGAGTTCACTATTGACCTGTCTGGGCGTACTCCCAATTAAAAATGTTCAATACCACTGAGTTCATTATCTTTGATCCATCTTCAAAATTACCACACTTGAAGACGTAGATCTTTTATATATTTATTTCCCTCTTCCATATATCATGCAGAAACATCTCCATTCGTCCCGCTAAGTTGCTCATACAAATTCTCCCTGAGTTTATCCTTATGCAGCACATACATTGATGTTACGTAGACAATGCTACATTTTACCATTTTAAAATGATTCTTAAAATAAATAAAAAGTTTTTATGGTCATATTTTCCGTTCATCCCACAGAAGAAAAGGGAGGATCAGACTACTCCAGTTTTCAGGCTTTCCAAGGAGGAACCCTTGTCTGAGTCAGCCGACTTTGTTTATTTCTAATATAGTCCATTATATCTTGATATCACATGTTAACGAGAACGATAACATAACAAAACTACAGAAAAGCAGGTTCTGGGAATGTTGGACAAAGGAATTCTTTGATATGTAAAGAGAAAGGCAGCCAACAATTATCTCCTTTCCAGTAACGAACATAAACTGATAGAAAATTTAGAACAAGACAGTTGAATCTGAGATTCAGACGGAAAGGACCAACGTCTTCTGCTGCATCTCAGAAGAAAAATAATAATGAAGTTAACGATAAAATAAATGGCTTGAAAAAGTTCATTTCAGGTATGCTAATAATGTAGAAAAGAGAACTTGATCCAAAACAAAAAGCTAAACTCAAGGAGAACAAAGAAGACGACGCTTTCCATCAAATATTGGACGTAAGGATGCAAGAAGCGGTGAGTGGAAATCCTTTGGTGTTCCTTACACTTCTGTGAGACTCCTTTATCGACAGCTACAACCTAATACCATGTTTCCCAGAGCTATATATCGTTGAGGCATATCAGATAAACCTAACAAAGACATAGGTGCCAGAGATTGAATTATTGCACTACGTGGACTGTGGACCCAGCCAAGAGTTTTATTCATCAAATCTTCTCTTTAATTTTAATAAAGTAACAATTTTCGACACTGCTCAGAAGAACTCCTTAGTATACGGCTGAAAATATTCGTGAACAATCTGTCAAAGAGAAAATGGCGTTTTCCAGCTCCAATCAAATGAATCCCTCCGCTATCTGCAGCTGAAGAAATTTTATTTCAATATATCTTTCTAATTAGCCTCATTTCTTCTCTTTTTCCTTTCCTTGCTTAGAGCACTTAAAACAATTACACAGGCAGACTACAATATATTAGGCGAGGAGCAAGGAAATATTTTTCCTGTTACAACCTTTTCAATGATACCAATTTTCAGAAGGGACTCAAAATTTGGCAAAATGCAGGTTTGCCACTTTCTGATCATCAACAGAAGAAAAATGATTTCGCTCTGTGCACTTCGTAGCATCATTTTTAAGATCAATAAAATCAATCTCAAAAACTACGAAGGACATATTTCTTTATATTAATCAGCAAAGTGAAATGATCATGAGAGAGAAATAGATGGAAATATGATTCCGAGCATGGAATAATAAGAGAAGAGAAATGATCACAAACAGTCTATCATTTGTCAACACATAGATAGAGAAGGGAGGACGCACCTATCGCTCGTCCTGAATATAGCTCCAGCATTTTCAAGCAGAATCTTGAGAAGTTCCAGGGCCACAATCTTCCCACGCATAAGATTGGGATCAGCTGACGCTTCCTTGGGCGGAGTCTTCATCGAAAGTTTGCACAGCGCCCGGAAAACTAGAAACGCATCCCTTCTAAGTTTGTTGCTAATCTGAATCTCCAAATCGTCCTCCCGATCTCCCTCACCATCAGCTCCAAGTTCACCCTTCCTGCCCTCTAATGCCGTCTTATACATGTTGATTTCCCAGTACCTAGCATCCAGCATGTCCTTGTCCGTCGAATCAAGCAAATCTGCTGGGTTAGTAGCTTCGCCCGCAGTGGATTCGAACGCCCCGTCATGGACGATCACTGACTTGCCCGAGGGTGTAGAAGGATTCAGCACCACGTCAATGTCATTTATAATCTTGGTGATGAAGCCCTGCACGAACTGAATCATGTTTGGATCGGCCACACCTGTTTTGTCACCGGGCTCCATCAGCTCAGCAACTACGATTGGCTGGACCGGCACCGTCGACGAGTCCGCCTCCATCCGACGGAACACAATGACAAGCATCTGGATCAGAGAGGCTTTGGCGGTCGTCTGGTTGACAGAATTCTTGCTCTCCAGGTAAACATCATAACATGTTCGTACAATCTGTAGGAGGCTGTCACCGTGGATGCGAAGGGAGGTAGACGTGACGGCCGAAAGCAGGGTCTTCAGCACGAGGAGCTCGACGGCGTCATCGCCTAGTTCACGGCACTTGCAAATGGCCTCGATCAGCTGGACGAGGATCTTGGCGTCGGGGCCGCCGGAAGAAGTGTCCGCCTCCCCGCGTAGGTAGCCATGCGCGATGAGCCTCTGAAGGCAGTCGAGCGCGGGATCGGCGATCTTCAGGAAACCAGAGGCACAGGCTGATATGAGGGGACCGAGTATGGCCTCTGCATCCGCCAGCGAGTACTCCCCGCCGCCACAATCTATGGGGCCGGGGATCGAGGCGTGGGCGTCCGGGGACGAAGGGGCGTCGGCAGGAGCCGCATCTTGGGAGGAAGGACCAGGGAATTTCTCGATCAATGCCTTGCACTGTTGAGCGAGCTTGGAGTGCTTCCTCCACGATGCGTTCTTCACGATCTTCTCGAGGGCGGGGATCACCACCTGGTTCAGCCGGGAATCGGCTTCCGCGGAAGCCATTCCCGGCGGCGGAGGAGCGCTACCGTCGGCCACTACGCGCAGGCGAGGGCTTGGGCCACCAGATCCGCCGGCTAACGGCCGGAGACGAGGGCGATGTGTGTGTGTGGGTGTTGGTGTGGGGGTTGGGGACAGCGGCTTCCTTCCGCGACGAGGAGGGAAGAGAGTGGAATGGACTGGACTGGCCTGGGCTGGTCTGGTCTGGCATGGGGTGAGTTTACCACCCAGATCCGGTGCCAGCGATTTTTCGTTAATCGATGGATTCTCTTCCGCTTGATTCTCATCCAACGAGCACCGAGATAAGGATCGTACAAGCCGGATACTTCAACAAATAACATACTATAAGGTCATTTTTAGTAATTCATTAAGTATCATCGGATTATTGTAATTATTCCAGGCGGCTAAACAACGGTGATGCAGAGTCTATATTCACGTGGGAAGGCACGTGTGGACCCAGGAAATTGCTGGAGCCAATAGGTGGACCCGCCCTGTCGGTGGGGGTCTAGAGGACCATCGGAACGCGAAGCGTGAACTGACCGGATGGCGACACTTTTGGGCCGGGCGTGGTTTCGTCTCGCTAATAGACCGCAAAATAACCAGGTTAGAACAAAGGCGGAGTTCTAAGTGTCACCCTGAATAATTCTTGGGCATTGGAAACTATTGATATACATAATATAACATAAATATATTTTATATCATTTATTTATGGGTGATTTTTTACTTTCAAAATCCGAAGCCAACTACTTTTATAATAATAGAAACCTTGAGTTATGTTTTAATACAAATATATTAAAATTATTTGTCAATAATGCGCAATGATTCTTGAATTTAAGACATTGACTAGCATATACCACTGAATACTACGTTCCTTTTTCATCTCCTCTCCTCCTCTCTCTCTCTCTCTCGCTGAAATTAACGCCAAAATATACCCATAAAGTATTAATGATTCTAGTTATGAAATGTCTAATTTTTGTATGATTTAAGTCATTAATATTTCTACATTTGGAATGCCGTCTCAAAGAATGTGAAGCTCTTATGGCTTTATGGACGATCTTCCCTTGCTGATATTATGATTCCAAATCTATTGAAAGGTAATCATTGAACACAAATTAATTTGGCAACATTATGCAAACTTTTCAAAGCCAATCTACTATTTTATCACATAAACTTCATAGTAACATGGGATCACCTCAACAACTCATACAATAAGTATGGTTGTCTCAAACTCTTGGAACATAGAGGGGTGAAGGCAGTGGAGATCAAAGGCCAAGATAATTTAACTTATCATATTGTTAATAAAATAATCAATCAAAACAAAAAATTATTTTGTTGGCTATCGAATCTAACCTCCTTAAGAAGTAAATAAAGCATCTAATACAATAAATACACTTCTTGCAATATTATATTTTATATCTTTTTCGTAATTAATATGATGAAGACTGAAATATTGAAATTCTTGTTGTCGTAGAAACTTTGGCTATAGGAAGAAAACCATAAAGGAGGAATTAGAGACATCATCATGTGAAATATATTTTTTCACATAATCAATAAGCATTACCTATATTAAAAATCCTAATTCAATTATAAAATATTACATTCATTATTCATAAAATTAATCCCATTTCTATATTACATTTAATTTTATTTGTTTCAAATAACCAAACTCACTTTGTCGAGTTAAATTAAAAACCACCATATTAAAATCATATTGAAATTAAATGATATGTGGGTTTTGAAACGATAATCATCCTTCAACCATAGTAACATAGATACAAATTTCTTCATAATCCTTTCACAAGTAGTAGCCAAAAATCTCAAAACAACTTTCTTGTAAACCGTAGAGTAACATCATTCTCACCTTATCCACTCTTATGAGGATAGTAAATCGTGGTGGGCTTGAGCTTAATTATTGTGAGCTGCCATCTGGTGAAATAGAATAGGCTACACCGTAGTTTGGAGGCATCAAGAGAGAGAGATGGATGAGCTCAAGCAAAGTAAGATATTATCTTTAATTAAACTAATCTGATCAAATTCATTAACGTGGATTTAACATTCCATTATCATATTTTTTATAAGGGTGGAATAATTGGTCAAAACAACCAGAACTGTTTCTCATGTAAAATCCTGATAGTTGATCTGTGTGTTAGGATGCTATTCCTATTTGAAACTGGCGCTTCATCTGGGTCTATAGTGTTAAATATCCATCCATTCGCATTGGAAATCAAGATTATAGTTGGGCAAAGTAGTAACTCATTTATCATGTAGAATTTTTATGTAAACGGGAGGAGATCGACCAAATCCATTAACAAGACAAGGTTGAAATAAGACGATCGATGACCGAATGATCAGTTTCTTTTCATGACGTTCTTCCAGGATTGTGGGATAACAAGGAGTCATGGGGATTACTCCCATGTCATTTGAAAGGGGCTGCTCGGCGGAAGCCGAGCTGTACCTCTCCATGAGCTCCTTCTCCAGCGCCCGCATACCTCCTCCGCCTTGGTTGTTATCTGTGAGCCCTCCCCTCCGCTGGCACCGAGTTGCCGGAGATCCAGTTGCTGCTGCTGCAGCGGGGCGGCCATGGGAGGAGTAACGGGGATCGAAGAGCGTCGACAGGTCAAACGTGGCCGGCAGGAAGGACGCGAGCGGAAACTCCGCAATGGAGAAGGCCGCCGTGGACGTTTGAGGGAGAGACGGCAGAGGGTGTGTTGCCGGCGGCGGCTCTTGCGGTGCCTGGTATGTCTGCAGGCAAGACAGCTCCGCCTGCAGATTCGCCACCTGCACGATAACAAAATTCTCAGCTGCCGGAGGCACGCCTCACTTAACTGACAATTGCCATAAAATCTTATATTGGCCAAGATCAAGTTCGCTCTCTCTCTCTCTCTAAATGGAGGAACGGATTTGCCTGTTGTTGGAGAGAGAGGATGCGGCCGACGCAGCCGTAGACAGGGTCGCGGATGCGGAGCTGGGCCTCGTAGCAGATGGTGACGACGGCGTCGAGGCGCTTGTAGGGAGGGATGAGCCGGAGAAGCTTGGACACGTTGCTAGCGCCGAAGACCTTGTGCACCGCCGAGAAGTGCGCCGCCCCTGCGCGGAGTTAAAGTAGGGAGCGAATACGCACCCGGTCACGCACTTCCGCCTCAGGAACTTGCACGCCCCACAGGGCCCTCCCCGCCTCCTCCGCCACCCACGCCGCCGCCACCGCCTCCGCCTCCACTACCGCTGCCACAGGGGGCGAGGCGGTACCTACGCTGTTGCTGACCCTACTCATGCCTCCACCTCCCTTCCTTTACTCATGGAGAGGAGAGAGAGAGCAAGAGAGAGGATGAGAAACGCGGTTCGAGGGGGATTACAGAAGAAGTTATGGGGTAGAACTCATTCGTCTGGTTTGTCCTGTGGCCGAGGTGGGAGAGAGAGAGAGAGAGAGAGAGAGGGTATTGCTCCTCGATGAGTCTTTAAAGCCAAGACAGGTAGCAAAGGAAACCTAAACCCCTCCTCCCCTTCTCTCATTTCTCGACCACCCCATCACTTTTGTAGCTTGCGTGAAGCAAACCCTGCACAGACAACCCTCTCTTTCTCTCTCTCCCCTCCTATCCAGATGACGCCATATCGTCTTCTTCTTCACGTAGAACCAACATTCTTCGACGTCTCCCCGTCGCAGTCGCTTCTCTCTACGTGCACATCTTGCGGGCGTTTTAGAAAGGTGGAAAGGAGAATGCGGCCTCAGGTTGAATCAATACCCCGGTTCTTCTCCCACGGAGATCTACTATGGACAAAGATTGTTACCTTTAACCCGCCCCATATAGAAAGGCCCAGTGTCTCGTGGCTCGATATTCGAGGTCAAATCCGTAAAACCAAGACCGTTGACCAGCAAGGCGTTACGCTGCGAGGCGGAGACTCGAGGCACTACGGCAGCCCGGAGCCTTTCCGAGGAATACCCGTTGTAACGTACGACCGGGGACCTCGAGTCTTCCTAGCCAAGTTTGACAAGACGATTTTGAGCCCCTGTTGGTCTTTCCTTTTTGTGCCACGGTTGTCAAAGCTGGGTCTAATCCGTCATTTTACGAGCTCTTCCCTGTATAATTTGGTCAAATTATGTGAATAAATCTGTATAAATAGTAAAAATAATGACGCAGTGTTGACGTCTCATATCGTTGCTGACGGAAGAAAGAGACGGTGCTGCCTGTGGACCCCACCCTCCCCTCAACGCTGCACCAAACATCACGAGATATAAATAATATTGACACATTATTATCACATTTTTAAAACATATTTTTATGTATAATACCCTCCTGATTTTAGACGAGTAATCATTCAGCCTTTCTAAAAAGATATTCATGGGATTTTGAATTACCGGGGTAGATGTATTTCTGAGTAAAAATCCTCTTATTTTCTTTTTCGTACGGTTATTTTGAAAAACAAATCGGTGGTCTAATCTGCAGATCTGCAGCGTACGATCAGACGTCGATGTGATGTCCTTCATGCCCATCATAAACCATTTAACGATGGCCTCTCCACGTTCAGGGCGTCTCTCTCTCTCTCTCTCTGCGCGAAGTTGTCACTTCCCCGGCAGGGTCAATTTTGGTAGTCTCTATTAGCGGACTCGATGAGGAATACAATCGGTACGGAATTATATCGGATGCGCTGTGGATGATCCGAACTGCTGTTTCCGGTCTGGCGTTGTAGGCTTTATGGTTGCTGATGGCTGGGCCTTTAAGAGCGCCGACCACATGGCTCCCGACATGCCCAATAAGATAGATGGGGATTATATAAGATGTTAAAATAAGATGCAATTTGAAACATCTAAGGAATATCCGCGGTGAAGATACCTTCCGACGAAACTTCAGAGCAGGATAAGATAATGTTTTCCCGACGGGGTGGGTGCGGTGAACTTAACCCGACAGTGCGAACGACCGGGAGGGGCGGATGTAAAGGGGAAAGGAATGCGTAGCAGCGGCGGTAGCCATTTGTTCTCTCTCCTCTCTCTTTCTCTCACTTCCATGATCCTCCCGGTGGAACACCAAGGGCTTGCCTCACTGGCCGAAACCCTCGATCTCCGTACGATCGACGACGGCCGTCCCTGCGCAGGCGGCGCCAGCTGATCCCGGTCTCGCCGGCTCGCGGCATGGAGGAAGACGACGACGCAGCGGCGGTGGAGTCGAGTATCTCCCACCAGGACCCCCAATCGCTCTCCACAGACTCGTTGATGCCGGAGGTCATGGTGTTTCGGGACGAGGAAGAGGAGGATGAAGAGGAGGAGGAAGAAGGGGATCCCGGCGGGCCCCGTAAATCGCCGGCCACTGATCGCGATTCCTCCGACGGCAGTGGTCGGGGGCGCCCTCGATCCACTCTGTTGCCCTCGGAGGAGGAGGGATCATCCTGTTCTCCCCAGCATCGGCCGCCCTGCATCGACCCGGAGCCCCACATCTCCTCCCAGTTTTACACCTTCAATCGGGAATCTCACGCGTTAATGGTGCGGTGTATCCTCGAGGGCCGCCTCGCCACCGTAGACGAGATTCGGCGTGCCACGCCGCACGGCGTCCTGAAGTCGTGGAGATCTGTGTGGAAGGACCGGAACGAGGACACGGCGTACCTGACGGCGTGGAAGCGGATCCAGGACAAGCTCAATGCCCACCACGACACGAAGCAGGGTGGGGCTTTCCTCTACTTCAAGAGCAATGTCGCCCAGTACGTTTCCCATATCGAGCAATGGCAAGACATCGTTACTTCGTTTCATGGCGACGCCGACCTCCGACATCTTGGTCTCAAGGACACCATCGATCGGATTAAACAGGTTTGGACGGTCGGTGCCAAGTTCTATGGCATCCCCGAGTCTTTCATCCGTGTTTGCGTGGCCTCCTGCCCTGTCTGCTCAGGCAGTGGTCCTGCGTCCAACTCTGGCCGGACGAAGCGTCGGCGCTTTGAGTATACAGAGTCTTTTGACGTGCCTGCTAGGGATGTACCCGCCCGTCTTCAGCAGCTGGCAGCGAAGCATAAGGTTGTGCTTTGCATCCGGCAGAAGTACATCAGGTACAAGCCCTTCATGGCGGAGGTGAAGGATTACGCCTGCCACCGTGCTGGGAGCCCTCATCGTCCTCATCGGCGGGGAAGAAAATCAAAGCTATTGAAGAGAGAGCCGTACGCCTCCAAGCGGTGTGGATGTGGGTTCAGGATACGGGCCATTGTGCCAATTTCCAACTATAATGAAAAGGACAAGACCTTTGTTTACCAGGAGGAAGGGACTGCAGTGTTCAAGCTATATGCTATACATACAGGGCATGAACCAGGTCCACTTGATGGAAATGCTAGGATCATCCATCGAGTCCTTGGATATAAGGGAAGCGTTGATCAAGATCCTGTTGTGTATGGAGTCACTGAGGAAGCCGAGCCAGAGTCCTATGTCTCTTTGCTAGGTGAAGAGGAGAAGGATGAGCTTCAGCTGTCCATTCTGCAGCAGGTTCACGAACTCAGATCTGAAGTTCGTGTTCTGGAGAGCAAGGTTATGCACATGCCCCGGGGATGCTGACTTCTCTGTCTCAGGAGTTGTCCGAGATCGTGGCCAGGGTTAGAAGTGCTAGTGCAGGAAGTATCCTTGATAAACCACAGCACACAGGGAGGTACCTGTGGTTGGAGATGAAGAGCTTGGGCATTGGGATGGTGACCATCGAAGTGGACACGAAAGGCTCTATGGCAAGAGTGTGGAACTTATAGAAGAAGAGGATTCTATTTTTGGGCGGACACTTCGGTCAATGGTGCCATGGGACAGAATGCAGGACGAGTGTGGAAGTACAAAGGTGGTTATGAGAGAGAGCTGCAAGGCTGACAAATGGCTGTTGAAAGATTGTGAAGAATTTGATGAGAAGAGCATTCTATGCTCAAGAGAGGTGGAAGACTCCAAGATGATAAAACCTATAAGACATGATGGGACAATGGTGACTGATCCAAATCTCGTCATACAAGTAGACGGGTTCTATACAGAAAATGCAAAATGGTATGATTCACCGTGTGGCCTGGATACCGGGACTGACTGTGCAGATGGGGGTTTCAGACATGGTGGAATTTTGTGAGGATCTCTCTTCAGAAAGTGCTGGGTTTTTCTTTTGAAGACAGAAGTCAGTTGTAAATTCTGTAAAGTAGTTTGGATTCTACAGAGCATGATTAACAGAAATGGCTTTGATGGATATTAGTTGCTATGCCTTTGTTGGGGCTTTTTCTTGACCGGCATCATCTATTGATTTATTAGATCGTGCCTTGACTATTCTGGCATGCTCATCCTTTGCTTCTGTCGACCTTTTGACCCTCTTGTTTTTCGTTCAATTTTGTAAATCCTATATGCGAAATCCTCATTTGATACTTCTGGTCGAACAGAAGGAAACCCTTTTCTTCATTATCTGAGGGTTCTTCTTTGGATCTCATCACTGGGAATGCCCTTGTTTGCCATTTTCATGGACAGCTTGAAGTTTATTTTTTCATTTGGTCGTTCCTTGGCGCTTGTGAATGGTGCCTTTAGTTTTCTGTTAGACTGATGATTACTGTATCTGGCAGCTGAAGGAAGGTTGTATCCATCTTATGTTTCCACATATTTATTGTATTTTATCTTACCACCACAAGGGAGGATGTGATCCTTTTGCGAATCATAAGATTGGCCAAAAATGTGCATCTTATCTTTGATGAATTATAATGTAAAGTGCTAGGCTTACGTTGTAAACATATTTGCACATCTAAGCATTTTTGTGGCAACATCTATAACCCTGGCGTGTGGGCCCTTGTCAATTGCAGGTGGCACAGGTTGTAGTCTAAATTTTAGGAAGTTGGGAAGTTCGATCTGATATTTAGCTCATGTTTTAATGCGCTGCAAGGTTTCTGTTACCAGAAATGCACGGTTCTGCTGAATAAGAGACTAATTTTCTGTGCAGTATTTATATGCTCAACCTGTCATTCCTTTTACTTCACCAAAGAATGTGGATTTTTTTGTTAAAGTAGTGAAAATGTTCTGCTCTTTGTTATCTTTTAAATTGCTCTCTAATTATTAAATTTATCAGATGGACATCCAAAAGTAAAAGAAACGCGGCATTTATCTTCAGTCACGTTCTTCCTAGTTAGTTACATGTAGATGCATTAATTTCTATTTTTCATTATCAATCATGCACCCATGATACGACACTGAAAGAGCATGTTAAGGTTGTGAATTTTGCTTCCCATATTTTTTATCTTTTACGTCCCTCTGCCATAATTCATATGAGAGGAAATAGAAAATGGTTTATCTGCATGAAACTATCCAGGAATAAGACATTTGAAGATGAATCCGTGCTGATTTTTTCTATTTAGAGAAGTGGCACTCTTGCTTGAAAGATTTTGTATCTTGTGTGTAACCCATGCTTTTTAGCTTCGTGGACGACCAATCTTAGCATAGCATGTGGTTCAATTAGCTTGCAGACTTGTTTCTTGTTTGTGCCAAGTATTTGCCGTTTTTCTGAGGCACAGGATTGTTCTCATCATTAATGGAAAGCCAGTACTATTTTTTCTAACAGAGACCTATCATGATCGGATTAACCCCATCCATAGAACATGTTGGACCGGTTATCGAATGATTTATATTGTCCATTTGCTATGTTTTCCTTCCAATGGATTTTTGCGCGTAAAATTGTGAACAACTTTCACGCTCAGTTTTGCATGAATTGACTTATTAAAATTTGATTTCTACTAAATAAGCTTCTCCATTAACACTGCAAGAAGCTTGCATGTCTCTTGGCGTAATTTTTACCACCTGCTAATTAGCAATAAGAAGAGAACAACTCTATCTTGAACATGATGTAGAGTCTCCAATTTTTTAAAGTTAAGACGCCCACTTTCCCATGGGGATGAAATAAAATTTGAGTTGGTCTGTCAACTTCCTGATTCCTCTGAAGCCCTTCATTGTTCTAAGAGCAAGTTGACGTTCTAAAATTGAGCCTACAAGTTGGTAAAGCTCACGGTCTGGTTTGCCAGTCTTGGATAGAGTATCGTCCTTGGTTGGTTTCTAATTTCACTCACCTTATATATAATTTCATCTTTTACTAAATATTTTCCATTGTTGTCGATCAGAGCCTGTCTCTAATTAGATACCTTAGTTTATGATCCCCAGATGAACTAATTAGGATACCCGAGCACGATATGAAACCGACCAAAGTATTGGATCTTATGTAATTCTCCATTTTCAAAGTTGCTTAGGAGAATATGCAGGGGATTAGAAGCATTATAAGCTCTTTCTTGGAAAGTGCAGCTTCTTCTCAGATGGAGTCAAGAGTATCAGTGGAATGGGTCTTTCTTCTTCAAACGCCTGGTACCTGGACACCAGCAGATGAATGAATGGAAAGATAGTGCAGTGTTCGTCGTTTCTACCCGAGTGGCTTTAGCAGCTTCTTGGGAAAGAGGCTCTATCTCTATCTCTATCTATCTATCTACCCATCTCTCTCTCTCTCTCTCTCTCTCTCTCTGTCTGTCTATCTATCTATCTATCTATCTACTTACCTACTTATCTATCTATCTATCTATCCATCCATCTATCTGTCTGTCTATCTATCTATCGGCTAGGGTGTGTGGGATACTCTGAAACGAACAACTGCCTCAGACCAGAATTGGGTGATATACCTTTTTGAGCCATGTGTCCAGTTTCTGACCAACCTATTGCCGAATGTTTTATTCATTACATAGTGGCACTCTTCCCAATCTCTCACCCCTTGGTATTGTTACCATTTTCTTTGCTTACCTCGTCAATCTACACTTTCTTCAGCATTACCATTTTGATTTCTCCGATTTAATACCTTTATAATCACATGGTTTTGGTGTATTGTTGATAGCTTGATGTTGGCAATAAAGATCAGGTTATCTTCTTCACAAGATCACATAACTCAAATGTTGGAGTCAGATAGCCTGGTCTTTCACAGCTCTCTCTCTCTCTCTCTCTCTCTCTCTCTCTCTCATATATTTTTCCATGTATATGATTATCAATTTATGAATGTCGCTTTTTTTGCTAGATTATTGTTGTGAAGGCCGACCATGGTGGCCTAGTTGCTGATACAGGATTTTGATGGATGGTAATGGGCAGCTTGCTCTATCATCATTGTGGATAAATATGAGTTTTCAATATCACAAAAACGTTTTCCTCAACGTCTCATCTAGATACCACTGCAGCAGACCCAGCATCTCTGTTGCAGTGAGCGACAATGTGCAAGGTACACAGCGCAATACTTGATATACTCCATAAATGCCAGTGATGATTTTAGAGTGAATGTAGATTGACACTTGTGGGCAGCTAGCACGGGGAGAGAAGAGTGCAGCAAAGTAAACAATATCGGCAATCGAGTTTGTGCAATTTTTCACACATGCAGAATGGGCTTTGAATATATAAAAGGGGAAGTCGTAGTCCAATAAGAGTAGATTAGTGTAGTACACTTGAGGTGAAGTCCCTTTTCTTAAACCCACTCTCTTTCTCTCTCTCTCTCTCTCTCTCTCTCTCCTTCCTCTCCTTTTTGCTACTCAAGAGGTCTAGTTTAGTGGTCGCTTGGCCTTGACATGTGTAGGCATCATTGGGCAAACTGATGTATGAAGGGTTTCAGCTGCCTCATTAAAATTTAGTCCAAGGTAATGCTTGTGGCCAATTGGCATCAGAGTTGAGCTTTCCATCACAAAGAGTTGGTTCCAGTCTAAGAAGATCAGCTAGTGGAGGAGCTTCTCACTGGAGTTGCAGAGGCACTGAATCTCTCGAATATCCTAGCAACAATTTCTTGATGATGTAAAGGTGAATGCTAGGGTTCGCAGCATATCATTGCGAAGTGCTAGAAATTAGCTAGGCTGAAAATGATTGGGTATATGGAGGAACCCACCTTGGAGCCCTTGCAGAGTAGCTTTCCTGTATGCCATTTGCAGGTGGCCGACACCTATAGAACCTTATACTTGAGTGAGCATCTAAACCCAATGCTTTTTATATTGCTATGAGTACCAGTTGAAGATTTTTCTATCACTTTTTACCACTATTTCAAGTACTTGTACACCCTGAATGACATAAAATGACGTTGATTAGTAGATGATTGACCCAGCAACGTTGAATTGTGGCAGAAACCGGTATGAGGATGAGATATGGTCTATGATCAAAACCTGGTATGACCTGATAAAAGACGAATGCCATGGGTTTGGCTCAAGAGACCCTCAAGTGACTTGAACACACCATCACAATTTAGGTTGACATGAAAAATTTGTATCCCTCGGTGCTTCTTATGAAGAACATGTATATTGAGGACGAGAAGTCACTAATCATGGTCACCAGGCAGCAGTTCAAATACGGTATGCAAATATATCTTGTTTGTTCAATTTATGCGTTGAAGCAGATCAAATTACAAACGACGTATAGCCCAATAAGACTACAAGTAGGCTTCCATCGAGACTCGGTGTATAGCGTGGCCCAATTTCAGCTCAACTCGAGTGGGCTGGGGGATGTTGCCCAATTTCAACCCAATTCGAGTGGATCAAAGGCACAACATGCGTGAAGGCATTAACTCAGCTCAATTTAGTTTGGAGACAGCCTAGCAATAGATTTGGACACATGTTAAATGTGTCAAAATCTTGATTCCCACATTTCTAGGTTAGTTATAACTACCCTCAGCATATAAAATAATCACCACCTTGTAGCCCTAGAGGCATTCTCATTTTCCTAATTCATTTCTGAGTTCACTTCCACGTAGGACTGGCGAAGATAGCAAGATCTGAGCATGAATCAAGCAGCATACGAATCTTGGAAACAAGATCGGTTTCTAAATCTATAAAACTAGAGGCATTCTCCAACCCCGAGCATACGAACACGGATAACTGGTAAAGTGTGAATAAATGCATTATTTACAAAGCGTAGCACAACAAATCTATAATTTATGAGCACAAATTCATTGGTGTGCTAATGAATGCATACGATCCAGCCCAAAACCGATGTCAAGGTTTTCGGACCCGTGGAGAAACCAATAAGATCTGTGTCGAGACGGCTGAAAAGGGAATAGAACCAGGTGCAAATGATGTGTTGGACCAACTCGTGAGTCGA